TTAGCGTTGCTGCACCCGTAAGTGAAGCAGGTGAGATGGGCAATGGCCCAGCCGACAAGCTCAAAATTAAAAAGCCTCTGTCTAGAGACCGAAAGCCCAAAGCCCAAAAAAATTTCAGGTTAAACGAAAAAAAACCGAAATTTTGGTTTTCTAACTGGAAAATCGAATTTAAATTCGATGTGGTTTTTGTTTTTGATAATTTGTTTAATCGAAAATCGAATTGAAATTCATAGAAACCGAGCCGAAAAACCGTTTGCTTACACCTAAAACTAACCTCTTAAAGCATCACGACCCTATGAATTCTCTCGTTCTTAGAAAACTTCTCTTGTATATAAAAAGAGAAATTTTACTCTATTTTTGATAGGATAGTGATAAGGCAGAGCTATGAAGAGGGAATTGGACAAGGAAGATGACATTTTCAATGCCACCACGGACAAAAATGGTATGTATTGTGAGTTCTCATTTTTTCTTTACCACTCATTTCTCTTTCACGCAAATAAACATTTACACACACTGACAAATGACACCACCTGGTATCATGGCTTGCAGGAAAGCAAAGATTTAGAAAGCTTCCACCAGCACACTATACGTTTGAGATTGAGTCATTCTCTTCGCTTTTAAAGACTAAGATGGAAAATTATGAAACGAAAGATTTTGAAGTTGATGGCTACAAATGGTTTGTTCTGATAGATCACAACTGATCTTCCTTGCCAATTTATTTTTTCAAAATTTATCGGGTTTGATAATTTTGTCTGTGTATTCAACTTTATTGTTTTCAAGGAGAATGGTCCTCTACCCAAATCGGAAAAGTAAGAAGAAAGGTGGCAGCCGCCACATATCTTTGTTCTTGGCGCTCACAGAGCCTGCTGGTGTTTCTTTTGGTTGGGAGGTTAACATTTCTGCCACATTCTTTGTCTTTGATGGAATTCGTGACAGATATTTGGCTGTTCAAGGTATAAACAAGGATCAACTGTGCAAGTGTGTAATTTAGCAATTCAAATTTAGTCATTCTTCACGTTTTTTTTTTTTTTTGTGATCAGATGCTGATCAAATGTACTGGCGCTTTCATAAGTTTAAGACCGAATGGGGTTTTGTTGATTTTCTTTCCCATGAAACCTTGCATGACCCTTCCAACGGCTTCCTGCTTGATGATCGAATCATATTGGGAGTGGAGGTATTTGTTATCAAATTCTCTGGTGCTGGAGACAGTCTTTCATTGGTCAAAGAACCTGTGCATGGTCTATACACATGGAAGATTGATAACTTTTCAACATTGGATAAGGGTTTGTGCTCGTCTAATGTGTTCATTATTGAAGGAAGAAAATGGTATGTGTAGATTTTCTGTATTGTTAAGCATGCTTAGATTGCTCAACTCATTTTCTTTTATCTCACATTTTATACTGAATTCATCAGGAAGTTGAAACTTTATCCCAATGGGTTTTCAGATGCATCAGGCACACATCTCTCTCTCTTTCTCTGTTTAGATAATTCGGAAACTCTTCAAACCAGCACAAAACTGTATGCGGAATTGAAACAAAGGCAAGAAATAACTCCTTTTTATTTTTATTTTTTGTGACTTGTAGAGATTTGACATCAAACAAAGGCAAAATTGAAACTTTATGTTATGACTTTCTCGTTAGTGAGTTCACTTCTACACCTAACAGATTCATCCAGTTCCTTGAATCATCTTCTATGTTTTAGAAAACTTCTTATGTGTATGCAAAGATAAAAAATTTACCATTTTTGATAGGATAGAGGAAGGCAGAGCCATGGAAAGGAAATTATAGGGTATGGAAGATGACACTTCTCATGCCACCATTGACAGAAAGGGTACGTTTTTTGAGTTCTTACATTTTGGTTTGTTATTTGTCTCTCTTTCACGTAACATAAACATATAAACCTAAAGCCATCTTATACAAAGACAAAAGTTTTACTATTTTTGACATAAATTGAACAGAGCTGCCAAAAAGCAAAAATTGGACAGGGAAGATGACACTTCTAATGCCACCATTGTCACGACTCGAACTGGCGAGCCGCGACCGGCACGTAGCCCGGGGTGGGGTGACCCACCATAGGCTACGTAAGCCTTAATCCTTTCTCTATTTCCTACAGAAATTTCGACAAGCATTTCCCCTATAATTAGACGATCCCAAAAATAATATATCCCGCATAAAAATCACAATAGATGTACACTTCTAAATCATCTTCACCAATTCTCAATCATCCTCAAGTCCCTCCATTGGACATCCACACTTCCTCATAAATCTCAATATTTACTAAATTGACAAAAATACACATAATTCAATATTGAACATAACCAAATTTATAAATCACCATTTAACCATCTAGATACAAAATATGGAGACCCTTAACTAGCTATCCCTGGATTTGGTGACGCTACCAGCGGAGCAACTAAATGAAATAAAATACATAATGACTAATTACAATTCCAAAATGGACAATGAATACAAATTTAAAACAACCATGTCCTATACCCGGAGGAAGCAAAATAATATCCGGGTAGTACCTTCAAATCCAGAAAATCTATCGCCCTCCTTCTATGATCTAGCTTCGTATTATCTACAAAATATTTGAGGTTGGGGGGTGAGTTTTCAAAACTCGATAAGCATAACACATATTATAAATCGCTATACATACAATTATGCCAATGCACATATCATACATGATTTGCAACCAAGCTAACAATCAATAACATTTTTCTTTTTCTTTCTTTCTTAACAATTAATAATAGCATAACAATTTCTTGAAATCACTCTATGCGGAATCTGTCTATTCCTTTGGCCCTCAAAAGGGTAACTATGGCCCTCGCAAGGGTAACTCGTAAACTCTAGCCCCCGCAGGGTAAACTCGAGGGAAGCATCGCGGCCATTCCCTAGCCGGCAAATACTAGGTGCACCTAGGCTAACTATAACCCCGTTAGCTTAGTTAGTCCCGCATAGACTTCTTTCAAGTCATCAATCTCATTATTATCATTCAACACGTAGCAATCATACAATTCCATTTAATGCAAGTGATCATCATATCAACATGCACATATACCATTCAATGTATCAATATTCCTTTAATAACCATAATTCATACGGCAACATACCAATTCAATTCATCTATACTAAAATAATTCAATTCACATGCAATTATTATTATTATTATTATTATTATTATTTTAATAATTAAGCATTTATCCAAACAATCGATTTTCACCTCACAATCAATATAGACATATATGATAGTAAAGACTCATAATAGGTGTTATACTTACCTCTAATCTAAAGGAACACCCCCAAATTATAATTGCCTCTTCTTTAAGCAGACTTCTTCCACCAAATCTTCTCTTACCTCTATCATCATAAATTTGCATTCATCAATAATAACAATAATTAAACACTAATAAATTGAAATTCAAGCTTAATTGGACCCTAATTAACCCATTCACTCACTTTCTCCAAATTTCCTAAACTAACATAAACCCTAATTTTAATTAAACCTAATCCCTAATTCAAATTCTTAATTCAAAAATAAAATTTACTAAATTACCTATAACCCATCCTAATTAAGGTTATAATTAACTAAAACATTCAAAAAAAAATCCAAAACTCACTTAATAAATCTTTTTTTCCTTCTTCCTTATTTCACCTCTTTTTACCCTCATTTTTCTTCTCCTTACCTGAGTCACTCCACCACTGCCGTCGCCGGAGCTGTCGCCGGAGTAGGTGGTCACCGGCGAGTCTTCTTCTTCCTCTCCTTCCTTCTCCTCTCTTTCCTTTCTTCTTTTTCTTTCTCTCCTCCCCTTTCCCGTTTTCCTTTTGTTTCTTTTCTGGTTTCTGCCAATCTTTCCTTTATTTCTTTATTTTCTTTGCTTTTAAATTACCCTAATACCCCTCATTTAAAAACCCTCTCTTATTTACTTACATGGGCTTATGGGTATTACAACCATTGTCATAAATGGTATGTTTTTTTAGTTTTCAAATTTCTTTACTGTTTCTCTCCCTTTCACATTTATGGATCGCAGTGGGGTGCTTAACTCATTAATTCAAATTTTTTATACTACTCATTGAAAAAATACTCTAACCATTATTAATTAAAAAATCATCATATAAATCTTTATATAGTCTATATCTAGTTCATACTTGTTTATCCATCCATTTCATACCTATTAAATACTAATTAAATTTAATTATAAATATTCATTTTAGTTCCTATAATTTTTAAGAAAAATTTTTTTTATCCTTATTTTTTTTTTCATTTTGGTCATTTATTTATAAGTTTTTTTGGTTCTCAAAGTTTTTGAAAAAATATTTTAATTCTTAATTTTTAAATTTTATGCAATTAGATAATAAAAAATCTAAATAAATTAGTGGGTATTCGAGAGGGTAAAGAGTGGGTACCCATATCCTAAAATCGTATTAGTGGATATGTATTTTTTTATCTTTATTTAATTTAATATCCATTTGATTTTTTTAATGAGTATTTATTAGGTCCGATAAAGCCGATAACTGTTTTATACTCAGCCCATGCCATCCCTATATCACATAGCATAAACATATACAGATACTGACAAATCACAAAACCTAGAATCATCTTTTATTCTTAGGAAAGTAAGTACAAATTATTTTGATGTAGAGTACTGTAGAGCATGGAAAGTAGGAAAAATGTTTTTGGACGATGATTTCTTAGACAACAAGTGCACAAGTACTGCATAAATAAAACATTTTCCTGTGTAATTTGAATGCCATGAATTGCAGAAAAGAATGGATTCAGAAAGGTTCCACTAGCACATTATACCTTTGAGATTGAGTCATTCTCTTCACTTTTGGCGACTAAGGTGGCAAAGTATGAAACCAAAGATTTTGAATCCTGTGGCTACAAATGGTTTGTTCTTATAAATCATAAGAAGAATATCAAGTTATTTTTGTTTGTGTAATCAGATTTATCTTTTTATAGGAGAATGGTTCTGTACCCAAATGGGAAAAAGAAGGAAGATGGCAATCGTTTCATATCATTATTGTGGGAAAATGACAGAGCCGGATTATCTTTATCTAGGTTGGGAGGTTAATGTTGCTGTCAACTTTTTTGTGTTCGACCGAATTCGGGACGGATATTTGGCTGTTCAAGATATTAGACCAGGATCAAGTGTATAACTGTTTAATGTTTATAGTTTTTCAATTCAAATTTAAGTAATATATGTTTGTATTCAGATGCTGATAGGATAGACTTGCGCTTTGATAAGATGAAGATGGAATGGAGTTTCATCAAGTTTCTTTCTCATGACACTTTGCATGACCCTTCGAATGGCTTCCTGGTCGATTATCATTGCATATTTGGAGTGGAGGTTTTTGTTATTAAAAGGCCTGGTGAAGGAGAGAGTCTTTCATTCGTCAAAGAACCTGCAAATGGTCTACAGACTTGGACGATCAATGACTTTTCGAAGCTGAACAATTCTCTCCACTTCTCTGAGGTGTTTACTGTTGAAGGAAGAAAATAGTACGTGTAGATTGTTGTATTGCTTAAGTACTATTGTTATTCTTAGATCAGTTTACTCGTCTCTCTAATTTGATGCTGCAATTCATCAGGAAGCTGCAGCTTCATCCTGGGGGAGATTCAAATGCCTCAGGGACACACCGGTCTCTTCATCTCAGCGTAGATGATTCAGAAACTATTCAAACCAGGCGCAAACTGTAAGTAAAATGCTTGTTCAGAGTAAAGAAGAACATAAGCAGCAATCACTACGAAAGAACAAGCTTGTGATATTTTACCTATCACCATGTCGTTTAACTTCCATGTGGATAACTATAAACATCAATCTTGAATTGTTCTTTTGCAGCTTAGTGTGAATATTGGTTCGATGCCTCTCGAAAGGAGTGTGGTTTCTCTGATTTCATGTCGCTAGCTACTCTCAAGGATCAATCCAAGGGCTACCTAGAAAATGACTGTTTGATAATCGAAGCAAAGTTTATGCTCATTTCTGTGGCAAAAGATTTCTCGCAAAAAAGAGAGATGCTCCTTCACCAAATCATTTTGTATCCAGTCAAGCTCTGCCAGAAAATAGCTAGTTAAGTATAAATGTTGTAGAGATTTTATGTATTCGAAGCAAATTCGTATTGTCTGGTTTGCTTTGTGTTCTCTCTTTTTATTATTTCTTCTCCGATGCCGTTGAACATCCTTTCTTGTTCTTCGACCTTGACCACTCTAATTCGAACCTAATCTGCCTAGATCTTTGTTTTAAGGTTTCCAAGTACAACAACACCTTGTACAGAATCTGAGCAGTTAGTTATTATCAGAATGCGGTCGTGTTAAAAACTTGACATCTGATTGTTCTACATAAACTTAAGTTCTGCAATTAACGATTATCTGAAGCATTCAACAGATGGCTAGTTGTAAGTTCTTCTTCCATCTAAAACCTCAAGTCAGGTTTGTTCATGTTGCAAATTTTTGTTCGGTTAAATTAAATGAGGCAGAATCAATTTTCTTTGAAAAATAAATGGTTTCAAAATATCAAAGCTTCTATCTTCGGGTCCAGCATCTTCATTTCAGTTTTGATCAGCAGAGTTGCAGGAGCTGGAGATGTAACTGCAATGAAGCTGCTTAAGGTTTCGAGAACCGGGCGTGCAGTTTGATGTGGGTAGGAATCCGGGACAAAGAATGGCATACATTATCAACTTTTCAAAATACTAATACTTGGTTTCCAAAATCGTAGTAGTATATAATCAGAATCAAGTCTGCTGTCTTTTTCTACTCAGTCCAATCCTGTTTCTTCCAAGAGTTATTTTGTAGTTGTGTTTCACTTCGAATATTCAGAGCTTAAACTAGTAATGAAGCTTCGTTTATAAAAGGTTAAGCCATCTTTTGTGCCCTGTATTTGTAGCAAATAGATGTCTTACCCTCTGTGTTTTAGATTTAGTCAATTGACACCCAAATTAACACGATATTGATCAATTGAGACCCTAATCAATAATTTCCCTCCTAAAGGGATAAAATTCACTTTATAGAGAAATGCAGAATTAACTTTAAAAAAAAAAAAAAAATCTAAAAAATTCTTAAAAAAAAAAACATATATTAAAATGTTGCTTGAAGGATTCTTTTCCTGTTTGGAATGACTAATGGTTGGAGTGGTGGTTGAGTCCGTGATAAATAATATCATTAAGTTGAGGGAATTTTAGAAAATATTCGATTCAATTTTTATTTGAAAAAAAAAGTAATTTAGTAGGTCTTTTAGGCCAATCAACCAACATATTTGTCAGTTTTTGTATAAATCGACTTAGTTTGTATAAATAATATCAATACGTGGGTAAAAAAGTATTTTCCTTTTATAAGAGTACTAAATTAAATTTTAAATTAATATTATCGGTAATTTGAATATTGCTAATAGAGTTACTTGGTTCTTGAAGGTTTATTTATTTTAGCTTTACTCGAGCAATTGTTTATAGATCCTGTTGATGAACCGATGAGATTGGGTCTACTAGTATTTGATTGTATCCGATAATCATAACTAATGAAACATGTGTATTGTAAATAATATTTATTTTTAAAATTTTGTAAAATTATTAGTGAATTTAGCATTAAGAAAAGCTGACATGTGTAAATGATTTAATCCACGTAGCATAAGTTTTTTTCCAAACTAATACATTTTTAAATTTTTATTCCTTAAATGAGATATTTTTAGACTTAATTTTTAAATAAATGCATTTTTTTCCACATCAGAATTTTTTTCTATATCATTTTTTTTAATTACTGAAAAATAATTGCATTACGTTAAATAACTTCTTTATTTTGTGCTTTTCATTAATTAAAAAAAAAAAAAACTTTTATTCGTTTTTAGCCTTAGGGCTGCCGCCGGGCCTAAGGCTTGTAAGGGAATCAGAGTGAAGGTAAGAAATGAGAACTTAGAGCAGGCGTTGAGGTACATGGACTTCGGCTTGTGTGCAGGAGGATTAGATTCACTCCTAAGGAATCTCTCGCAAGCTCCAGATTATCCTCTGCAATAAAGTCAGGAGCTTGTGATAGAAGCTTTGAAGTATCTTTCTTGGTTATTAAGATTTTGATTAACCAGCATACATTACCATTATACCCTTCCAACATAGATTGAAAACAATCCTACTTAAAAATAAAAAATCTGACAAAAATTATCTGATTTTGACAAATAAACCTAAAACAATCTTATTTTTACAAATAAGATTTAAAAATAACTATCTGATTTTGACAAATAAACTAAAACAATCTTATTTTTATAAATAAGATTTAAAAATATCATGTTTTAAGAAAAAAACTCTTTTATTTTGCGATTATTCCTAGAGGATGTGACCATTTGTTCTATGATTGGCGTTCTAGAGACATCGAACAAGGGCAAAATTGAAACTTTATGTCGTAGTGACTTCCTCGTTAAGGAGTTGACTTCTACAGTCAACAGACTCATCACCAGTCATTCCAATTTCTTCAATCATCCTCTAGTTTTTAGAGAACTAAATCACAGTCAAGCGTCCAGACCCTCTCTCTCTCACAACTCTTCTCTCCCTCCTCCTCCTCCTCCTCCGACAGTTATACAACTCTTCCTCCTGCTATAGAAGATCCTGTATAGAGTCAGGTGAGTTTATTTGTATATTTTTATTCTAAGTGAAATATGCAATGGCTTTGGACTTTCATGCAGCAAATTGGCTATAGACGGTGCTCTAAGAGGCCTGCATATTTCACTTTCTCGTTAATCTGTCAGAAATGGCTACGGCAATAGATTCGTTTCAAGTCTTAATTTAGAATGTTACAGTTTAATTCAAAATGTGTGGGTAGCAGAGGTTGACAATGTGCACGTACTTAAAGAGATCCATTGGCCAAATGATTCTCCAATCTTCCATACAATTGTTAAATTTAGGTCCATTTTTTCAAGATTACCAACTGAAAACAAAGAGCTTCTTTGAGGATTTCTTGAGCAATGGGACCAAGAATTCTTGTGTTTGTGCCATACTAGCAGTGACTAATAATAATGATTATAAGTTCTGTACTGTTAGTATTTTCTTGTTCTGTTAAATTACTTAGAACATGCATCTTGTTTTAGCACTCTTTTGATCCAAATTAGCATCAATTCTTTAATGGCTTCATTCGTGTCTAACAGATACTAAGATGAACTATAGATTCAGGACTCCGGATTCCACCTTTGATGTTTATTTGTCATCAATTAACTGTATAATATCTTTGAATTGGATTTTCTTCCTTTAGCGTTGCTGCACCCGTAAGTGAAGCAGGTGAGATGGGCAATGGCCCAGTCCACAAGCTCAAAATTAAAAAGCCTCTGTCTAGAGACCGAAAGCCCAAAGCCCAAAAAAATTTCGGGTTAAACAAAAAAAAACCGAAATTTTGGTTTTCTAACTGGAAAATCGAATTTAAATTCGATGTGGTTTTTGTTTTTGATAATTTGTTTAATCGAAAACCGAATTGAAATTCATAGAAACCGAGCTGAAAAACCGTTTGCTTACCCCTAAAACTAACCTCTTAAAGCATCACGACCCTATGTATTCTCTCGTTCTTAGAAAACTTCTCTTGTATATAAAAAGAGAAATTTTACTCTATTTTTGATAGGATAGTGATAAGGCAGAGCTATGAAGAGGGAATTGGACAAGGAAGATGACATTTTCAATGCCACCACGGACAAAAATGGTATGCATTGTGAGTTCTCATTTTTTCTTTACCACTCATTTCTCTTTCACGCAAATAAACATTTACACACACTGACAAATGACACCACCTGGTATCATGGCTCGCAGGAAAGCAAAGATTTAGAAAGCTTCCACCAGCACACTATACGTTTGAGATTGAGTCATTCTCTTCGCTTTTAAAGACTAAGATGGAAAATTATGAAACGAAAGATTTTGAAGTTGATGGCTACAAATGGTTTGTTCTGATAGATCACAACTGATCTTCCTTGCCAATTTATTTTTTCAAAATTTATCGGGTTTGATAATTTTGTCTGTGTATACATCTTTATTGTTTTCAAGGAGAATGGTCCTCTACCCAAATCGGAAAAGTAAGAAGGAAGGTGGCAGCCGCCACATATCTTTGTTCTTGGCAGTCACAGAGCCTGCTGGTGTTTCTTTTGGTTGGGAGGTTAACATTTCTGCCACATTCTTTGTCTTTGATGGAATTCGTGACAGATATTTAGCTGTTCAAGGTATAAACAAAGATCAACTGTGCAAGTGTGTGTAATTTAGCAATTCAAATTTAGTCATTCTTCACGTTTTTTTTTTTTTTTTTTTGTGATCAGATGCTGATCAAATGTACTGGCGCTTTCACAAGTTTAAGACCGAATGGGGTTTTCTTGATTTTCTTTCCCATGACACTTTGCGTGACCCTTCCAACGGCTTCCTGCTTGATGATCGAATCATATTGGGAGTGGAGGTATTTGTTATCAAATTCTCTGGTGCTGGAGAGAGTCTTTCATTGGTCAAAGAACCTGAAAGTGGTCTATACACTTGGAAGATTGATAACTTTTCAGCTTTGGATAAGCATTCCCTTTGCTCCGAGGTGTTTACTGTTGAAGGAAGAAAATGGTGTGTAGATTTTCTGTATTGTTAAAGCAGTTGTCGTTTCCTTAGATTGCAGAGCTCATTTGCCTCTTTCTCAAAATTTTTATCCTGAATTCATCAGGAAACTGTGGCTTTATCCCAAGGGAGATTCAAATCCATCAGGGACGCATCTCTCTCTTTATCTCCATTTAGATGATTCAGAAAGTCTTCATACCGGCCGTAAACTGTACGCAAAATGGTCGCTTAGAATAAAGAACTGCACAAACCGCAATCACTACGAAAAAGAAGGTATATTGTTTCCCGACTTTTTTTGCATTTTAATTGTAACGAGGTTATTTAACTTCTGTGTTCTAACATCAATTCTATGTTTCTTTTTTAGAAGCGGAACATTGGTTTGATTCCCCAGGCCAAGGGTTTGGTTGCATAGATTTCATGTTGCTAAGTACTCTTAAGGATCCATCCATGGGCTATCTGGTGAATGACTGCATGATAATCGAAGCAGAGTTTAATCTCATTTCTGTGGTAAAAGATTTCTCTTTTAAAAAATAAGAGGGGAGAGATCTTCATTTACTGTAACCATTTTTTTCCTAGTCTTCATGGAAAAAACTCCAAGTTCTAAGTATATTATGTTTTAGTGTTTGCATGATTTCTTGTTCAGGGAACTTTACCGGGCTACTTACAATGACGGGCTCCTAAATACAGTTACCTCCTATGGAATATTTTGTAACAATAATAGAATGTTGCAGGATTTCTTATAAGCATAAGTTGTCTGATCGAATATTGTTCAAAATACTCATCTTGATCTTTAATTATAGCAGTTATGCACTATAAAAAAGCTTGCTATTTAAAACTTTCTAGTCGTCTGAATGTTTGCAAAACATTTGTCCTGATGGCTTGTTTTATGTTCTTCCCTTTCCAACTGAAACTTTGAGTCAAGTTTGATTTCTTCTTCAAAATGTTCAGTTCAGAGTTGATCAGCAATGTTGCAGGAGCTGCAGATGTAGTGTGAAAAAAAATCAATCAAGAAAAGGCCATATTTAATATCTGGCTCTCTATTTGAGTTGTGATTTTATGAATATGATGCTTGCAAGGATTATTTGACAATTTTTCAAGAAATTAAAGGAATTCCCAAGTAACTGACAGCAAGTTTTCCTGTTCCGAAACTAGAAATTTTCTGATGATTGTAAGAGACAACATTGTCACCATCCATGCCTGCCAGAGAAACGTGAGATTTATGATAAATCTTGCTCACTAGCATATGAGAAATGACAGGATCCCCACTAAACCAAAATTTATTAGAACAATCTTCTGGTTAAAAATCTTACCTTTTCTTGGTTGGAAAATTAGAGGGACATTACTTCTAGCTCAAACCACTGTATATAATGCCAGAACTGAAGCAGAAAGGGCAGGGCTATCATTGGAGGAACTTGTTGCGAAAACATGCTTAGAACAAAATTGTTCTTATAGAACGTGGATTCATTAAGGATTTGACACGATTTTAGTCAGCTATATATCGTAGGGTAGGATCCAAGTATCCTGAAATCCTGAAAAGGCCTTGAGAGCTGCCTATTTTGTTTGTATAAGCATAAGGTCCAGTCCATAAATAATTTTAGCATAATCTATGAAAAAATTAATTAGGAAAATATTAAATTAGAAAAGGACTGAATTGAAAAGAGGAAAGAAAATGGAGAAAAGGAAAGGAGATTTTCTTTTGTTTTTTCATATCTATATAAGGAGATTTTGCAGGCTTCAGGATTTAGCAAGAAGGTAACTTGTAATACAATTAATATTTTATTTTTTCTTAAAAAGCTTGTGATTTTATTGATTTTTTTTATTATAGTGGATTATTTGAGAATTAGTTTCATGGTTTTTTTTAGATATATATAATAAAGATGATTTTGTACGCCAACAAGTTGCTGACCTAATGATAAGTTAGCTATTTTTTATGTGAATTTTTTGTTAATTTGTAAGATTCAAATCTTGAAATTATAATTGTAGAAAGGATTAAACCTTATCACTCTTACTTCGAATAATCTTTAATGACGGATGAGAATATCTAAAAAACAAAAAACATGGTTTTTTTACATAAATTTGGTGACTCGAAAATATTATTGTTTGTTTTTAACTTGATTATTTTATCACAAAATCTAATTCACACATGATAAAATTAAATTTCCAATATATTCTTGATATTTTATGATATGCTGATTTACTTGTTAATTTTGGACATACAAAGAGCTAAAAGGAGAGACAAGGCAATGCTTCCACTTCAGGAAAACTAGAATACTCCTCTTAGTAGTAAAAGATAAAAGACTATGGGGATATTAATTATAGCTCAATCCACTATTTTTGAGAACTGGAGCTGTAAGGGGCTAGCATGTGATGAACTTATTATTTTTTGTGAACTCAGCAGTTGGATGGATTAAAACTTTAGGGTTTTTGGTTTACAAACTTACCTCTTAGAACATCACGACCGTATAAATTTTCTATTTTTCAGAAAACTTCTCTTGTATATAAAAAGAGAAAATTTCACAGTTTTTTTTATAGGATATTAGGGATAAGGCAGAGCTATGAAAAGGGACACTTCCAATGCCACCATTGACAAAAATGGTATGTTTTTTCTTTTACCATTCATCTCTCTTTCCCACACTCTTAGAAGACAACCTGGAATCTCAGAATTCATGCTGTTATTTTTGTTCATCATGGCTTGCAGGAAAGCAACGATTTAGAAAGCTTCCACCAGCACACTATACGTTTGAGATTGAGTCGTTCTCTTCTCTTTTAGAGACTAAGGTGGAAAAGTATGAAACTAAAGATTTTGAAGCTGGTGGCTACAAATGGTTTGTTCTGATATATAGATGATCATAACTCATCTTCCATGTCAATTCATTTTTCCAAAATTTATCAGTTTTGGTAATTCTCTTCTTGTATTCAAATTTATTGGTTTTAAGGAGAATGGTCCTCTACCCGAATGGGAAAAACAAGGAAGATGGCAGCCGTCACATATCTTTGTTCTTGGCACTAGCAGAGCCTGCTGGTGTTTCTTTTGGTTGGGAGCTTAACGTTACTGCTACTTTCTTTGTCCTCGATAGAACTCGTGACAGACATTTGGCGGTTCAAGGTATAAGACAAGGATCAAGTGTGCGATTGTTTTGTAATTTACCAATTCAAATTATTTAGTCAACACTCACATGTTTCTTTGTTCAGATGCTGATCAATTATCCTGGCGCTTTCATAAGTTTAAGGCCGAATGGGGTGTTCTTGATTTTCTTTCCCATCAAGCTTTGCACGACCCTTCCAATGGCTTCCTGGTCGATAATCGAATCGTATTGGGAGTGGAGGTATTTGTTATCAAATTCTCTGGTGCAGGAGAGAGTCTTTCATTCGTCAAAGAACCTGCGCATGGTCTATACACATGGACGATTGATAACTTTTCAACATTGGATAAGAATTTGTGCTTTTCTGATGTGTTCATTGTTGAAGGAACAAAATGGTGCGTGTTGATTTTCTGCGTTGTTAAAGCAGTTGCATTTGCTTGAATTGCAGAGCTCATTGGCCTCTTTCTCAAAAAATTTTATATTGAATTCATCAGGAAACTGTGTCTTCATCCCAAGGGAGATTCAAGAGCATCAGGCACACATCTCTCTCTTTCTCTCCATTTAGTTGGTTCCGAAACACTTCAAACCAGCTCTAAACTGTAGGCAAAATGGTTGCTCGGAATAAAGGACCACACAAACCGCACTCACTACGAAAAAAAGGTCTATTGTTGCAGAGACATTTTTTTGTCATTTCGATTCCCACAATGCCATCTAATATCTGTGTCAGTAAAATGATCATCAATTCTATGGTTCTTTTGCAGCAGGAGAATACTGGTTCGGTACCACAGGAGTAGGGTGGGGTTTCTCTAAGTTCATGTTGCTAAGTACTCTCAAGGATCCATCCATGGGCTATCCGGTGAATGACTCTGTGATAATCGAAGCAAAGTTTGATGCCATTTCCGTGATTTAAGATTTCTCTCAAAATAAGAGAATCAAGCTAGAAGAAAATTGAGTCGAGTATGAAGGTTTTACTTTTAGTGCTTCGATGGATTCAAAGCAAATTCCTTTTGTTTGGTATGGACAAATCTAGCATTTTGAGCTTACCATTTGTTTTCTCGGAACATCTCTTCTGTAAACATGAGGGGAATAACAGTGGCTTAGTACAGACCTAGAAAGGGAAATCAGAGATCAAAACATGAAACAATGGTTGTTCAAATATGGTTCAATGCCTTTTCTTAAAAGAGACTATGATTCGGACTAAAGTAAAGGCAGACTAGACTCATTTCGAGCAAAAAGTAACTATATGATACTGTAATTTCGCAAAGTAGATTTCTGGCTTTTCCTACTTAGTTCATAACTTCAGAGGTTAAATCTATTCCAGTTTCAGTGAGTGAGACTATTTCATCCATGAATGAACAGGTCACCAAACCTTTTTTCTACAACTTCATTACTACTACTACTACCATCAAATTATAAACACTCATGCACATGCATTGAAATTTAAACTCCACGGCAATTCAGCAACTAACACACTCATCATCGAGGCTAAATCTATGCTTGCGTGTGGCAACTCTGCCAAATAGAATATTCAAATGTATAACTCTCCAGAAATTTCAATTGTGCTTGTATTCATCAATGCAGGAATTGGGTTCAAGCTTTCGCCAGCCCCGTCTCATCAATGGATTCCTGATGTATATGTCAGGAGTGCTGTTCGTTTGAAAAATTCCTAACTTTTTTGTTTTAGTGAAACAACAAAACAGAGGCAGAAAATAACCTACATCAAGCAATGTTTTGCTAAGAAGGCCAAACAAGATCAACCCAAATTCAGAACTATCAATAAATGGAGAAAATTTCAGGTGGATGCATCGAACATAGACTCGGCTAAGATTGCCAAACAAGATCAAAACCCTATATCAGAACAATAAAAAATATAACTGGAACTATCAAGTGTTTTATTGAAATGGTTTTCTTAATAGCAATTGAGAGGGTAAATTGGTTCAGGTTGAAACCCAGCCCTGACACAGTTGGGTTTGAGCTGTTGAGGTATTCATATCCGTTGTAGAGACATTGAATTTAAACAGGTAAGCAATCCAAATCACATTTTTGGGAGCTGGAATGGGACAAAACAACTGAACAGAGTATAAACTACAAAGCCATGCAACAACATTTGTTTATTTATTTATTTATAGAGTCACAGCCACACATAGCAGTAAACAGTAACAACTACACACAATGATGGTACAGGGAGGCATTCTTGTAAACTCAAAGCAACTGGTATCTTCTTGTTTTAATTTTAAATACCATAACTAGTAATGACAAAACATGCAGCACACGAAGGCATTTGGAAAATCTATTGAAAAAGTTTCTCAAAAGAATTAGTAAATAAATAATAAGGGAAAGGAAGAATATCAAAAACATTTATTCGATTGCTCTGAAACAGCTTACAAAACATACAACTTAATCTAAGAAGAGCCAGTTGACAGAACTTCATTTACTGCTACCAACTGCGAAGAAACTATCTATTTACTTTTCCATACAAATCTTTCATGTCCGTAATGGCCGTAGAATACAATTGTTGTGACTATCCAATATTTATTCATGTGAGAAAGTGAAATAAGAAAAAAGAATTTCAATATGTACGTAACAATACAAAAATTTACTCCTGAGTTAATCTAAAGGCAAAGTAGAAAAACCTGGAACAAATCAAAGATGTAATACAAGTAGAAAATTCTGCCTCTTGTGTTTGTTGATCTAGTGCTCTAGATTGGTTCTGTATAATCCTTTCATGTCTTTCCAGTGTGAGCTGCTCTGTGTTGTAGAAATTCGAAACTACGTGGATCCAAGCTTCTGATGAGATTCAATAAGCAATGCATTAAGCAGAATATGAACAGCAGCTTCATAAACAGCTCCATCATAATGCATCCCATCAATTGTACACCTTGGTCCACAATTCCAACTCAATGATTGAATATCCAACAACAGAAGAGGACCACCATATCTGCGCAAGAGCCTACTATTGCGCATTGCTCTATAATAAGCATGCCACATCTCATCATTCATCTTCTCCCTCTTCTCCTCTGTATTCAACATCCCATTTATCAACATTGGCATCCCAAGCCAAAACAAATGTGGAGATCTAACAGATACAGAACCCGTCACAGGCCCATCTGTACCCAATTCCGGCGAAAATGGTAACAAGGAAACCACCGAACTCCTCAAATTCTCCAACGCAACTTCATAATCCGATTCATTGTTCACATGAAGCATATGCCACAGCCCTGCTCCCATCACCAAGACATCAGGGTAAGTTCTATTTTGCTTAAACCTCACCATCAAATTTGTCAAATTAACCACATATGGAGCCCAAACAAAATCCAATTTCATACCAATCTCATCCACAACAATCTCATAATCACTATGCCTCTTAAACAAATCCCCATTAATCATTCCCATCCTTTTCTCATCCAAAATCAAACTTAACAAAGATTGTACAATCAACCGAGCTTGCGAATCCCCTGCCACGACAACCCATGACCCATTGAGCAAATCTTTAACATCTCCTCTTCCCAACTTCTCAAAATCACAACCTTTCACCTTCCCATTTTCAGACCAATCCCATATCTTGTCATAAGCAACAGAATCATTACCATTACCATTACTACTATCATTACCATCACTACTGATAATACGAGGTTTAACATCCCAAATAACTTCATTAACCAAATTAATACAAGAATCCTCACGATTATCAAAAACCACAACAGATTGAACTGAAGTAACAAAATCAGAAACAGAAGGGAAATAAGGAGTTAAATGAACACCTACCGCAAGTGTAATAAAAAGGGCACCGCTAAAAAAAAGCATCTTGTTTCTGCTTAAATGATAACCTGCCATTCCCATTGGTACAAATAACACCACACAAGCTGCCAAGACTCCTATCTGTATGCCACCAAACATAATTGGCATAAAGTTTTGGTCTTTTTGGTTTTTTTTGTTCAGATCACTGATGTCATGGTTTGTTAATGATTCTTGAATTGAAAAAGGAAGGGAGAAGTGGGTTTTTTTGCGTTTTTTGTTCTGCTTAATGGGTTTCTTTTTTCCCCTTTTGTTGGTGGTGATGAAGATCAAGAAATGGAGGAAGGATTGGTTTGGTATGGGAAGATTTGTGAATTGTGAATAAAGGGAAAAGTTTTTGTTTTTTATTTTTATTTTTTTCTTTCCTTGATGTAAATGGGACAACGACAGTTTAATTTAGTTTTTCACATTAATTTCGGTTGTTACTGATGATGTTTTTTTTTTTTCAATTTTTTTTTTTTTGGTGTGTTTTTAGTTATTAATTACTGAAGGGGAAGGAATGATTCTCTGGTAAGGATAGGGATCAGTTGGCGTTAGCAGAATAAGTTGATGGGGCAAAGAAAAACGTTATTTTGGGCATTAAATTCACTATAACAATTGGGTTAATTACAGTGTAGTCTCTATAGATTGTTAAAATTAATTAATTAGTCCCCATAGTATAAAAAAATATTAACAGTCCACTCAATTTAATAATTTTTGGTTCGAAAAATTAGTGGAGATATTAAATTAAACATATGAATTCGACTTAAACACCTAAATCAATCCACACCGAAAAAAATAAACTATTTATTTAATTATTTAATCTAATTAAAAAATAAACTATTTAAGATTGGACTAAAATGACTGATGAAAAAATTCTATTTTCTCATAACATAATAAAAAATCATAATTTGTTTTTTCAAAAAAAGAACTAATAGAATTTGACTATAAAAGAAAAATAGTTAAATATTAACTATTTATTATGGATTTCTTGTTTAATATTTTTACGTTCGACAATAAAAATATCATCGGCTAATTAAGGTATCAATCGATATTAATTTTGTTAAATAATTTTTAAATAAATCTATCATATCGATTTAATGCATAAATATTAAATAAATTTATTTTTATTATATGTAAGTACGAAAACAATGAATCGAAATTTCGCGATGGGCTAATAATATTTCCATAGCGAGCACTTTGTAAGGCCGAGTTGGGCTGTTGGATGGTATGAGATAAGAATTGGGCCTTTTGCTTATATCGACGTCAATTAGCTTTTGCGTGTAGCAAGTTGAAACGAGAAGAGAGAAGTGGAGTCAGAATCAGCAGGAAAGCAACCAGAAACAGTGAAGATGGAGGCACAGAAATACGTATGGGAAGGAGCAATTCCATTACAAATTCATCTTCACGAATCAGAAGTAACCAGCCTTCCACCACCACCACCAGCATTAATCTTAGCACCTAGAATTGGTTACTTACCTTTGCTTCTTCCTCTTATTAAGCCTTACTTCTCTTCTGCTCTCCCTCCTGGTCAAGATACTCTTTGGTTTGATTACAAAGGATTGCCTCTCAAATGGTAATTGTAAGAAGCATTGTGCTAGTGCTTCATTGTTTTTTTTCTTTTTCTTGTGTTGATTGAAGGGTAGTAAAGAGACCCTTTTGAGAAAAATGTTTGTTTGTTTTGATTGATTAAGTTAATATCTGCAGCACATCTTTTTTGGATTTTTTTTTTTTTTGTTGATTTAAGTGAAATAAAGGGACCCTTTTGTGAGAAAGTTGGTTTCTTTTGATTAATGGAGCTAATGGATTTGGAAATTTATTCATGGAACTGAATTAAGGAAAGTCAACTGGCAGAAAGTTGGTTTCTTTTGATTGATTTGGCTAATGGGTGTTTGTGGATTTTTTTTTTTTTTTTTTTTGTAGGTATATACCAACAGGGGTTCTTTTTGATCTTTTTTGTGCTGAACCTGAAAGACCTTGGAATTTGACGGTATGGATCTTTGTTTTTTTTTGTGTTAGCTTTAGTGGAAATTGGTATTAGGTTGATTGGGTTAGCTTTTTTACTGTTGGAGTTTGAGAAATTTTGAAGCTGGGATAAGTAACTCATTGGTTCTTAGCTTGCATATGCAAGAATTGTATGGGTGATTGAGTTGAGTGTTATTGTTGGACAGTGGGATTTCATCTTTAGTACTTTCTACTAAAAGTTTGAAGTCCTTGGAGAAAAAATACGAATTCTTTAGGATTCAGCATTAGGACCTGCATTTCATTTAGAGGGTTTTTATTATATCATGCAATCTGGCCATTCCATGTTGCTGATTATTCTTTGTTGCGTGCTTGCCGCCCTTGCTTTCTGCACTGTGATTTGAGTTTTGGAAACCGAATTTTGGTTGAGGTGCACTGTGTTTTGGTCAACATGGTTTTGTTAAAGGGGATTCCATCATCAACTTGTTGCTTCATGGTTACTTTCCTGGCTTTGGTATATCTTATTGCTTGGATTTCTAAGAAAAGGATGTGTCTCATTGTGTATCTGCCTTATGTTTCTCTTCCTTTTTCTGTAATTTGGTTTCTTTGTGCACAAATCTGGTTTGCTATATTCTCCTCAAGTGCCACAGTTTTGGTCTATGTAGCAAATTCTCTTCACATCGTTGCTTTCGAAGACTTCATTTACCACCATTGGCCATTATGACTGGTTTAGAATTTACTCTGTGATTGATTTGTAAGCAGTTTCCTGTTGCTGAGTTTTGCCGTCATATTTTGGTGTGTAACTAACCATTCTCTCATTGGCTATTTTGATCCTGTATTCATTTTCTTAAGTATAATAATTATGGTCTCATTCATAAAAAAAAATTAAAAAAAGGTTGATAATTCTTTCTTTTGTAGTCAAATTATTTCATGAATTTTTGACCAATTGTCAGTTTTTGTATCTATTTCTCCAGGTACATTTTAGAGGATATCCTAGTAATTTGTTGATTCCCTGTGAAGGTGAAGAGTCTGTAAAGTGGAGCTTTATTAATTCACTGAAAGAGGTTAGTATACCACTCTTATATTTCTATTGAACAGAACTTTTTGGATGATACTAAATTTGATATGTTTATGAAGTCTGTTATCTATTCATGCAAGTTGATGTGCCTTATTCCCAGAAAACAATCACCATGAGTCACTGAGCGCTTAATCACTTTTTCATTGTTTTTAGATTGTTGAAACTCGAAACTATCTTGCAGCTTGGTTTTTAACTGTTTCTTTTATGGGATCCATACTAGTAACTAAAACCAAATCGAACCCATGACCCTTGTTTGCATTGAACTAGATACTCTCTCACTCCATTGTTTCAAGGTATGGCTGTGTTTAAGCTTGTCTTGGTATCTTCAGAAACTAGTGGAGCTCAACATTAGACAGGGAGAGCTATAGATCTTAAAAAAATTATATTTTGTTTCTATAATACATCATCGCATGACCACGAACCATTATTCGTGGAGTGCAAAGTGTAACTATCCATAAATTGTGTTTTGAGCTCTTGATTAACCAAAAAATAAGCATTATAAATTAACATGTAACCAAGTGAAAAATCAGGAAATATAAAGATTATATTATTTTATATTACAATACATAATATGTTTGAACTATTTTTGCATGCATTTGAATATATCCATCTTCTTTATTAAGTCAAACACAAGTTATTCTCAAGAATAAAAAATTTGCAAAAGAAATTACTATTTTGTAATCTGGCTTTAAAAAGCCAGTCAAGTTTGGACTTGGATGATGTGACTATTCATATGACATTCACTCCACTCAATCAACCCTTGAAAAAAAAAAAGGAGAGGGAGAGAGAGTTATGAATTTGACTTGATAAGTGTGGAACGAACTCAACTTGCTTATGATTACTTAGGGTTATATCTCTATTCGTGCTGTTTGTGATTGTATTAGAAATTAAACTCCATAATTTTGTAAAAGTAGAAAAAAATAGTACCTGGATTCCATTAATGAAAAGTTCAAAAAATTGTCTTGTATATCATCTCTATAAAAACCTTGACTGTATTCAGATACCTCCTTATTGGATGTATAGCTGGTCATGTTTTATATATGCACTTAATACTTTACATTCTTTGATCCTAACTGGTAAATTTTTAGAGTGGAGAAGGAAAATTCCTTAACTATGTTTGGTTATGCATACAGGCAGATTACATAATCAATGGAAATTGCAAAAATGTTATGAATATGTCTCAATCTGATCAAGTGGAGCTGTGGCGCTCTGTTATGGATGGTATGTCAGTCTGTTATGCAGTATGTCTGTTTTATACTTTGTATTTTGTAATGCTCTGTCAGGAGTAGCTGTGGTGCTATGTTATGCAGCTTCTATTTTCTAACGGTGCAGACTGGTTTTTCTGTATGTTGTGCGGGCTCTGTTTAGCCTCATCCTTTCAAATTAGTCCTTGTCCTTTTATCTTTTGGTCGTTGTAACAAGTGCTGCAATTTCAAGTTCTTCTTATAGCTTTTTTGTTCTTGTCTGAAAGCTGATTTTCTTAGCAGGCAATTTGGACAAATATCTCCGTGCATCATCAAAGCTTAAACTTGGAACACTCGCCACTGATGAGGGAGATATGGCTGGGCAAGTGAAAGCAGGTTAGCAAAATCGGCACTTAATCTACAGAGTTCAACATAGGCGTCTGAACTGAGTTGAACTAGGAATATGTAAATAAGCTCTTGATTGTTTTTCGTATTAAGCTTGTGGATAATGGTGCGTTGGGAAATGGAAGGGAATATGATTATCTCTTTCATTTCTCAGAATTATCTTATCAATTCATCACTTAATTGTGGTGTGCACTGAAGGCATCTCACTTGATCATGGCGATTTTCTCACATTTAAAGTACCTGTATGTTGAAGCACATGTACTTACAGTCTATCAAACTTACCATAAAGAAATTAAGCCATTTAACATATGAGAAGAAATGTTGAAAGCATTATATCATTTTTTATGTATTTTGTAAAAGAATGTGCACATCTGCCTATGCATTACTTGCATTCCTGGTTTTAAATATCTTTTTCACTTCAAACCTTGAGACCTTTTTTGGATGATTGACAACAATCTTCAATTTTATTTTATTTTTGTTTTTACTTTCTTTTTCAATATTTATATAAATAGACAAAAAAAAAAAAAAAAAAAAAACAGTTATTTGCTGTTTATAATTCTATTTTTTCATTATGCGAATAGATTTCTTGTTTCTCTAGCTTCTATTGAATTTTGATTGTTTTATTGTCTGAACTATTATTCAGGTAAAATTCCAATTCGATTGTATGTTCGGAGCGTTCATGAGGATTTTGAAGATCTGGAAGATGCAACTGAAATTGAAAACTGGGATCAAATTTCTTACATAAATCGTCCTGTCGAAATTCACAAAGAAGAAGGTAAGCCATGCCCCATTGTTTGTTTTGATGATTCTGCTAATTGTGAACGTAATGACCTCTGCTGATTGCTCAGACCTTTTCTCATACTGCGTTTCATAGATGTATGATGATAGTTAGAAATAGTTGTTGTTCCTTGAACTTTAAGCCTGCACATTCAATGAATCCACAAGAATCAAGCATATTTTTACCATTTGTCTGCATGAAGTTGCTCTCCTGAATTATTATGAGCCCTTCTAATGCCACGACTCACTTTCTTGGTTAGTCACCAGCTGAAGCAATTTCCAAGAATGTCATCAACGATTAAAATGATCAGAAATGACCCCTCTTATAGCAGTGTCTGTATTTCTATGTGATCCCTCTGTCTATTTGTGTGGTGGGGAGACATTTCTGAGGTCTAAGCATTCCTGTAAGCTATAATAATGTTTAGAAGCTTCAAGCTTGTAAATCCATCTTTGTTGCCTTGGTTGAATCTTCCATAATTCATGCGCTGCAACGAGTTGGGGACCTTCATTGTCTTCCAGACTTCATTTCTCGTTTTTCTTGCACTGCAGGTAAATACTTCACCCTTCACGATGCACTAAGAACTCTTCTTCCTGAATTTTTTGGGGTCAAATCCTTGATCAGCGATGAATCATGTGGAGAAGAAGGTGAAGATGCACAAAAAGTTTCATCAGAAGATGTAGGCAGCAATGCAGGAGGAGAAGAGGGGAAAGAAATTTTAAATCAACTCTTGGAATCTTCCTGCACATCCAATGATGCTGAAATCAAACTCGTCCGCATCCAAGGGATCGAACCAAAGTTGGAAATACCCTTCTCTTGGGTGGTGAACAACTTAAAGAATCCTGAGCACTTTCTCCATATCTGTGTTTGTGTCAAAGTTCCAAATGTAAATGCTGCATGATAGAAGGCCTTATCTTTCCTTCAAACATTTTTTAGCTTGCAATTTGAGCGAGCCCTGCTCTTCTAAATTTTCAATCTGGAAAGAATGCATGAATTGTATATAACTGTACAGACAGTCACGTAGATACTACCTTGTGTCACATTTGGAACTCTACATTTATTTTGTTCTTTCCTTTCAAAATTCAATGTTGTTATGATAGATATCAGAGCTGGGATATATGAAAACATTCAGAGAAGAATTGATTTGAAGGGAAAACAAGAATGGAGACTGAGGTCAGTTATTGTTTGCTTTTTGGTTGTCAACTGTCATTCTTGTGCTATCAAATTCTAATTATACAACAATTAGGTTGAGACCCCCAAAGATTAGTTTAATGGCAATTTTTGCTCCTGAACTATTAGGATTGTGGTATATTGAGGTCTGTATTATGAATTTGATCGATTTTGGTATTGAATTATTATGTTTTGGACAAATATTATCTATCCATTTGATTTGACTGTTATCATCGAAAAAAATCCATTCAAAAAGTTCAACCTTTTTTTTTTTTGGTGTTTTGATCTAAAAAATTTGACAAATGCTAATAAAAATTTAATCTACTTCCAAAATTTTTGGAGATCATGTATTTCTTAAGAAAAAATTATTAAATTTTAAATATTTATAAAATTGCAATAAATAAATTGAAATGACATCAAATTTTGCAGGATTCTTTAAAAAATCATATATAATCATCTACTTAGTCTTAATATGAATCTCATGGTTGAATGCATAACACTTAATCAAGTTTAAAATAAATTAATTAATTTTAGAAATCACATGTAAAAAATTTGAGAGCCATACTAAAATTACTTATAAAAATTCATATGGTATCTTTATAATTCTAAAAAAAAAACTGAGATAATTTCGGTTTATATTCTATTTTTTTAATTTATTGAAATTTTATATTGTTAAAAAAATAATAATTTCCAACTTCAACAAATTTTGCAATAATTTAAGAAAATAAATTGAAATTTTATTAGCATAATTGAGAATTTTCATCTCAAAATACTAAAAATTAAATTTATTTTAAAGGAGTTTTCGGTCAATATAACAATCAAATCATACAGAGTGACCATATCTGTTTAAAACATTATAGTTTAAGGATAAAATTGACTAAATTAATAATATAAATCTCAATGTGTCAAAACTGTAATAGTTGAGGGGCAAAAACTGCCATTAGACCCCCAAATATTTTTGGAGGGTCTTGTCACATTCACATACAAGTGTCTGGCTTCATGTACAGGCTAGGTCAGTTTCCGTTCTGGGCTGACTGTTCTTTCGGTTGGCCCATATTTTATTGGGCTCTAAGGATTAAGCCATATAGGTTAACTCCCTTTTGGACTTCGTAACTTGTAATGGCTATGGCCCTTTTCTGTTGTTAATTTTACGACTAAATTACTTTAGTTTTTAAAAGAAATTGAATAATCGCTATAGTTTTAATAACTAATTAATTAGTCTATATTTTAAATCTATTCATAAATTAGTCCTTTTCATTCTTTTTTCTAATAAACATAAAAATAAAAAAAGTAAAAAAAATATGAAAAAATTTGATGAAAAAAAAGATATTTCTTAAAACATAAATAATATTAAATTAATCATAATCAACACTGTTCAAAAAACTAATTAATTAATTTTTAAAACATGAAAAACTATTCAATTCGTTTTGCAAAACTAAAAAAACTAATTTATAATTACTCCAAGGTGCAATTGAATTAAAAAAAAAAACTATTAAATTGATGTTTTTCATATGTCCAAAAACACTTCTAGTTTGATCCCAAAAATACCAAAAGTTTGAGTGGTTGAGCTATGTTGTGATTTGCTTCAATACCTAGGGTTCAATTCTCACCATCACCTTTCTAAAGGTCTACGAAGTTGTAAATCCCAATCAATTACAACTTATACATAAGGCAAAAATAAAAAAAAAATCAACAAGGTGGTTCTAGTTTTTTTTTTTTTTTTTTTTACTGTGATAAGAATTCTATTTTTTTGAAAAATATGAAAATTTATTTTTGTATAGTGTGATCCAAGGGTTTTCCAACTCTCTAAGACCGAGTTAGAATGTCACGACTAGCGTAGAAAAAATCGGAATCCACCTCTTGTCAAGGCAAAAGTAAAACAAAACAAAAAACACACACGTTGCTTTTCCTTGGAAAAAAAAAAGAAAAGAAAAGAAAACGTCAATCCCTTGTAAGATACGATGGGTTTTTCTTGGTGAACATACCAATTAACATGCTTCAATGTTGTCCCAAATCCGGCATGGCAAAACAACTGTCCATACTCATGAAGACAAAGCTTAATTTGTTAGAGCATGTTCGGCTCTTAGAGGTACCCATTACATAGTGGCTTGATAATCGCAAAGCTTTAGTTACTTGTTGGAGAAGTAAAACAAGAAAAAAAAACTTAGAGAATATCACCTGATAGGGTTTACATCTCCTATATAAACAACTCATATGATCATTCCCATCTTACGTCCACCAAACAGAAATAAACAAGGGTTGCAGGAAAGAAACTGGCAAAAAGATGGCAAAGGAGGACCTGCTTCTCTTGGATTTCTGGGCTAGCCCATTTTGCATGAGGGTGAAGGTAGCATTGGCTGAGAAGGGTGTGGACTACGAATCAAAACAGGAGGAGAACTTGTTAGGTGGGAAGAGTGAGTTGCTGCTCAAATCAAACCCTATTTACCAGAAGGTGCCTGTGCTCTTAGACAATGGAAAGCCACTGTCTGAGTCCACTATCATTGTTAGCTACATTGATGAGAAATGGCCTTCACCTCCATTGCTCCCAGCTTGTGCATATGGTCGATCCCAAGCTCGTTTCTGGGCTGATTACATCGACAAGAAGGTTGGTTTCCGACACACCGGTGTTTTCTTACCTTGCATAAACGTACCCTTCACTGAAGATTTTCTTTATGTTTGGTTGATTTTTTTAGTGAATTAAATTGTCAATAATGCAGAATCAAGGAATTTACCAACACTAGTTGATGATGATATTGAAGACTAAGTCACACAAGTGCAAAAACAATAGCAGAATAATCTTCTTGTTTTTGTTCATCGTGCAGCTATTTGATGCAACCTGCAGTATCTGGAGGAGCACAGGAGCGGCTGTGGAGGCATCCAAGAAAGAGTTCATTGAAGTTTTGAAGGTTTTAGAGGAAGCCCTTGGGGAGAAAGATTTCTTTGGTGGTGAGACCTTTGGATTTGCCGATATCATGGCAATTCCGATCACCAGTTGGTTTTATGCCAGTGAGAAGTTTGGAAATTTCACAGTTGAGGCCGAGTGTCCCAAACTATCAGCTTGGATTAAGAGGAGCATGCAGAGGGAGAGTGTGGCCAAAGTTCTTCCGGACCCAGAAAAGGTCTATGAATTTGTGGTCATGTTCAGAAAGATGCTTGGCATTGAGTAGACAAAATGCATGCATATGTTCCATATCAAGTTTGTGCAAGAATCTGATCTCTGCACATTTGAGTTTAGCTATGCAAGGCATATCGTCTTTCAGGTCCTTCGTTCTCTCTTTCAAGAAGGGTAAAAAATAAGGGAAAATAACCATTTTCCTCAACTTTCATTTTGCTACTTGTATCTGGGAATAAGAAAGAGATAATTCCATGGTTTTCTTCTTGTTGTATCAAATGCATTGTTTGTGTGTGTGTGATCTCGTGTGTGCATGTTCCAACTACCCCAAGAAGTGGCACAGTTGAAAGTCACAACAGGGATGCAATCTATTCCTTGCCAGAAAACAGATCTCAATTGAAACTCCAACTGTCCATTATGTTCATTGCAATTGCAAAACATCTACATGGGAGAGTATTCTAACTTTTTTCTTTTTCTTTTTTTTTTTAACTCACACACCTAACGCTCCTAATAGAACTAGTCTGCTAAGATTTGAACCCGTGATCTTTTGTTGTGATGAAAGCCACCTTTACATGCATCGTTTACAGTAAATGTACAAACACCCAGGAAAGAGTTGCACCCTCGTGTATTTGTATGTCTCCAAACTTCCGAATTCCTAAAAATAGTAGAGAACAGAAAATCTAGTTAAGAGTAAAAGAAAAATCATCTTTAATTTGACGAGAGGGAAATGGTTCATGTCGGTGCTACAATTCCTTCAGCGGACAAGCAAGCTTCTTAAACCAGACAAAATGACAGACCAAAGTTGTAACACAATACCACAACAAATGGGAGTGCACAATGGAGGTCAAACTCAACTTTAAAAGAAGCAACACAAGACTAAGAAACGTATCTCAAACTAATGAAACTAAAATGCATATTTGCAATAAGATAAGCACCTAGAATGGATAAGGTTTGCTGTTCCAGAGTAAGTGGATAATGCCTCGATATTTCATTCTTAAAAAGAAGAAGGATGAGGAGACAAATGAGAAGAAAAGGATAGAGAATACAACACACAAAGGAAAAATACTGCAAAGTGTTTATAATTGAATATTTTAATCAGCTGAAGTATCACAAGTCAAGTCTTAACCTTTTGGAAAGTTTCCTGATCCAAGGACTGTCTTTCAGTTGTTTATGTTGGCATTGAATCAGATTGCTGTTTCTTGACTTCATCAAGACAAGCCTGAAGATCCCTGAATTCTTCTGTGTCCGAAAAGCTCTCAGCCTGAAATGTCAGATACATCATATTATCATTGTTCACAAAATAAGCGAAGAATAAATGTGAATGATTTAGTTCATACAATGCACAGTCAACTAGAGCTAAAATGTTCACATTGAGCAGGAAAAGAAATGCAAAATCATATTGCACCAAGGCAATTTTTAGTAAAAATCATATACCATAAATCATAAATCTTGCCTGTCTAACTACGTTTTTGAGGTGCATATCAGCTGTAGAGAGTTCACGACGACTACCAGTAGAGGACGAAATTTCCATGTACACCTTGCACAGTTCCAATGATGCACGCGCATAAAGTTTAAATCGATCTCTATCTTTCCACAAATCAGATCCCTGAGAAAGAGTTTAATTATGCAACAAAAATAATCAATTCTAACAATGGCATCTTAAACTAAAATAAAATCTATTTGTAAGGAGAATCATGATGAATATTTCTGCATCCGATATGACTGAATATCAAGCATACCCAATAACGGTACACACTAAAAAAAACTAGTGAATCCATCAAATGAGAAGAGACAGTTAAGGTAATTAATGTCATGGGCATCACGTGTGGGTTGGACATGGAGACAGCATAAGTTTTAGAAAGATTTCGATGAGCTAATCCAAGTTCACCTGTGAGCAAACGAAACCACAGGAGTAGACTTCAATTCAAAGGGCACATGGGAGCAATAAAAATTGTTTTCAGACGGTGGCAAAGGCCACAGATTCAGGGGCTATTTTAAGAATTTGAGTTGGGGTCTGTCATTATCTTACCAAAACCTGCTTTAGAAAGATCTCAACAAATTATTTTTATCAGTGGTCAAGTAGTAGCCAAGTAGACTTGTTTCATTCCAAGGGCAGTTGACCAAAACTTGGACCAAGGAGGCAATCACAACTTAGCAAAGGTTGCTAGTGTCAGATATGTGTTAGGAAAACAGAAGAAAAGGGACAATCAAGTCCAACATGCAAGGACAAGATGGAAGAAAAGGAACAAGAAAATGACTTTTAAGGATAAGCTACTATAAAGGCATTGGACCTTGATGCAGATGCAGATGCCATGCAAATGAAGAAGAATTGATAAACCAGAAGAATGGCAGCATAAGCTTTGGGTAGTGGGGATTGGCTACCGCCAAAAGAAACCTGGTAGTGGAATGAAGTGGTGCAGAACAACCATTAAGGCCAAAAGAGGATGTATTGGAATCATCTTCAGCAACACTTCAATGGAATCTTATTTTGTCAGGATGGAGAAGCTTACGGAAAGTACATATAACAATTATTAACAAGAAAGAACGTGCATTGAACCTTGATCTCTGTCAAATACATATCCATTCATTGAGCCATAAGCAAGGGTAGGAAGAATGAAGCACTCATCTAACTGGCATCCTTTATGTATCTTAAATTCTTCTCACTTCTTTCCTAGGCACAACAAGCACGTTTAACCCCAACTAGTTTCGGATTTGAGGCTTGGTCATTGGTGTATGCACATTGAAGATTTCAGAATGTACTATTTTCTTCTAATAGTAACCTGATTTATGATACTACAGTAAATGAATGACTAGAAAACTGGCAAAATTGATGTGATAATATGTGCAATGAAAACGTAAACAAAAAAATTATGATTTGACAGGACCATATCAAGATTACATGCTCAGTATCAATTTGTCAAATGCATAGCCTACTCAATTACATATGCAATGATAGTGTACCACAAACAAGCCTCGGAAATGCATGAAAAGCAGTAATATCGGGCGGCAATAGCAGAATATAATAATTCTCACTCTCTGTAGATACCTGATATAATCTAACTTGCTTCAACAGGGCTTCAGAGCACATCGTGAGATCTCCTTTAAGTTTTTGCCACCTTGCATATAAGCCCCAAATATCTGCTCTACTTACTCTTTTAACTATCTGAAACATAAAACAGAGATATTAAACTGAAATAGATTACTTATGAAATTGTATGAATCAAATCATCAAAACTGTGCCAAAAGGGTAAATACTACAATGTGTATATGCATGACACTTTGCTATAGAAAAGTGTAACATTAAAGTATTTGCAAACCTGTTGTAGGATTTTTCCGAACAACTCCACCAGCTGCTCAGTTTCCCGTGACCTTCCAACTGCAATTCTTTGTTCTAACTTGTTTATGGAATCATTATGAGAATCGTCAGGGCAGGGTTGAGTGGTAAGAAAAGTATCATCCGATACGCTGGGGGACGTAAAAGGTCTACTTGAAGCCCGCTCTTCTACTTCTAACATAACTCTCTCTAATAAATCAGCATCGATTTCTTTACCAGTAACTTTGCCACTGGTTATATGCAAAACCATCTGTACGGCTTCCAAAGCCTGCAAAACCATGACAAAAATATTCTACTATTAACATGTCAATCCACAAGTCCTCTGATGTGCCAATGTGGAATTTTATATCTCAGTGCTGCAGTCACATTCACTACAGCACTAGCATTTGAAACAGATTTGTGCCAATGACAGACAAACATATCCAATGATTCCTATGATGCTTAAACATCTTTAAATTTTGACTTCAGATTAGAATGCACCTGATGGTAGTTCTAGAACATGTTGGATGTGGACTTATGAGCAGGGTCAAAAGAACCAAAATGCATATCCAAGCGTACCTTACGAATATTGCCTACATCCATGGCAACATGACTGTATTGTGCCCACATCTGCCAGCTGTCTCGTCTATCATGAAGTTATATGCCAACTTTAGTACAAAAAAGGAAATGTGAAAACGCACATCCATGATTTGTCTACAGAAAACTATAAAGTATTTAACAAGGAAAGACATACTTGAACTTCAGGGCTTCATTGAATGCAATGAAGGCCTCTTCGCTCCTCTTCCTTATCATATGTCTGTTGTCAATGAAGGATGCCATAATTTAGCATGAAGATGACGATTAAAGAGAATGAAAAAATTGTGTGTGCGCACGCGCGTGACATTTAAGCATCTAGAATAATTATCTTTTAGCAAACATAGTATCGATATAAGATGATTAAACGAGCATTATATAAAGGGTAGGCCTGCACCAGCACTACTGCCCACAAAAAAGGGGCACAAATCTTAAAGAGTCCTTGGTAGTTGTTTGTGCTTTAGCTGCAGCTTCCCTGGTGGTCTAGTATTATTTATGCTTTTATGTTCCAACATGTCAAGGTCATTGGTAATTTTTTATCTCTATTGGAGGGGGACTTTGATGCAGTAAAAGAAAAAAAGAGAGAGAGAGTCTATTTGGGATGGACAAACAGCAAAAGAACTAAAGTGGAGATATCATACAAACAAGCAATATTATTCCAAGCCTCCCCGTTTTCAGGATCAAGTTGAACAGCTTTAGTAAACCCAACCAGTGCCTTATCAACATCCCTAGCCTGCATCATTATTTTAACCAGCAAGTCTTAAAATCTGTAGCCACACAATAGAAAGATTTTTCAATATGCTCTCGATGCATAAGTTACCTTCAATGCAGCAGAACCGAGAGCAAACCAACCATCTGGATATAAAGAATTCAGGGCCAGTGCAGCCCCCCTGCAGTTAAATCAAGAAATGGTTTGGATCTATCTTTATTTGACAAGATATTCACATACAATTATAGAAGCAGAGAAAGAAGAACAGGTAAACACACCACATGATTTTAGATGTTTCATAGTCTCCTCTATTGTAAGCGCTACGAGCAAGAGATCGCTGGCATATGGAAAGCAATAGTAAAAAAATGTATCATCCTATAAGCACATCATTGGCAATTTATTTGAATTGAATGAAAATCACCTTGGCCCGTGCAGACTTATTATTTGAAACTTCAATGGCTTTATCATAACAGCTATCATCATTTGTAACATCGCCCAATGAACACCTGCAAAATAATTTCTCACATGTCAAATGGAGTATGCTAACCATTTGGTTGAGAGAGACACACGTAGAGGAGAGTATGCTAACCCTAACTCAGCTCTTCTCATTAGTTTGTTCTATGTGTAAAAATAAATTTAAAAGAACATGCAAGCACTTGATCATGCATTTGTGTGTGCATGGAGACAATAAAAGCAAGGTTAAACAATAGGAGACCAAGAAACATCCAAATTGAAAGAGGATGATGACCACCCCAAGAGAATAAATGAAGAGGAGAAACATAGATTATAGAGTAATTCGAGAACAAATAAAAACCATAACATCTTTCTTGGCAAGCAAGGGAGCTCAAATCTCAATTTCAACTACCAAAGTTTCACAAAGCAAACAGGCAAAAGAAAGACTTGAAATAGAATATTAAGTGAACCAAACATACCATAACCTTGGGTCGTTGGGCATTTCAGACAGCCGTTTCTTGATGAGTTGAACAGCTGCTGCCTTTTTCTCCAGTAAGCTGTTTTTTATGTAGTAACTTGTATGAGACTCCCAATGGCAGCAGCAAACAAACCAACAAAAAAAAAAAGTGCAAAAGAATGACAAGAAGAGAGAAGAACAGGTTGATGTCAGTTTGACCAAGGTTATCAAAGTTGATCTCACCAGTAGCAGTATATTAAGTTGTCCCATAACTCTAAACTCTCAAAGATTGTAATTGCCTCTCCCATCAAGCCACAGCTAATTAGAAGTTCACCATGTTCTCTAAATTAAGAAAATGAAACAAAGAATTAGAAACAATCAGCAGAATAAATAGAAACGTGTTTGGTTTGAACAAATATTTCGTATCACTAAAATTTATTAAGGAACCATAATGTAGAACATAGTGCCATTTACAGACAGATGGGGAAAAAAATTTACTTTCGTAGGGCAGGAATAGTAGGTATATTGGCAACATAACAAAATGGAATCCTTTGTGCCACTCCAGGCAAAGTGTTGTGCATGCCCTCAACCTGAAATAATTGCAAACAGTATCTGTGAAATTCTCAGTCAAACAACTCCCTTCTGCACTCCCCAAAGTGGGTGGTAGAGAACTCAGATACCCTAGCATAAAAAAGGTAGTAGTGGTATATGGATGCTATACTGAACAACAATTACAAAAGGCTAAAGAAAATAATCTACCAGCAATGATTAAAAAGAAAAATATTATTAATTATATGCAGTCACTAAAAGGCATGAATTTACAAACAACAAGCCTGCATAGACCTCAACTTAGTATCATGTTTTCCCATTCTCTGTTCTTGTCTCCCGTATATAGGTATAAATTTAGTTTTGACCCCATTTTACCACATAAAATATGAGGAGAAAATGTTCTCAGCTTCCACAAACGCCACAACAGAAGGTCAAAGCATTATTGTACCTAAGAAAAATAGTTGTGCTCTTTGAGTTGTATGGTTTTCGGCTGTTGTTCAGACACATTCAGATGGTAACCCTCTTTTCTATGTTTTTTTTTTTTTTTTTTTTTTGGGTAAAGGAAAAAAATGTCAAGGGCTCTTTTGTGACAGGCAATATGGACAGCATTTAGTCATATCACATGCCATAGCATAATTATAAGTAGGGAAAGATCAAACAACCCAAAATTTCCCAAGCCTTGTTGTCTTTATAATATTTCTTGTACCAATAATTAGTATTTAGCATAAACAGGGGCTGACAATTTAAAGAAATGTGGGGGAGAGGATGGAAAGTTGGCGGCTGTAAAGAACAAATGATTCTAAAGGAAAATGTAAAGAACGAAGCCCAAACAACATAATATTTACAGAAGACCAGACTGATATGGGAGGGGATTTGCAGCATACCAATTTCTCCATCATCTCTAAAGCACGCTGCTTTGTGCGAGTACGAGTTTTTTCCCATCGAATACGTAGGAGGTCACAAAAACACCGTAACTAAAGAAGGAAATCAAGCAGGAATAAAAAAATATTAGGAGTGTAAGATCAAAATTAAATAATTTTCTTACTAAGTGCGCAACAAAATACTGGCAAGCTTAAAACCTTGAGTGCTTCAGAAGCAACCCTTACACATATAGATAACAACCACAAAAAATAACCACATGTAGATTAAAATGGACTGTGTCTGATAATATCCCTAATATCTATTATTCTTTGAATTCAAATTTAAAAACTAACTAATTTCCCTATCCCTGAAGGACTATCTTGGCAAAATTCAATGAGTTTGTAAACCATATTAATAAAATAAAAAATTCTTAGAAAGTTCAAGGAGCCAAGGACCTCTAGTGCACTTATCCCTTCTGTAATTTTCTTTTTGATGCGGTGTCTACCACTCAAGGAATGAAAAAGTACAAGATTCTATCAACTTACAGTAAAGAATGACGAGGGCTGAGAATCAATGGTCTCTATGAATGGTGCCATATCCCATCCTGAAACAGAAATTAGGGCATAACTAAACAAAAAAGGAGCCACCAATATCTATTGATCAAACCACTGCACCCCTTAATTATAGAGAGATAAAACAAATTAGATGGGGGAGTATTTGATTGAATGTTAAACTATTAGATCAAGGGATTCATATATCATGTAACACCAATCGCACACCTACATAAGGAGAGTGATTCCTTAAAACTCCTCACCCGCAAGTCAAAAGGAATAAAAAAAAAAGGCAAAACAAGAACATCCAATGGACCTAACAAATGCAAATAAAGAAGGCCAAAGAAAATGAATGGTAAGCATACAAAAGAATCAAACAACCTACTGGGTTCAACAAACACCATGCGTTTTTGCCTAGCCTCAGCCAACTCAGAAAGTCCAGGAAAATTAGGCCTTAGAAGAAGAAATTTCGCACCAACCACAATGAGATACATAGCATCCATTTAGCCTATTTGGGAAAGAGAGAGAAAGAGAGAGAGAGAGAGAGAGAGAGAGAGGGAGACAGCTTCTACTATATTTCCAAAAGGGGCCACTGCATAAGCATCTCTCCCTACCTTCAAATTCACAAGAGAGCATTCCATGCTTTATCACACTTTCTACTTCCAAAAGAATATTAATGTGAGACAGATTAAAACTTCTGTTGCACAAGAACTACATGGTGAATCAGAGTTAAATTGGATTGTCTAATATTTAGCTGCCACTTCATAAAATGGAAATTGGAAAAGGGAAAAGAAAAGGAAAACATAGTTTATTGGTCATTACTTAAATGCAGTTAAAACTGGCTAGTTTCTATTGGCAAAAGTAATATTGGACCGATGGCAAACCTCAATACATATCATTTCACAGCTCAGATGTATTCAAGAAACTTACTCTGAAGCTCATCATGTCGACTGCTTATTTCAATCAAAAGACACCGTGCCAGAATCACTGCCTGTTGAACTGCTTTTAAAGGGGCAGCACCATGAGGAGCAACATTTTGATTGTCTTGTGCCCCAATTCCAGACACATCACCAGTCTCTAATAATATTGGTGTCATATGAATCTCAGATGCTTGAGATCTTTCGTGCTGGTCATTCTTGGCAGTTGTAGAATCATGTGTCTTGATGCCAGGGCTCATTGTGGAGCTGGTACCGCCAGAGTCTGATGAGCTTCTCTCCACAACAAGTACCCTTTGTTGCTTTGGTTCTACCTGTGCACGAGAATGATCCCTGAAGTTAGTAAGGAAACTTTCAAGAGATTCGGAAATAGTGTATTTAAAATTGTTTACCTGATGCACAGTTCGATAGCCAAGAACCCCAGTAAGGGAAAGCTGAATCCCTGATGCTACTTCAGCTGATTCAAGATGCAGTCTGCACCACAGAAATGCTTCAGCAAAAAGAATTTAAAGGCAGACAACTAAATGATTAAAGGGCTATAATTCCTAAAAGATACTTCTATTATGGCGATCATGTACATACTTTGAAGCAACCTCGTCTGGATTTATTATTTATTTCAAGACTCATCACTTATGCACAACAAGATGTGTAAATCAAGAAATTGCACCAATTATATGGAAGCAAACAAATGAAATTACATTGCATTAAGCCTTGCTTTAATGCTACTAAAGAAGGTGGGAAGTTTGCTAGTTTGATCATATTTTATCCACTAACATTAATCAGAAAGTATAACAAAATAAAGACACATAAATAGAAATCAAATTGTAACTGATAAACAAAAAGAAAGGAAGATTTCACAACAAAAGGGAAAGAGAAAAATATCTCCTAACTTTTCTAATATCTGACTAGGGATAAAATACGAGTTAGCTCAACCACAAAGCTGAAGTTAGAAGTTAACAAATATCTAATACCTGCATGAATCAACACGTCCATAGGTCTGTTCCATTATTCCTGCTTCCAAGTGGACTGTCGAGGTAATATCAGCCACTTCTTCATTCCGCAACTCATCACCCCAGTAACTCGTTACTTGTTCCAAGGTGCCAAAATGACGTAGAGTTTCACCCATAGACACTTGCAATAAATCAAATAACGAAGAAGATAGCTCATCCAAAATCCTTTGTTCAATAAGCAAGACCCTAGCCAGCCACCATGAAATGCTTCTGATCCCATATGCCGAAGAGATGCTTCCTTCAAATAACAAATCTTTTGTCCTCATGACCAACATTTTAGCAAAAACTATATACTACAGAACAACAAAACAAAATTGATCGGTATAAACAATTAAATTCAATAACAACAACCACCAAACAGAGCTACACGCTTCTACCCAACAAGCTAAAAGTCACAAAATTCATTTCCTGCTATCAATCAATAAAACACAAAACAACTGAAAAGGGCAAACTTTACACAACAGTTGCCCGTTGCCCTCGAAAAAACCATTTCACCGTCTTGCAAATCAAATACACCAGTGAATTACATCAACAAACCAAAATTTCAGTACCTGAAGACAAGAGAACTTCCCAAGCAAATGTGCTCCATCTGATATAAGCTGATTTCGTGCCCAATTATCCCATTCTTTAGATTCTTCAACTTTCAACGGCAAAGGGCATTCAGGTATCTCACTCACTGGCCTAAAAAAACCAAATTTAATTAATAAACACCAAAAAACAAAAACAAAACCATATATATATATATATATATATATATATATAACAAATTGATAATTAAATATATCAAAAAAAAATTGAAAAAATGAACAAAATTAAAAAATATATATAGATATAATCAAAATAATAAAATCCCACTTGAAAAATGTACCTAGAAAAAAAAAGCCTACCCTGTAATGTTACACTGAATGAAGCAAAAGAACGCAGCAATAGCAACACAAATGACCAGAAGAACCCTGCAACCATTTTCTTCATCGCCACCACCCCCATCCCTTATAAACTGCTCAACTCGCTCCATCAAATCAGAGTAAACTCGGTCGGGTGACTTAGTTGAGTCAAGTTGTGTTGACGCAGTGACGAGTTCAGCAGAGTCAGAGGAGAGAGCTTGGAGGTAATTTCCTGATTGGATACAATTGAGGAGGAAATTGACGTGGGAGTGAAGGTTGTTAGGATCGGACGGTGGCGAAGGAGAAGGGGAGTCGGACGGCGGCGGTGTAAGTGTGCAGCGGAGGAGACGGAGTTCGTAACCGCGGAGGATTTGAGTCATGGTGTTAAATTGGAAGAGAAGTGGCGGGGCTGGTGGTGGCTGTCGTTTTTGTAGGGTTTAAGGGGAGAGGGGTTTTGGCTTTGTTTTCTTTTTTCTTTTTTCTTTTTTTCCTTAAGGTAAGCAGAGGATCAGTTGGGAGGAGCTTAAGGTAGTTAACCGTTTATAAGGTTAGTCATTTTGTTGACCGTTTGAATTTGAAGAGAAATTTGAGGGAAAAAAAGGAATAAATCGAAATTAAAAATAAATTATGTTAAAATTCAAATAAATCAAAATTAGTTTGACATGTATTAATATAGATAAATAAAGCCATTGAGTTGTCGAAATTGAAAAATAAAATACTAAGAAATCAATAGTATTTAGAGTTTTTTAAAAAAAAATGTATTTAGGTGAGCTGAAAAATCAACTAAACTTGTTTTCTAACTATAAATTTTTTTTTACTCCAAAAGTAGTAATTGTAAAATAATAATTATTATTAACCAGTCTTGCTTTACTTGTAATTAATAACATATTTGTTTGTGTTTTTAACATTTTATTTTATTAAATTAAAAATAAAAAAATCTCAATAATTCAAATAAAAATTGTATGAAATTTTATAATTTTTCATCAAAATTTTGTATTTAATGAATTTTTCCTTGCCAGAAGGATTTTATTTTTTTCAAAAAAAACATGATTTATTGTTCTTTACATTTTTATTTTTGAAAAAAAAATTATAATTTTAAGAGCATGTTTCAATCAAAAAAAAATAAGCTTTAATCGATTTTTATAAAATTTTATGGGAAAAAAAATGAATTTGGTTTTGTCAATTGAATAACAATTCAGGATATATAGACCTTGAGTTTGTTTAATGTCTATTTAGTTGTCGAGGAAATGTAGAAAGCAGAGAGATGCCTTTTGTCACTCTCTCTCTCTCTTTTATTCAAAATACACATTAAATTAATTTTTAATTTTCTTTCACCAACGAGTAATAATAGTTTAATTATTTTTTTCTTTTTTCATTAGCATTTAACTTTTGAACTTCTGAATAAATCAAACATATTTAAAAATCAATTTTTACAACCTTAAAAGTTGCTCTTGCAATAATTACTTACAAGTGAATATCATGCACCATAATAAGCAATGCAAAGAAAAAATATATACATTTTTCTTTATTTGATGGAAAGTCTCTCACTTAATTTATTGTCAAGATTATTAGTAAAAAATATAATAAATTTATTGATCATTTATTTTTAAAAAGTTAACTTATTGGTACTTTTTTTAAAAATAAAATCAAATTAGCCCACCAATAATCATACATAGTAGATTTACATTAGATTTTCTTACAATTGACCATCATCCACCATAATAAGCTATGCGATGAAAAATATTTATTTTTTTCCTTTCCCAATGGAAAGTCTCTAACTTTATTATCAAGATTATTACTATAAATTAGACTAATTGGTTATAAAGTATTATGAATTATTAGTCAATAAAAGAAAAATATTTTTTCTTGTTAACCAATCTCGAGGTTACATTGAACATATGTAAGAGACATGTGGAGCCATAAAATAATAACACATGTTCTATGTTTAAGACTTACAAAACACGTCGTTATTTTAATAATTCTATATGGCTTTCATATCGTTTGAGATTGGTCAACGGTATTAAAAAACTTTATTGCGAGACTAAAAAAAGATTGGAGACCTTAATCAGGAAAAAAAAAAAAAGGACTAAAAACTTTTTTTAACCAATAATTCAAGGTATTATATAACTCATTTAGCCCACAAATTACAGGAGATATAGCCGGAAGAGGTTCATCAAGCCAAATGGCAGCCAAACGACCGAGCTAAACTATGATTGGTTTTGTTGCCATCTCTTTTGACATGTCGAGGGTGACAAGAAATGAGATACGAGACAATAAATCATATATTTCTTCTAACCCAAGCTCGTGTACAGCATGCATGGCATGGTCCAAAAAGCGGTCACCAGAAATATTGTGACCTTGGAGGTGTGAGTGGACATATTGATAAAAGATTCAGTATTCTTATCAGAATATGATCAAACAGAAAGAGGTGTAAATCCTGGGTGGAAATGATTTAAGTCATTTTAAAATTTGTAATGTTAGATAGTAATATAACCATTACTGAGATCTCACTCAACCGTTGAAGTTTTTGAATTGAAATGTCATAATTTCGATAATCAATCTGGTACAAGTTAGAATTTCACGATTCTCAATAATATTCATTAAGACCAATTCCAAGAGAAGAAAAATCATTAATATTTTTTTAATAATTTGAGATTAATGGAATAAATATAGATATGTTTAACTAAAAAAGCTAATTGTGTATACAACCGTTAGCCTAAACCTACTTGTGTTATGATGGGTATATTTTATTTGTTGATTTAGGAGTTGGACTTAAATTCACCATTGGGTCATGCATGCCATGCATCTAATCTATTACAAAGGTTAATGACTAAAAGATTCAATAGTTTATTTATTATTATTGATATTTACAAGTTGTAGAGTATTTTGGAGCTAAATTTTATATTAATCGATACTAAGTCCATTATTTCTTGATATAAAATCAGTATTAGAACATATCTATTTTTTATCGATTATTAAACTGTTTTTTAGACCAAAACAACGCAAGACTAAGCTAAAAAATTCAGTTAATGAAGGCAAAATCTCCATTATTTTACACGGATAGCCATCACTCAACATAATTTCTATTACAAATGTTTCACATGGAATATATTGTCATATCCACATTATATCAAAGTAAAAATGCTATTAGATCTGAATAGAGTATTTCCGATCTTAATTTGTACGAGTAACATTTTTTTTTTTTAACTCTTTCTTTCTTTTCCTAATCCTCCTCCTTCTTCTTTTCTTAAATCTGAATCTATATGTCCAGATCTTTGTGTGTTTGTTTGTAAATAAAATAGATCCTCCTGATAAAATCCTTTTTTGTATTAAAAAAAAATAAAACTATTAATGGTAAGAATAGAATTAGGATCCTCTTGATGTCTAATTTTATTAAAAGATATTTTTATGATTCAATTTTTTTTAACCATTTAATTTTAGTATTAATGACTCAATCTGACTTTATATATTGAAATAATTTTTAATCTATCATCATTATATTTTTAATTGTGTCAATTTTATCCTTAAATTTATGTTAAGTTTTTAATATATCTTTTTTATAAGATTTTTAAGCCAAATCATCAATACTAGTACTCACGTGATTTATATATGATTATTTTTTATTTTCAAAATATATTTGAAAGTTGGATGAATGAAAGATTTTCATTTGCAAATCGTGTGACGAATTCTAATGGTTTCGCTTAACAACCTTGCTAGAATTATAGATTTAAAACTTAACGTATAGATCTAAGGATAAAATTAGCTTAATTAGATATATAAAAACATATTGAAAAATTACCTTATTATATAAGAACAAATTAAAATATTAACTCCTGATTTGATTAAAATATAATTTCAAATTTTAAAATTTTCAACCATTTATTTTATAAAATCCACTCAATAATCAATAACACATACGATTTTTAGAATATTCGGTATCATGATATGATTCAAAAACAAAAATCAAATCATTCAACTTTTTTATAACTGATCCTTAAGTACGATATTGAATTAAACAATTGACCTAATAGTTAATGACTAAAAAATTCAGTTAATTTCTATTAAAATTGTTTCACATTGAATTATATCTATTGTCTTATTCATCTATTAAAGGAGAAATACTATTAATGGTAAGAGTGGAATTCGGATTCTTTTGATATCTAATTTTACTAAAAATATATATCTTTCAAGATTCAAGTTTTTATTTATAGAATCCACTTATTAAGAAATAGATCTAATTTTATAAAAAATAGTTTCAAAACTAAAAATAGAAAAAAAATCATTCAACGATATCGAATTAGAAATTTGACCTAATGGCAATGCCCTCTTATATATTGCTAGCAAATATTTCAATATATAGATATAATTTTATTAAAAATAGTTTCAAAACTAAAAATAGAAATAAAAATCATTCAACGATCGATATTGAATTAGAAATTTGACCTAATGGCTATGCCCTCTTATATAAAGCTAGCAAATATTTCAATATGTTCTACATCACCAAACTTCCTTTTCTTCTGGTTTCCCATCAATAGTCACGATGGCCTTGACCAGAAGATTGGCTCTTTTAGGGTTCGTGATTTCCATGCTCCTAATGGTACTGATGAACCCATCTTCGGCAAGAGAGTTAAGAGAGCATTTAACTTTCATAAAGTATCCTCCCAAAGGCTCTGGGGCAACGGGAACATACGTACCAGTTCCAGCAAATCCATATCACAGAGGTTGTTCTAGATGGAATCGATGCCGGAGCGATCGGGACCCATAGAAGTCCCTGAAGGTGATGAATATGTAGCCGTTTGGTGAAAACAAAATGCATTTAATTGTATTTTGTATAAAATAATAATGATTTTTTCATTATTATGCTAATAAAATAAATAATCTCGTGTTCGAAATCAATATGTTTATTTGTTCTAAGGTCCTTTGATTTCATTTCCTTTCACTTTACGTCCTTTTCCTATGTAATTTCTTAATAAGTTGTGTTATGGCCACTCGTGAATTGGACCCTACGTTGTATTTTCTTTATTAATTAAGATAATAAATTTACCTTCTGTTCAAATTTAATCTTACATTTATTATTATTATTATTATTATTATTATTATTATTTTGTAATCATAAATATCCGATATATGTCAGCTCACCAAATTGCATCATTATGGTTTTGTCATATTGGATTGGTGAATCCAACGATATTGGAGTCTAAGAATATTTGTCACACCACTCAATATAAATTCCACGTAAATTGAGCTCTATGGATATATTAAGTAATCCATGTCATGAAAGTTGATATGATTTGTTTATCTTTTAACATATTTAAGTCAAATCGAGCATCTAATTGCACTTCTTGAATTCTTTGAAGGTTGCGTTGGCACAAACAATTAAAAAGATGATTTAATTTTGTCTATTAAAGGATTTGTTTGCATAATTATAAACATTGAGGATCAAAACATACTTATGTGTTTGCGTGCTGCAACGGATGAAGAACAGAGTTTTATGAAAAAACTGAATTCAAAATCGGTGCTCAGAGTTTCTAAAACTGGCAATAAAGAGATGAAAGTATCCCTGGCCTAACCATTTGTTTCATATGGAAAGATGGGATTGGTATTCTAATTTTATGCTGTATCGTACCGATTGTCCATACTTGCATGAACTAGTTTGCATGCACGCTCTACTTCCCCTCCAAAGCAGGATGCTACGTACGTTCAAGTTTGTTTCTTCTTTAATTGCCTGGTGACTCGAGCAAATGATTCTGATTGACTTATTTTTATTCTCTTTTTTTTATGGTCCATTTTCCTATTCATTAAAAGACATGCTGGTATCATGCATGGCGGTAATGAAATTACAGATATCTTTTTAACATAGTATTAGAATTTTGCTGATTTAACGGTCAAGGGTTCGAATCTTATTGTATCTACTTTCTTTTTTAATTAATTACGCACAAGGTTATGTAAGTACGTATAAATTTTCAGCTTAAAATACTTTCATTTGAGATGATATGTTAAAAAATAATATAAATTATATTCGATGCATCACCTTACCATCTACGTTTTTGAATTGAGATGGTCTTTTGACATATGATTAATATTATTATCTGATAATTGGCAAAGATTATCTTTGTACTTATGGAAGATCATGGCGGGACAAAATCCATCAAATCTTTTAAATCAATTCGTAATTATTACCGTTATGAACATTTATGGTCATCAAATTTCATATGAATTTCTTTTTTCACCAACTAGTTTAAATTATGTTTCATTTCCAAACAATTTTAAGATATTTGTCTTATCACGCAAATTGAAGTATATAGACAAATTAAGTGATTTATCTCATGAAAGTTGATGTAATATTTGTTTCGATGTTGTTTTCAATTTTTCAAATGACTTAAATGTGTTTTAATTTGATTGTGTAGATGATACTTGTGGAATATTGGAGTTTTTGTGTGGTTGGATGTTGAACTCTATTGATTTCAGAATTATGTTTAGCATTCTTTTGTTCAAAATTAATCGATGATGAAAGCTTTTTTATGTATGAATACTTATTTGGGTGCTTCAATATGCCCTTTGAATTAGTAAAACTGTAGAGAAATCAAAGGAAATCAACAGCAGTTGAAGAGAATGAAAGCTTTCCAAAAGATAAAAAAGGATTAAACGATTTTGAGTATCTATATCTGATTTTTAATTTTATTCGAATAAATGTCTGATTTTTTTTTATTTTGGACAGGAAAAGGTCTAAGTGGTTATTAAATATATATAAATTAGAGAGAAAAATACACACACACACACACATATATATATATATATATATATATATATATTTCTAACTTAAGAGATCAAAATTGGTGAACTAATAAGAAACTGAGTTATTTTTCAGTTTACTTCGATGCAGACGTACCAGTATTTGATTAACATACATTCACTCAGACACTCTATTGTACAAAATAAAAAGATCGGATACTTATTTAGATAAAATTAAAGATCAAACACTTAATTGTGAAATCAAATAATTTCAAGTACTCAAAATCGTCTTATCCTAAAAAAGAAGGAATAAAGAAAAAATAAAAAAAGAAGGCAATCAAGAAAAAATAAAATATTTTCTATTGATTCATTTCCATATTTCTCCCGAATTTTTAATCATACTAAAAAAAAAATCAATTTTCTCAATTAAATTAATATTTTCATTTATATTATTTACGTCATTTATAAACCAGTGTCTCGTAATTAAGAACCCCAGATGCTTCTTTTTAACTCAATTTCCTTCTTCAAAAGTATTAAAACATTAACTTTAAAATTAAATTCGAGAATGATCCTTTTTGCTTAAATTTTCTTGGAAATCATATATATTAGTTTAACTCTTGAATGCTACTTTTTCTCAATGAGATTCAAGACATCTTAACTAGATTTCAAAGTTTTAACCTCATTTTACATGAAATGTTGAATGAAAAGTACTCTTTTTGCTCATAAATTTGAGCGAATTGTTTCTACATAAAGTAAGTCAATCCATTAACCGATTAGCTTTTTATAAGTATGATCGATATGAATCTGTCAAGGCTTTTAGAGGATTCCGCAAATAGATAAAACTAGTTGATTATAACCTTCTCGATGCCCAATTGGATGTCAAATTAAATATACTACTATCATGAAATTAGTTTTCAAAAAAAAAAAAAAACATCTCGAAAACTCAAATTGCATGACATCTCCAAACCAACCAGTATATCCTAGAGATAAGCTATTTTAGGATTGAGATATACATGCTCCTAATGATAATGAACACATCTCTAGCAAGAGAGTTAAGAGAGTATGAAATTGTAGTAAAGTTCCTTACAAAAATTTTGAGATATTGCAAAAAAACATCAGTCCTCCCATTTTGGAGAAGGGTGGGAGTCCAATGTGTGACCCAAAGAAGAATTCCAAATGTGTATCAGAGCCTGTGAATCCATATCCCGAACGTTGTAGCAAACAGAGTCGATGTCAGGGTGAACCCTTGTCGGAGGCCATGGAACTAATGGATTACTTGCCGTTTGGTCAAAATAAAACGCATTCAATTGCATTTATTACAAAATAATAATGAATATTTATTATTATGCTAATAAAATAAATACTCCTTCATTATACTAAAGAGAAATTATTTACTTTTTTATTTATATTTGCCAGAGTCGATGGCTTTCTTAATTTGTATAAAAAGTCAAATATAACATTTTTTTTTTTTTTTTGGAAAAAGAGGAAGTAATAAAATAAATAATCTCATTTTCAAAATTGGTCTTGCTTTTATTATTATTTTTTACCAATCATATTAGTTATACTATATGTGCATGTTACAAAATTGCTTTATTATTGATGAGTTATGGATGGACTCGACTACTAAAATTAAAAAAAACGTGTTTTCATTAAATGTATGTCTTTCAAGATCGTTTTTATTCATTTTTTATCTCCAGTGTCCTTTCTATTATTAATTTTCTTCGCATCTTCCACAAAGAAAGTGTGTAATTACTTAAGTGTTTAATTTTTTAGCCTGTTATTTTTTCTAGTTATACAAATTATGGTATGTTCATACATGACTTCATTGCATAAGTGAAAAACACTCATTACAATGATGAAATTCGAACACTCTAAGAATATGTCACACCAATCAATATAAATTCCACATAAATTGAGCTATATGGATAAATTAAGTAATCTATATCATGAAAGTTGATATGATTTGTTTATGTTTTAACATATGATTTTTTTTTAAAAAAAAAATCTCTTAAATGTGGCTTGATTAGATCATATAGTTTTTTGTTGAAGGTTGAACTCTTTTAATTTCAAAATTAATTTTAGCATTCTTTTGTTCAAAATCAAGGATCTGATTGCACTTTTTGAATGCTTTAAAGGTTCCATTGGCACAAAAAATTTAAAAAAATGATTTAATTTTGTCTATTAAAGGATTTTTTGCATAATTATAAAAGTTGAGGATCAAAACATACTTACGTGCTTATATGCTGCAACGGATGAAGAACAGAGTTTTATGAAAAAACTGATTCAAATTCGGTACTCAAAGTTTATAAAACTGGCATTAAAGTGATGAAAGTATCCATGGCCTATCCATTTGTTCCCTACGGAATATATTTTGTGATATCTTTTTATTAAACAAGAAATAATATTAATGGTAAGAATGGGATTTGGATGTCTAATTTTTATTAAAAAAAATATTTTCAAGATTCAAATTTTTATTTATAGAATCCTCTCATTAATAAATTTATTAAAATTTTCTAACGGATGATTTGAAAATATTTAAAATGCAAATATATCGTTCAACTTTATTACTACGATATTGAATCATAAATGTTACATAATATAACGTACGGTCAAGTCCTCTTATAAATAGCTAGCAAACATTGCAATATCGTATATATGCATAACCAAACATTCCTTTCCTTCTGAATTCCCACCAATATTTACGATGGTTAGCTTGACCAAAAGAGTGGCTATTTTAGGGTTTGGGATTTTCATGCTTCTTATGGTGATGAACTCAGCTTCGGCAAGAGAGTTAAGAGAGCTTGAAACTGTAGTAAAATTTCCTCTCAAAGGCTCTGTGACATTGGACGCATTCATCAGTCCTCCTACTATGGGGGTAGGTGGCAGTTCAAAATGTGACCCAAAGAAATATCCTATATGTGTACCAGTGCCTTCAAATCCATATCACAGAGGCTGTAATCCAGCAGATCATTGCCGGAGTGATCCCCCGCCGAAGCCCATGGAGCTAATGGATTAGATGCCTTTTGGTACAAATTGAATGCTTTTGGTTGTATTTATTATAAAATAATAATGAATTTTCATTATTCATTAAGCTAATAAATAAAATCATCTTTTGTTAAAAATTTGTCTTGTATTAATTATTGTTTTTTTTTTTCTAATTATATATGTGTGAGAGAAAGAGAAACATCTACGTAAATTGAATCATATGAACAACATGGATACGATAAGTACTTTATCTTATCAAAATTGATATAACATTTGTTTCTATTATTATAACCCAAATTTTGGGTTATATTTTGCTTTATTGTTTAGATTAATAAAATTTTATTTTCTTCTTATTATTAAAATTAAATTAAAAAAAGGAAAAATCAAAACAAAAGAAAATAGAATACAAAAAAAGAAAAAAAGAGAGAGAAGTTAATTTTTACTTTTGAGGATTCAATTGTGATTTATTTTAAAGTATTATTGGCCAATTTAGAAATACTAGAAGATAGGGGAATTATTTTGTCTTGTATTTTGAATATTTTATTGGGTGCTTCGATTAGTAAAATTGTATAGAAATCATAGAAAATCAATAGCAATTTAAGAGCATCAAAGCTACCAAAAAATAAAAAATAAAAAAAGGGATAATGCGATTTTGAATTCATGATTTTCACAATTAGATACCTGATTTTTTAATTTTATTCAAATAAATGTTTGAATTTTTTTTTCTTACGATAAAAGGACTAAGTGGTTATTAACTATATATAAATTAGGAAAAAAAAAAAAACATACACACAGTCACACATTTTTTTCTAACTTAAGGGATCAAAACCAGAGAATTGATTAAAAAAAAAAAAACTGAGTTACTTTTCAATTTACTTTGATGCTTAAAAAACTAAAGTTGATAGTCGTAGTTCTGAATATATATACAGAGTAAGCCAGTTCTTGCTGCTTGCATATCCTAATTTGGTGTATATGTGAAAAAAACTTCTTAATGTAATACAAATGTCTAGTCATATTTTAAATTAGGATAAAATATATTTCGTGCTCCAACTAAAAATATAATTGCAATCCTTTTATGTAAATATAGTTTATAACAAATCTTATACTATTATACGTTAGTGTCATTAACGTTTTTCGTCAAATTGATCAATTTTTGTTAATTGATTAAAGTCCAATCAATCAAATGATGACATATATTAACTTAAGAGTAAAAATAAAATTTTCTTTTAAAATAATTTTTTTCAATTTTTTTAAAAGAAAAAATAATTAATGATTATTATAAAATCATTAAAATTTGAAAAAAAATATGAAGACAAAATTTAAAATAATCAATTTTTTTCAGATTTTAATCATTTTATAATAAGTATTGATAAAAAAAAATTTAAAAATATATATAAAGAATTTTTTTTTCAAATTTTAATTATTTTATAATAATTATTAACAAAGAAAATTTTAAAAAATAATCTAAAGAAATTTTTAATGATTTTGAAAAAAAAAAAATTGATAAGAACATGGCACACCGTCAACCTGAAATCAAGAAGAAGCCCAACAAGAAAAGCTGTTGGGCCCATATCAGATCGATATCAGAGCCTAGCCAATAGTCAGTGATGGGCTGCCTTTTCTCCACTCAAAATTAATAATCTTGATCCCTAACCAAACTGAAATCGAGGATCCAATTCCAACTAAGAAAGCTATTGTTGCTAGTTTACGAGCAGATGTTCGATTTAATGTCTCAATGACAAGGTGAGAATGCCAGAAATTTATGTCATGAGTGGTTCCGTGCATTTTCTGACCAGAATTTGAGTACTGGCCGCGGTTCAAGTTATCGGATGAAATGGTGGCCTGAAGTGAAGTCCAACTAGATGAGTGCTTAAAGAAATGCCGTTGGGAAAATTGCTGTAGATTTTAGCCTTTCTTGATGTTTAGAATCAGATAGAGAAGCCACCTGAGGGAAGAGTTTTAACCAGACGCTATGTTAGGTGTAACTGAAGGACATGAAGGTTTACTGCTTCTTCTTGTTATGGAGTTTGGAGAACTGATCTGAAAGAGGCAGCTCACTCCTTCCATACTCTCTTTCGATGAGGAAAAACCGGCAAAAAACAAACCTTTCGGGTGGAAAACCAAAGAAACCAGGCCAGGTTCTTAGTCAAGGCTTTAAGACACCGCTATGAATGGATCCTGTCTAGCCCAATTCTCGTAACAGTACTTTTTTTTTTTTTTTTTTCTGGTTTCTTTTTGTTGGACACTTCTATTATTTTCTTTATTTTGGCAGAGTGCAAAATAAACCCATGGCTTGATGACGAGGAAAAGGCTTTTTTGGGAACAATGTTTGTTTGTTTGTTTGTTTGTTTTTTTCCCTATTTTAGTGTACAACGGTCCATTTCTAATTATTTTCTACTCAATTTTTTATTTTTTTTTAATATTTATTTTGGTACCTAAAATCACTTGACATTAATTTTATTGACGTGTTTGATAAGAACTGTCAACCATTATTTTTTAAACTAGCCAATTATTTGTTATGTCACTCATGATATATTGGTTGATCTTCTCCCTGAATAAAAGAAACAATTTTTATTTTTTAAAAAATTTCTCAATTGGCTTACAATTTATTATACAAATGACAATTATAATTGGATCTTATATGTCTTTTTTTTTATTTAATTTTATTTGGACCTTATATATTTTTGGATTAAATAGCATAATGTTAAATTTATCTAGATTTAGATTTTTCAAAAAGTAATTTTTAACTAATACATATGACCAAAAAACTATTTCGATGAGATTATGCCACAAATATGATATGAAAAATATTTACTTGGTAATGTAACTAATTAAAAATTATTGGACTAATTTTCGATCTTGAGATGATAAATATTATTGAGAAAACTGCATTTTTGATATCTAATCTTTAATCTTTTGTGTTTTAGTGTTTAAATTTTGATTTTTTTTTATTTAATTGACCACAGTCATTTAAGAATATGAATAGTCGATCCGTATGGAGTTGATTGTCGTGTGATATATTTGACGAGTCACATAATTATTAAAAAATATCATATGACAATTTTCATTGGACACATAAATAAAATTAAATTTCAAGTTACTTTAACCACACAAAAAATATATAAAAAATAAAAATACAAAATTAAACACCAAAAAATCCTCTTTTTTTCCTTCTTTGATGATAGAGAAGATAATTGGCGTCAATTACCTTTGTACTTATGGATGATCACAATGGGACAAAATCCATCAAATCTTTTAAATCAAGTACTATTACTATTGTGAACATTTGTATCCCTCAAATTCTATATGAGTTTCTTTTCTCACCATCTGGTTAATTTAAACTAAGTTTTATTTCTAACCAATTTTAAAAATACATCCTTCACTTCTAGAATTGAATCCATTAAATGATGTTTGAGAGGATCAAAATGTAACATTTTTTTATTTTATTTTAGAACAGCTATTATGTTAGAACTTATTCAAAAAACAATGAGAATTTTGAATTTTTTCTTTTTTTTGGCACCACGGCATTTCTTTAGATCCGTCTCGATTCACATCGATCTAGCTATTATTTTAGAATAGCTATTATATTAGATTCGTTCCAATTCACATCGAGGTAGCATAATGTTAAATTTATCTAGATTTAGACTTTTCAAAATATAATTTTTAACAAATATATATGATTAAAAAATTATCTTTGATAAGTAGATTATGCCACAAATATGATATGAAAAATATTTACTAATAATGTAATCAAGTGAAAATTGTTGGATTAATTTGCGATCTTGAGACAATAAATTTATCAAGAAAACTATTTTTTAGCACCAATCTTTAAATTTTTTTTTTTTTTTTTGGCTTTAGTGTCTAAGTTTTGATTTTTGATTTATTTATTTAAGTGACTAAAATAATTTAAAAATATAAATAGCTGATATGTGTAGAGTTGATTGTCATATAATATGCTTAATTACCACGTAGTTGCTAAAAAATATCACGTGATAATTCTCGTCGGATACATCAATAAAATTAAATCTCATACGACTTTATATAGCCACCAAAATAGAAAAAAACAAAAACAAAAAACAAAAAACTAAGCATCAATTTTATTTTATTTTTATTTTTTTATCGTTTGATAATGGATGAGATAATTAGCATCAATTACCTTTGTACTTACGGATGATCATAGTGGGACAAAATCCATCAAATCTTTTAAATCAGTCACTATTACCATTATGAACATTTGTGTTGGTATTTCTATAACTATGTTGGTATTACCATCATAGTGGGACAAAATCCATCAATTACCTCTGTGTCGGATACGTGAAATTTTTTCTTTTTGGCACCACAGCATTTCTTTAGATTCGTCCCGATTCACATCGATCTAGCTAGTATATATATTATAACTATGTTTTTATGTTGGTATTTCTATAACTATGATTCTCCCATCAATTTCAAAAGTTGCAATTAATGAAATTTTATATCAACACCATTAATTAACATCTCAAAGCAATTTTTTTCCATGGTTATCAGTAACCATGCATTTCGTCTAATCAAGTAGCTAGCTAGTGCTAATTTGTGTTCAAGCAGGACGTTGAGCTATAGCTGGCAGTGAATTGGACAGGAGAGGACGATCTCATCAGCTTGTCCATATCTGGTTGACCAATTGATCTATCACTCCATAGGTTATATCTTCCGATCCATATATGCTATAAATTCTTAACTTCATGGACAGCAGCACTCTGTGTCAAAATGAATTGTCACGTTCAAAGTATGAAGGGATCTAGGGCTGCTACTATTAGGGCATAAAATCATGCCAGGCAGTAAAGAGACAAGTTCATTGCAATGGAACCCACCAACCAAGTACTCATCCAAGTTTTCTGAGATTTGAGAGGGGGATCTTATAATTCTTTGGGGTTTAAGTGCATGGAGGCATGCATATATGGTTGAGGATGAAGCAATTTTTGAGCATGTCTATACCTGTTTGTCAATAAGAGCAATGCAATGTTTTGTAGTATCTTCCATAGGCATGTGGACATGAAGCCTACGAAGGGTATATCATTAATTAAATGTGTCAAATGCATCCCTTCTCCTTCACATGCCCATTCCATCGATGATCTTAGGGTTGTGACAAGTTCCATTGAAAAGACCCACATGTCCCAAGTTGCCCCCAGCTCCAACGTAACAAAACCCTCCTGTGTTTTTTACAAATAATTCATTCACTTGGTCCAAAAAATATTTCTAGTTCAATCCAAAGGTTTATATATATATTCATCCTGCCCAAATGGCCAAACCCCATGACATAATATTGATTGGTATTAGTCAAGAATCAACACTAGAAAGAGTGAATTATAAGAGAGATAAAAATAATTCCTAAGTTTGTTATTTTCGTGATTGCCAAATTGATGCTTAAGCCTTAAAGTTCCACCCATGGAGATAGCCCAAATTTACCTCAAAGTGTCAGCTTGACGACACAAGAGATTGCCTTTTTTTCTTTGATTTTTCAAGTTTAAATTTTGGATCATGCATAAAAGTGATTTAGAAATATTTTAAACAAATCGTAGGATAAAAAAATCTAGTATTGATTGATTGATTGATGTATAAATTGATTTAACAATATTCTTATCTGTTGGGGGAAAAAAACTACGTAATTAGATAAGTCTGAGTACCAAGCTAATGTATCAGAATCTAGCTAGCCAAATGCATAAAACAATTGCACAGAGAATTATGTGCCCTAGCCCAAAAAATAAAAGACAAATGTTAGAGTGAAATTGTCAAGGAAAACTTCTGCATGGCATGCAAGGGTCATAATTAATCTTCGATGAACAAGTTGGGTTCTTGTCGTGGTGGACTAGCTAGCTAGTATGCTAGTATAGTGGTATTGTACACGGACCCAAAATAATGGGAGTAAATTATAAATTAGTCCCTTTATTTTTAGAAAAGAATCAATTAGTCCTCTTTATTTTAAAAACTAATTATATAATTTTTTTTAATTAGTGTTGACCATGTTTAAATTAATATTACTTTATTTTAAAGAAAACATCATCTTTTTTTGTCAATCCTTTCATATTTTATTACTTTTTTTTATCACTTTTTTATTTCTTAAATAAAAAATCAAAATAATTTGAAGAAAAAAATGAAAAGGATTAAATTACAAGAAAATGTTAATGTATAGAGATTAAATAATCAATTTTTTTTGAAATAAAAAGAACTAATTAATTTGTTTCTTGAAACTAGAGGGATGAATTTATAATTTACTAGCTCCATGAATGGAGATAAGGATTAATCAACAATCATGAAATCGTTATTAAAATTAAGTGACCAAATAAGTAGTAGTTTTCCATCTTATAGTGGATGTAACCTCTCAGCATTTGGTTAGGTGAATATGCTTTCGACACAAGAAGCAATTTGAGAAACCTCTCAAAATATCACTGAAATGTCCAAGTCATAACAAACAAAAGCAGATTAGATGATTTATATGTGTTACAAATTAATTTCTTAAAGTTATTGAGCAATATTGTCAGTTTTGACGCTTTTGGAATAATTAATCTTGATCTCACATCACTTTTTATGAGCAAATTATAAATTAATCCTTTCGTGTCAAAAAATGAATTAATTAGTCTATTTTATTTCAAAAATTAATCATTTAGTCATTTATTGTTAAATTTTTATTAGATTTATCAAATTAATACTTGATATCTAAAATAACTTTTAACATACATTTTCTTATATGGAGATGTGTTTTGGTGCTTAAGGAGAAGGAAATGAAGTAGAGGCTAATAAAATGAAAAATGGAGATTTGAAGAAAAAAATTTGAGAGAAATGAGGACTTGTTTTGGCTAAGAGAGATAGAGAGAGAGAAGAGAAGAAATGCGTATTATTGAGAAAATGATGTATAAAAATAAAGATAATTTGAGAATAAAGAGTACTGCCAGCACGTATAGCACATCACTACTCTCACTAAAGATTAATAAAAAAAAAACTAAATTATTCGTAGACTTAAAACATAAAAGTCTAAATAATTATTTCTTGAAACGAGATAGATTAATTAATTCATTTTTCAAAATGAAAGAGATTAATTTATAATTTATTCTAATTTTTATGCATTAAAATTGAATTTTTTTCCCGAATGGGTTGATTAAGCGTATTCATAAAAAAATATTTTCCCCGAACTCTTACTATATCCAAATTACATGAGATGAGAATTTGAAAAAACCATTCGATTAAAAAAGGCAATTAAATAGTATATCAGATCATTGAAGATTAACAAAAGAAAATGAAAAATCATCAACTCTCCTATTTGAATTGTGAAGAACAAACAGACCAGAGAGCAACATAAAACACAAAATGGACAGCTAGGAATTGAGGAGGGGATGAGCCTCAGCCATAAATCCATCCTCCTATAAAGGGCTGAAGACATAAAATGGTGGACACATGCCAAGCAGTAACTAATGTGTCTCAAGATCGTTTGTCAATGAAAGGTTACAAGTGGCTATTGTGGAGAATTAATAAAAGACATGAGGACACGGGCAAGCCAGCCAATTCCTTGGACCTACAGAAATATAAACCTTTTTAGATATTCAATAAAGCCCATCTCTTCCATCATTGTTGTCTTTCTGTACTATAAGACACTCTTCCTTTTCACCCTGAACGCATAACAGACAAAAAAAAAAAAAAAAAAAAAAACATCTTCTTTAACATTTATCGTGAGTAAATTATAAATTAGTCCTTTTCATTTTGAAAAATAAATTAATTGGACTTTTTCATTTCAAAAACTAATCACTTAGTCTTTCATCATTATTTTTTTTGTCAAATTTGTCAAATTAACTCCTAATACTTAAAATATCTTTTAACATATATACACTCATCCATGAAAATATGTTTTGGTACCTAAAAAAAAAAAAAAAAAAGAGAGAATGGAGAATAATAAAATAAGAAGTAAAGATTTAAGAAGAAAAATGTAGATGATAACACATAAAAATAATGATTGTTTGGGAAAAAAAAATTATAGTAAGAAAATCTCATCATCATTCTAACAAAATAAGGGACAAAATAACTAAATTATTAACAAAATTTAAACATAAAGAACTAAATTATTAGTTTTTAAAACGAAAAACACTAATTATTAATTCATTTCTCAAAATAAAAAAAACTAATTTAAAATTTGCTCCCATTTTGGTAGATGGGAAGCTTGCTTTGAGAAGGACTTTAGGTATCTATATTTGATACTCAAATTATAGATTGTAAAAAAATTGTTGCTTTATAGAATATTTATTAAGTAATTGTGCTTGTATTTGGCATGACATTGGTTGTACAAAGTCTTTCATCAATAAATTACTAGAATTAAATTAAGAAAATAATTAAGCAACCTAAATGGTAAAAAAAAAAAAACTATTTATAAATGATAAATTAGTCACTTTAGCTTTGAGAAACGAATTAATTAGTCTTTTTTTTCAAAATTAATTATTTAGTCATCTTTGTCCATTTTATAATATTTTCTAACTTGTTATTTTAAAAAAAATAAAATAAAACTAAAAAGATATTATAGAAAGATTGATGAGAAAATAATATATTTTTTAAAATAAAATAATATTAAATTAAACGTCATTACCATTGAAGAAAGAATTAAATAATTAGTTTTTGAAACAAGAGGTCCGATTAATTTATTTATCAAAACTAGAGGGACTAATTTATAATTTACTCTATAATTAAAAAAAAGTACAAGATCTAACCCGTTCACTATTTATATACACCTAATCTTACATGGACGTAGATTCATCTCTCATGTGCGCCTCTTCACTCGACCTCCCAACCCTTGGTTCATTCTTCCATGCCTTTGGTTCTTCTTCGACCTTGTAATCTTTATGTTCCAGTCTCTATAGTTCTTGTTTTTGCGGATGTCCACCCTTGCTCATCTCTTGCCCCTTCGTTTTCTCACTATTTTTGACAACCGACATTGTTTTTTGGTTATTATGCTTATGTTGTCGTCCAACATTTAATTCTCCTCTCTATCGTCATTTCCTTTCTCTCTTCTTTTATTGTATCACACTTTTGATCCATTTTTTCCTACATTTCCTTTTCTTTTCTTCTTCATTTTTGGTGGCCTATTTTTTTTTCTTTCTATTTAAGATGTCATTTACTTGTTGTTGCCTTATGTCATTTACGTCTTCCTATTTAAAAATCATTTTAGAATTTTCTTTTCATTATTTCTCTTTTCTCCCTAGCCCCATTACACATCGTGGGTGACCTATTCGTTCCTTTTCGGACCGATTCCCTTCTCTATTTCTTTGTTCCCTTGGTTGTTGTTGCTTAAATTTATCCTTTTTAAGTTCATTTTCAATTTTTTTCCCTCATTTTTTATTCAATTGTGAGGGAATGGGTTTGGTTAGTTCTTCTTTGGTTGCTTTTTTCTCCATTTTGTTTTGCTTGCTTCCTCTTGGTCTAAAAAATGCCCATCAAATACTACAAAATTGACGACATACTTGCTATATATCCCTATGTTCTTGTCTTTCCTAACCCTTATATGCGACTCTTTTTCCAGTATTTTAAGCAAATTCTTCTTTATTTTTCCCTTTTGTCCCATTGCTTTCTCATTCCCTGTCAATTTTTTTTTTATTGTTCTTTCCTTTTGTTTCTTCACTTCCTTCAGGAGCGACTTGTCTTGGGCTCCTTCTTTTCATCATTGCATAATTTATAGGTTAGCACTTTCATTTCTTTTCTTATGGTTTAAAATTAATTCCCTTTCTCCTTTGCATTTGCATCTTCTTTTTGCTTTCCCTTTTCTTATTTAGTTGTCGTTTCATTTCTTTTTGTAGCCATGTGTGTCCTCTTCTTCTTATTGTTGCTATGACTCTCCTTTATTCTTGCCTTAAAGACGTCCGGTCTTTCTTAAGAAAAGGTGTGCTTTTCCCTTTAATTTTCTAAATTGTCTTTCTTCTTGTCTCGATTAATTAGTCATGTGTCTTGGTTATGCCATGGATTGGTTTTTTTTTCTCACAATGTCCTCATGCATTCATTCTTCTCCACCTGTTGCATCCCCCTTTTTAGGTGTTCCTCTTTTGGATTTGGATTATTAAAACATTGAGTTTTGTTACGATCTTTGCGTTGTCTTTCCTTTCTTGTGGTTTTGTCATTCCTTCTTTCCCATAGTGTGATGCTCGTCTCATGCTATTTGCTTTTAAATTTAATTTTGATTCATTTTTGGATATAGGGATGGCAATTTAGCCATCCTACCCCACCTCGGTCAACATAAGGATTGCCCGAGTTGATTAGGGAATGGGACGGGGCACTCCGGCTTGTATTTATTTTGAACATGGATAGGACGGGGATGGTATTTGTTTGCCTTGCCTCATATGCCTCTCTCTATCTCCGAAATTATAATTATACCCTATATAAAATTTATGACTATTGACTCTTAGGGTTTATTTTCTATATGAATTATCATTTTTATTTTTTTGCTATAGATTGAAATTTGATAGTAAAATGGGACGGGACAAGGCAAAAAAAATAAATTAAATAAGGCACTAGTGCCTCGTGGGATCCCCGTTTAATATAGATGTTTTGACGTTATTGTGGTCGTCTTTATCCTCTATTTGAGTCTTTGGAAATGAGGGTTCTACAATTAAATTTTTATGTTCTTTCTTTATTCTTTTTTGGTTACAAATACTTTATCGTGCCAATGTCGGTTATCACTGCACTTTTCTAACCTTTGACAATGCTTGGTTTGATTTTCTTTTTCGTCCTTTTGCCTTCTTTTAGCAGACCATTTTCTTATGTCCGATGGTGTTTAAAGGTTATTTTATTGAACTACAGATCCTTGACTATTCTTTCTTTTGCATACATTGGCTTTTTACTTGTTGTCGAAACATTGAGATTTATGGTGCTCTTATCTTACTTTTTTTTTTGTTTGTGTTTTGTGTACCCTCTATTTATTTTTTTATGTGTTATAGCCTCATTTTCAAACGAGAACTATTCGTTGCTATTGTCATTGCTATTGAGGGCACTTTTTTACTCTAGCATCCTTCTCCGATTGCTCCTTTTGCATCTATTAAGGAGTGAGCTCGGCTTTTTTATTGGTGTTGTTCTAATTGTTTGTTCATTCGATATCCGTTGCTCGAGGACTGGTTCATGTTTCGGTATTTTGGAGGTTCTTAACTTTCTTTTTCTTTATTTTAAGATCCTATAAAGTTCCATATATTATTTGTGATTGCAACTATTATTGTTCCTTATCAATTTGATTTACTATTTCATTCTTCGCCAAGCTTGAATTGTGAATCCATTAGCAAGTCGATAGATCTTTCTTACTCTTTCTACTATTACTTTGTTTGTTCGATCTCGATTCTTAGCAAATCGTCCGTTTTGCCATTACTAGTTCCTCGACATTTTACCTTTCTACCTTTCGCCACGGATACCGACATATACTTTCTCTATAATTTGTTGGGCTAAATTGCTGCACATGATTTCTTTTTCTTTTCATTTGTCGTAATTTCATGCTATATAAATCTTTTCTATTCATCTACTTCATGTTTGATGGTTTCAATTACGCTCTGGACTTTTTTGCCCTTTTATACTTTTTTGAACTTTGTTTGTCGTATTCTTTTATATTTATTAGCATTTCCTAAATTGGAAAGACGATTCTTCTTTCATGCACCTTCATGTTGTGGTTTCACTCGTTGTGTTGTTATTTTGATCGGGCTTTCAAATGTACTTGTTTCATTGGTTTTTTTCTTTATACTTTTGGCTTCTATAAAACTAGATTCTATCAATGTGTCTATTTTATTTTCCATTTTTTCAAGTTGTTTCTCGGTTTTGCACATCCAGTGTGGATAATTGTTTATAAAAATACATCAATTTTTTAACATGTTTTATCGCTCTTCAAGATCTTCCCGGACCCTTTAGTCAATCATAAGATCTTCCCAAAATATACTCTTATGCTTAACAATTTCTACAAAGAAAAATCATTGCTAGAAGGTGTAGATGTTGGTTTTTTGCAATAGAATTGATGAATGAAGGAAGTTAGTTACTTCCCTTTGGCGATTTTTCTCAATTTTCCTTCAACATCACTAATTCGTTTGCAACTAGGTAAGTGATTTAGTTTGTTACTTTTTCATTCTCTATTTTGGTTCTCTTTTCTCTCTATTTTACTTGATTGATTGGACATTTATATTGATTAAGGGGTTGATTGGAAAATCGTGACCTTTTTCGGACCTTTTAATTCTCATGATTTGTTTGGTTTTTGGCTTTTTTAAACCTATTGTCTTTTCATTAGTAAGAACCTTACTTTTATCATCCGGGTGTATATTGCTTGCATTTTTTTTTAACTTCGTCCTTCTTTTTCTACTATAGGTTATTTTTTTCTCTTTCTCTTTTTGAAAAGTTTTTTAGTTTCTCCTTTTGTGTGATATTTGATTGTTTGCAATGCCTTTGCTTCTTTTAGCCTTTTTTTCGTCTGCCTTTTGTCCGTGTTTTTCTTTTTTTGATATCTTTTTTATTCTTCTATTGGTAACCAATCGGGTTTTTCCCTTTCTATGTTTTGCTTGGATTGTCTTGGAGTCTCTTGTGTTTGTTGTTATTGCTATCTTTGTGGGTGTTTTGTATTTTTTTTTATTTTCTCTATATATTTTCTATTTTATTTATGTTTTTTTATTCCGGTGTCATATATTTTATCGTTTTGCTTTTATTATTTTTTATTGTCTATTATAGCTATGTTTTTTTCTATAGTTTGTAGATCCTTTACGTTTTTCTTGTTGCTCATTTGATATGGTTGTTGTGCTCATTGTTGCCATTCTCTTGCGTATCTCGGATTAGTCTTTTTTTATATTTGTCATCTTCAATGTTGCTATGTTTGAGATGTCTCTTATATTATATTTGTTGTTTTTTCTCTACTTTATGCATTATTTTATATTGTTATGGTTTCATGATGCTTTGACATATAGGCGGAATCCAATTGGAATATTTTTTTAGGATTTAAAATTATGATGTTTCTATGTTAGAGATGTTTGTCGACTTATGTTCGTGGTCCTTCTTCTATTTTAAGTTGTTTTAGAGTGCTACTATAGTATGATGTTGCATATTTAAGGACTAATTTCTTTGGTTTCTATTTCATTCGATCATCACTTGCTTATGTCTTACTTATTCTATGGCTTTAAGATATTATATCCTTCCATGTTTGTAACTATCCACTTTTAGACCTTCTTGATATGTTATGTTCATGTTTCCTTCTTTCCATATTGTTGCTTGGTCATTATTTTTCAATGCTGAATTATGCAAGTTGGTGTTTTTTTTAAGACAACGTTGTATTATGTGTTTTTGATCTATACTTATATATATTAGAGATAAAGATGCTTTGAAAGATGATACTATAGGAGAATTAAAAAATAATGAATATTTTTACGTCTAGAGGCATATTAAATTATAAGAATTGAGTCTCTTTTTTTTAAATCACGCAGCTAGCTAGCTTTACGCCATTTGTAGATCTTCTACCATGTTTTTGCATGTTGTCATTAAAAAAAAAGGTGAAGGCTGAATGAATATTGTGCCTAGATAAATGAAGAGAGGGTGAAAAGATCAAATAACACAATATGATGATTTTATTCTTAAAGTGTTGTGAGAAAATAAATAAATTAGCTTAAATTAACTTAAACAAAATTGTTGTGGTTTCATGTTTCTATGGCACATGGTAAAGATTAGGTGGGCTCTTCTTTTAGGATTGTCAATTATCGTTTTCCCGTGTCTAAGGTGTCTCCCACATTACACGTGTTACCTTTTCTCTTTATGCTTAGAATTTCTTTTTGTATGTTGCATTGGTTCCATGTCTGGTTTAATGCATGCCCAAAATCAAGTGCTAATTCCCTTTTAAATTTTACGGCTTTGTTTTTTTCTCATTGCTTTTTTTGTTAGGTTTGTTGATTCTTTCAGCTATTCATGCATGCTTTTCATTTTTCTTTACTTGCACATGTTTCCTCTATTTTTTTTTACATCTTTTTATCGTGTCTTTATGCAAGAATTTATCTTTTTATTAACTGTTTTTTTCTTCCTCTATGTCTTTAGTTCTTAATATTAAGAGTTTAAGCCTTATTGCATTATGGATCGCTCATTTGCATAACCTTGCATTAGAATTTGCTTTTCTTCGTCATCTTTTTTTGTTTCTCTCGTTGTCATGTTGCTTATTTAATGCCTCTTTTCTCTATTTCTATTTTTTCATTGTTGCTTATGCCTTAGTCGTTTTATGGTTTTAGGGCTTTCTTTTTCTTTAATGTTCATTTTTGTTCGTTTATTAATAGTCATTTCATTGTTTAATGTTTAAAAACTAGACGGTTTGTTACATTCATGCTTTCTCTTTTCTTGCATTATTGCTTGCCTGCTCGTTTATCAATTTAATTTGCAAAGCCACTCGTAAGTTATACATATAATGAAATTATTGATTAATTTTATTTATTTTGGCCTTCAATTTCTTAAAATGAGGTTTGACGCCGCCTCTTATTTTAATCAATCATGTTCTTTTCCCTTTATGTTCGATCTTTTGTATGATGTTTTGGTTCTTGGTGCCTTATCCCTCGGCTTGCTCTTCTTGATATTCTTTATTTGCTCAATTAGACGAGTGCCATCCGAGTTGTTGTCACTTTTTGCCAAAAATAATAATGATCATCATGGTTCCATTAAATATGAATATGGTTTACGTAGAGTTAACTTATTAATTTGTTTGTTATCTTATATACCTTTTTCTCTATATGCAAGATTTTGTTTTGGTTCTCTAGTTGCTCATTCTTCCATGGATTTGTGTTTTTTATTTTGTATAAGACTTTTTTATATGAATTACCGACACTCATAATGATTGCATTATCATTTGATTTTATAATCACTTTTTTTTACCCCGTCATTATACACTTATTAGTATTGTTTTTTTTTTTTTGTTGCTTTGGTTTTCAATTACTCTTGATATTTATGCATTGGTTTTTTTTTTTTTGTGGTTTTGAAAACTTCATTTTCTTTCATATGCATAGCTGGCCTTTTTCATGTTGCATTGTTGTTGTTCGTTGATCTTAAGCTTATTAATGCATTAACTACAAACTTTTACTTTTAAAAATAATATGTTGATTTCTATTTACCATGTTCCTTTTGCCATTCTATTTCGATTCTTTCGTGTTTTTGGTTGATGGTTGTGCTACTTTTTCTCTAAACTCGTGCTTCTTTGATTGCCATTTCATATTGTCAATGCATTTTATTGGTTGGACCCTATGGTTATTATGTTGAATCCTTTGCATGATAATAAACATGGTTCCCGCCTTTCAATTTTTATATTTCGGATAGCTTGTCGTTTCTATAACCTCATTCCTTTTTTTTTTTTTTGTTGCCTTGAATAAAGATGTGGTCGACGGAATCAAAGTCATTTAGGCATTTTAAACGAGTTAATGTGCACTACTTCCACCTTTAGGTCAAGAGAGAGATCATCATTGGTACACTAAGTTGCATGTGTTTCATTCCTATATGCTTTGTTTTATGCAATTAAGTAATTAAGGTTCTCATTTTTAATTTGTACTTCCTTTATGTATAAAAAAATAAAGAGTTACGTATCACTCTCGTTGATGTTGCAAACCGCTTAAATGAAGAGGTCGTGATAGTCCTTTAGCCTCCTACTATAGGTGTTTTTGCGAGTCTTGAGGTGGGTGAATTTCTAGGTAAGAGATTCTTACCTTATTTGGATATATCAAAGTATTTTTGCATCTCTTAACCCTAGTTTACTTTTATCCTTTGTATACACTTGCTTTTATAGGGCGACTTGTGTTGAATGGAATAACTTTGTTTTTGTGATTTTTCAACTTTGACACCTCCGAGATACTCTCATATGACCATTGGTACGTCGTGCCATATTCTTTCTTGGTTTTTCCCAAAACTATTTATAACTCAAATAAATAGGTCTTTCTTCATGATTTTTGCACTCGTGGTCCTGTCCCATTAGAAATACGAGCAATTGCTCATATCAATTGTTACTAAACAAACATCGGACAACTTAAAAAAGACAATAGAAAGAGCATAAGACAACCGATTTGCATGAACCTCATGATTATCAAGTTATCACTATATTTACCATTTAAAAAAGAACCATTTTTAGCTCAAGAAAATTTATACAATGTTTACACATATTTCATATTTGTTTAATTAGACTCGATTGCCTCTATAGTTGTTGTATTTTGGGGGAAAAAAGAAGCAAAACAAACTTTTTCCTTTGCCTAGCAACTCAAATGCAATAAATATGTAAAGAATCATGCCATTTTAGCTTTTGAAACTTTAGAGTCTCACAAATATCAAACACAATAAAAATATTGACCACCTCTACCTTTGAAGTTAGCATATATTATTAGCTTGGTTATGAAAATTGGTGTGAGCAACGTTTTTTCCATTGTCGATGCATGTTAAAATACCAAGAAGACTAGCCAAATAAAATCGGTACAAGGTGGCGACTTATGCCACAAGATAATCATATTTGATTAGCTTATCTAGTGAATGAATATGGTCATTGTAGTTATTTGATGCCGATGTACGAAGCTTTATATTTATTTGAGTTAAGTTGCTGTATTATTGCTAAAAAAAATAACAACATAACCTTTTTGTTTTCGATAAAGAGAACACATGTAAAAGCAAATTGCTTTGAGCTAAAGAATAATTCTAACGCAACATGTTCTTCGACGACAACATAAGACTTTCATTTAATTCTAACTCATGTCTTGATGATAATGATGAAGCAACAAACCAAGCCAATCCCCTTCTTTGCGAACTAATCGGTTTTACCTAGTATGTGTACATTGGTGCAATCGGATAATCAAAATTAATGGCTCATTAAATTTATCACTCATCTATGTATTGCTTTCGATAAACCTTTCATCTTTGTCTATATTATTGAACAAACCTTCATAGATAAAAAAACTCACAAATAATCATTATCAAAAAAATATTTTACTATTGTGCTTATTATAAAAATTTGCTCATTCGAAAGCATGTTATTTAAGTAAATAATGGTCTAGCAAATCATCTTTATTGTATTATTGCACAAAATGGTTTGTTGCTTCCAACACAATATAGAAAGAACTCGACTTGCTTGCACATACAACGTTGTTCCTCCCGCAACATAGGGTGGTTATCCGACTAGTAATCTCTACATCTCAATTAATTAAATTGACCACATTAACCCTACTTCACATTTTGATATCCCATTACTAATCTCTTCTAACTTGTTTTGAAAAATAAATTAATTAGTCCTTTTGTTTTAAAAATTAATTGTTTTTATTCATTTTATACTCTTTTCTAACTTTTTTTTAAATAGAATAAATAATATTATGGAAAGATTGATGAGAAAATAATATGTTTTTTAAAATAATATAATATTACATTAACCGTCATTAACATTGAATAAAGAATTAAATAATTAGTTTTTAAAACGAGAGGACTGATTAATTCATTTATCAAAACTAAAAGGACTAGTTTATAATTTACTCTATAATAATCTCTAAATCTAAATTAATTAAATTGACCACATTGACCCCACTTCACGTTTTGATACCCCCATCACTAATCTCTTCTTCTTGATTGAAATGATTAAACCCAGGTGCTTTTTGACTGTGGAGAAGCTAAATTGTCATTATTTTCTAATATTATATCCTTATTGGCTTTGGATAATCTTTTGGACGTTTGTTTTAGGTTAGACCCACAAAACATGTCTGGGGGTACAAATCACAGCATGAAAAGGATTATCATCTACTTTTTATGTTAATTATTGTGACTAAAAGCCAACTAATTTGACAAAGTCACAAAAGTCCTCGTTCTTTCCAAACTAACTTCAACTATATGTCTGGAATGAAATCTTTAAGATTCTTGTTGACCATGGTGTGAAAGAATCCAAAGCTCAAATGGATATTACATGTACCTAAAATAAATTAATAATTGGGTTTGTTCTGTCTAGGATATAGGATATGAAATTGACCTAATATAGTCTTATACCGATTCTTTTTCAGTTTTTAATAAGCTAGACGTGTACGTAAGTGAAGTTTTACGGTTTAATTGTATAATTTACTTTTAAATTATTGAGGTGTGATAAAATAAGATTTATATTATTATTTTGTGTTGTTTAGACTCTAAATCGTTAATATTTAAGAAAATTTTATATTTTTCCGTTCCATCCGATGATTAAAGTGTTAATTGATCATTAATCAAAATACTTAAAACGTTAATGTTTTAGTATTTTATTTTAAAAAAATTAAAATTAATTTTGAAAAAAAAATAGTTAACTTTAAGGAAATGAAGTTTAGATGATTTTATAGTTTATGAATTTAAACATTGTTGTTGGATAATTAATGATTTATGATGGATCATTTTAATTAAAAAAATAAATTATTAATTTTATTTTTCAAAATTAAAATGTTTAAAATAACGTCATTTTAGATATTTCAATTAATGCTCAACACTTTAAGATATAACAAAAAAAATAAAATTTATCTAAAAATTAATAGTTTGAGATTTAAATAATCTAAATTGATAATATAACTCTTATGCTACCATCCCAACCGTTTAGAAATAAATTATGTAATTAAACTAATTTTTTACTAACACTTATACCTTGAATTTTTAATATTTTAATAAATATTTATAAATTTATTATTATTGAAAGTTCGAGTATATATTTAGGTATGCGGTTGAAGTTTCTTTATCCTAAAATCATAATCTAATATATTGTTCAAGTGTTTGTTTGGAAAAGTTCGAATATTAATTTTTTTCATATATATATATATATAAATACATTATTCGTGTTATAAATATATTTTAACTAATTTTTTTTTCATGAACTTTTTGTCAAATATTAATTTTTTCCGCATCGTAACAAGCAGAAATCCACAGCTGATAATTTCGTATACGTGTCAGTAAAACAAGGGTAGTAGATGATGTTTGAACTGTCACAATAGCTCATACTAACAGTGACATTTCTAAAGAAACTGTCACTAGAGATTAAATAAATGCCACCAAAGGTTAATTTTATCTCTTTGCGCGTTGAGATGCTAACAAAAGGAATTTTTTTTTTAATAAAAAAACGCCTTCTTTCCTAAACGTCTCCTAATTCACAACTAATAATCATCAAATCATTATTTATGAACATTCAAGTTCTCTTTGGATGATATGCATATATAACCTATTTGAGTCTCATCACCCTTCCAATTATTAATTTTCTTAATTAATTAATTCAAAGCACAATTAAATGCACATTAAACTCAATAATACAGGCTCCTAACGTAATCAAATAGAACGTTTAAAATAGTGAAGAAAATAAATCAGACAATATTGGGCAAGTTTTTGCCGCATTTATCTTGTATTTTTATAAATTGGATTTGAATTAAATATAATATATTATAATTTAAATCCTATATAGTTTTAGACTAAATTGAGTTTTAATTATATAACAGACAAAAATGAAACAGATATATCGATAGAACGAATATCATACTGTATCGGATAAAAGTCGGATTTGTTCGAATAGATACCCATAATGAAAAGAGTATCTATTAGGTCAAAAATCATAGAGCTTGTTTATATCAAAATAGTATAGTTTAATTTGGATTTGAATCAGATAAAATTAGACAAGTTTTTACCTCGTTCTTCTCCTATATTTTTATAAATTGAATTTGAATCCAATATTATATACTTTAATTTAAATTCTTTAGCGTTTTAGACTAATTTGAATTTCATAAATATTTCAAAAATTATAATTATTTAACTAGCAAAATTGGAAAGAATTAATTAAAAAAACGTGATAAATATATCTACACATCGCATATTTTACTGAATTGGATAAAAGTCGGTTTGTTAGGATATTATCCGTAGGAAAAAAGAGTATCCATTAGGTCGAAAATAATAGAATTTACCTATATCGAAATAGTATAGTGAACAGTCAGTTCAAAGGAAAAAAAAACACATGCTTTTGACAAGACGAAATGATTTAGCTTCACATGGCAGTGCTTTAGGTTCACTAATATCAAGAAACTTCTTTTTATGGAAGGTGTCCGTTTCCCTGTACCAGACCAATGCTGGTTCATTTTGCAGCTTTTCATTGAATTATTTCTGCTCTCAATTCTTGGGAGTTCAAATGTAAGATGTCAGTTGTTCCTCAAAGTGATGAATTCTGCAGGTACCATTTGAATTTAGGGCTATCTCTCCCTCTCTTTCAATCAATGGAGCTACTGTTATGAGGCTATAAAATAACCATGGATAGCACATTGAATGCTGATGTTTTGTTTTAAATATTTTGTTTCAATCAAAGTGGTTGGTTTGGGTGTCGCGGGGGGTGGTAGTGTATTTGAACTAGAATTTCATTTCATTGATTAGAGATATAGACACCAATTAATACCTTTACTATTTGGTTGTAATATATATATATACGATTAAAGTAGTGGAAAGAAATGAATTGCAACAAGTTTAGATAAATAGTTTCATGTTCGATAAATTTATTTAATAAAACAAGATTCGAATCTTGGTTATTATATATTTTTTTATTATAATTATGCAATGATCGAGAACTATATTCTATTATGCAGCTCAAAATCGAATACACTACTTATTAATATATAAAAAAATCAATAAGACTATTAAACTTTATTTTAATAATAAAGATAATTTTGAATAAATCTTCATGCATCAAAATTAAATTATTTTTCTTTAATAAAGAAAACTTGATCCCAAGGCTTGGAAATGTCATGTAGGAAAAATTAAGGGTTATTATAGTTATTTTAATAAAACAAGATTCGAGTCTTAGTTATTAGAGTTTTTCATTATAATTATGTAATGATCAATAACTATATTTCATCACCTAGTTCAAAATCCAACACATATCCTATTAAATAAATAAATATTCAATGAGACTATTAAAATTTATTTTGATAATAAAGATAATTTTGGGTTAATTTTCAAGCATAAAAATTAAATTATTTTTCCTTCAAAATAATTTAATGAAGAAAACTTGATCCATAGGCTGGGAAATGTCATGGAGGAAAAATTAAGGGTTATTATAGTTATTTTAATAAAACAAGATTCGAGTCTTAGTTATTAGAGTTTTTCATTATAATTATGTAATGATCAAGAACTATATTTCATCACCTAGTTCAAAATCCAACACATATCCTATTAAATAAATAAATATTCAACGAGACTATTAAAATTTATTTTGATAATAAAGATAATTTTGGGTTAATTTTCAAGCATAAAAATTAAATTATTTTTCCTTCAAAATAATTTAATGAAGAAAACTTGATCCATAGGCTGGGAAATGTCATGGAGGAAAAATTAGGGGTTTTGGAAGGATACTTTAATTCACTATGATATTAATAGGGTAAACATACATATTTATCTTTACATATATAACACTTAATGTTTCTTATCCGTTTCTAGATTTTTAATTGCATCCTATATGTCTCTAAAAATTTTTAAAATGTTTAATATGTCTTTCCGATCAAATTTTTTTACCATAAAATTCTTTTTGACCTAAATTTTTTTTTACTAAATGCAAAAAAAAATTAAATAAATAAAAAAACAAAAATACTTAATTAAAGTCACATGAGCTAGATGTTTTATGTTTAAAGTCTTCAAATTTTTTTTTCCTTTCAATTAGGAGCATTTTGGTCAAAAAAATTATTTGACCAGAAAATTAGGCCCGAATGATAAATTAAACATCTCAAACACATTCAAAAACAAATGGAATGCAATTAAAAACCTATGGACAAATGAAAAATATTGATGTTATATAAAGACAAATAAGCATGTTTATCCAATGCTAATAAAAACCTTTTCAAAATACAAGAAGTTCAAAACTCCCTCAAAACTTTCTGATCTAACATTTTCTTTTAGGCCAAGATTGAACAGTTTTGGTCCCATTGAAAACTCTATAAAAAAATCAAATAAAACAAAGAGAGAAAACAATAATATTTTATAAATCATAGCCTTTGTTTTTGTTTAGAAACATGCGTATCTAGCTAACCTTTTATTAGTCTTTTCCATGGCAGTTGCTGTTTTGCACTTGTAAGCATTACAAGTTACAATAATAAGATGTGCTAGGCACATGCAATTTCTCATAAAGTTTGCATTATTAAATTAACAAACCCTAACCCCTAGATGTAAAGTGTAACATCAACTATACTAATAGGGGAAATTATTTTGGCCTATATACTTAGCCCACAATCTTAATTATATATAAATCCAAACTACTCCCTATCGAGGAAGTGTGATTATTTTTTCTTGATAAATTAAATGTCACATGTGGGCTACAGCCTATAAATTAATTATATATATTTTCTAGTGTTCTTTCTCCTCCTCTCGTTCCACTTTATTTATTTATTTATTTATTTATTTCAGAAGTATCTCAAGTCTAAAAGTTTAGTTTAATCTTTTATTATTTGATACGAATGTGTAAAACGAATATAATTATTCAAATAATTTTTTATATAAATAAAAATTTAAATTCAAAACTATTTATTTAAGAGATTGAGTCTCTTTCTCTTAAACTAATTCTTTTGAATCTTTCATTTTTTTATTTAGCACATTAGATATGACACATTATTTATATCTTCAGTGAAATGATATACAGGGTCATATGATTCGTATAAAATATATATTTTTTTGAAATTGAGATAATCCTATCCGAATCCTACAACAAACATAAATTCATGTCAATTATATTTGCATCTAATAGATATATTTTTACATATTTAATTTTTTTTTCGTTTTAATATATCAATTATAAGATCAAATAGTATGTAAAATTGGCGGTTCGAGAATACCATCTAATCGTTATAAAAAAAATGGAAAAAACCCTAACGTTTCCCTTTTTATATTAATCATTTTTACAACCATTGGTTAAACCTAATGTCTCTTTCATAATTTTTTTTTTTGGTTGCAAACAAAATATCACAAAATGACACTCTCCATTGTATATGTTGTCTTTTTGCTAATGTCTTCGGACACAGTAAGGCTATAAATAGTCTCAAATGACACTCTCCTAACTTTTAGGTGCCTATTTTTATAGGATCATTACCATGGCCTTTTTTGATTTGAAGTTGGAAAAGTTTGGATATTAATTTTGTGAAAATGAAAGGTTTTCATGCGGGTAGGGGCCGTAAGGGATAGCTATATTTTGATGTGCATGGCAATATAAAAATTAAAAAAAAACCCTACAAACAATTATATGTTGCCGTTTTGTTTGAAAATAAGGCAAGCATAGACCATGTGCAATGCTGCATTGTTTTGAAAGAAGCAAACAAAAAAATAAGCAAAAATGAGGTCTTTGCGTTAGGTAATGTTGCATTGGCATCTTCTGGTGTAACAACTGGCTCAGGGCTCCAAGCTGTGCCCAACCATAAAGAAGTTCATTTTACTTTTGCTTGCTACTATTGTTATGATTTACTTTTTACCTGTGAATAGTGCTTGTATCTTCTGGGGCAACCAGTTTCTTTACCTTTTTCGAATGATATCAATCGGTTACTCATGAAGTGAATTTTACCTATCAGTAACGTCGTAAAAAGGAAGAAGAAGAAGAAAGGAAAAAAACACTATCATTAAGTGGTTCGGATTTTTTGGGTAATTCTTACCACAATATGCGTAATGTTCTATATATAGAATGAAATTCTGGATTGATTCATGTCTTTTTGATTGAAATTCATGAGAAATCTACGCTTATGGAGTTATTTAGGCATGTATGTTGTGAAGATTTGCATATAAAGACCGACACTATTTTAATTAAAAACCTAAATTAATAGATTACATGTACAATATACATATATATTTCAATTTATTTTTTTATTCCTAATGGATGTGAGATTATTCATATAACCCAAGAAATCTCTTCTGATCACATGCAAATTTCTTTTTCACAATGGTTTTTGCTCAACTACGAAGAAATCAACAAAGTCGTGGGAGTCTAACCACAATCCCCACTGGCTCTGCTACTAAATCTTGAGAGGATCTGTTATTGAGTGACCTGAATATTGTGAAAACTTATATAGAACAATAGAAATCGTCTTAATTCAAAAGTCTAAAGTAATAGATGAAGTTTATCTTGCAGATAGTAACCTCAAACCTCTTTTTTCCTAACAAATATATAGAATTTTTTACAGACGTGTGAAGCTCAACTTGTTTATCACGAGAGATAAGCCAATGATTACTCTTTTGAGCTGAAAAAGGTGAAATTAAGTACTACTACACGGCAGATTCAGAAGAATTTTGGGGACCAAATTCTTAGTGACATTGAATTGGATCAAGAAAAATCAACCAGAGAAGTTACTGATGATATCGCAAGAAGTCAAGAAGAGCCAGTAAATGGTCCTACGTACTGAGATGTTACAACACGAGTGTCAGAATGCCATAGAGTAGCTGACTTCTTGCGCAACAAACTTTGAAAGTAATGGAAGAGTGGAAAAACATGCAGAGAACGATTGTTTCCTCCAGAAATCCTGTAGTGAACACGTTGACATTACAAGGCAAATCCCTGGTTTCTCTCTACTTTGGCTGTCTCTAACCTCAAAAACAATGGCTGCCTGTCCTGCACAGCCTTTCTCCAACAAATTTTGGAGTCTCTCTCTCCAGAGTCCATGTGACCCAATGCTGGGGATCTTGGAACAAAATTGCATACCGTGTCCTCTATGTAATGCAATGTTTTTTTTTTTTAATTTTTTTTAATCTTTACAAAATGCATTTTCTGATTTTATTTATTTATTTATTCATTTTGTCATAGATAGGATCGTGTAATGCACCGGCAATGTTAAACAATAAGAAGATTAATGTTAATACTCACTAGTTAAAAAGATATACATATATATATATATATATATATATATATATTACCACGACAGAAACTGAATTCACAATTACTATAAAAATAAATGTTTATTTTTTCTTTTTTGTAATGAGATATATTTTTAGTTAATAATCAATAGTTAAAGAGATAAAAAAAAAATACTACAATGACGTAAACTGAATTTACAATTACTATAAAAATAAATGGCTATTTTTTCTTTTTTTGTAATGAGATATTTTTTTAGTTAATAATCAATAATTAGAAGAGTAAAGACATAAACTGAATTGATAATTAATTTAAAAATAAACTATTTTTTTCTTTTTTTGTAATGAGATATTTTTTTAGTTAATAATCAATAGTTAGAATAGCAAAGAAAGTGTATTACTACGAAAGATACTGAATCGACAATTACTATAAAAATAAATTTTTGTTTTTTTATAATGCGATTTTTTTTCAGAAAATTTGAACTCATAACGTCTATATAAGTAAATAATAATAAAAAAAACTCATTACTATTACATTTTTTATTAATATATTAAAGGTCTATTGGTTTATTTATTTTTATTAGAATTAATAAAGAAGATAGAAAGATTCCATATTAAGAGCCAATTGAGCAGTCGTTGGCTTGACGATTGAGTCAAAAGATTAGTCAAGCACAACGCTGTTGGGAAATAATGCTTAACAGGTGAGTTTTGACTTGAGAAAATTAAAGAATTTCCCATCACACAATAGTTTCCTATAATTATGCTCTTTGTTAGATATTAGAAAATCTTATATTCTATTCTACTACAGTTGAATATGTTGCCATCTTGGTTTTATTACCTATAGATGTCTAGAAATTTTATCTTACCGGAGGATATTTACTTCAAAAAAAAAATAATAATAATAAATAAAATACAAAGATCAGAAAAAAAATAAAATAGAAAATTAAAAAAAAAGTTTAGGTACAAATATATTTTTTAATTTTTTTAGGTATAAATGTGATTTTTTCTCTTTCCTTTTTTATCTCTAGGATATTTTAGTCTCAAAAACTATTAATCTCTCACTATTTGATCGAATACGCATGAAAGTTATAAGTATCCTAAAAGTTTTTTACATATATAAAAATTCAAAATTAAAATTATTTGTTTAAATAACTAGAGCTTTTTTCAAAATAAATTTATAGAATAAATAGTATTACGAACTCTTTGAGTAATTTAAATTTTTTCATGGATCTCTCATGTCTACAATACTTCGATTGAAATGGAAATTACATTTTGTTGTTATAATAGTGAAGATATTACCTCTTTAATCACTACATTGAATGGCAATTAACCACATAATAATTGCTTAAAAAATAATTTTATGTTGAAAAGCAATTAACCAAAACTAATGCAATTTCCATATAAAAAAATAAAAAACACAATCTAAACATTATTTTCTTTATTTTCCTATATTTTCACCGCTCAAACATTACATATTCTCGGTCCTCACAAAGACTGAAAATTAAAAAAATAAATAAAAATAACATAAGAGAGAAAAAGTCAAAAGAGCATGTGCTAATGAACTAGTGCTAAATAGTAATAAAAAACATCATCATAAATTTTCCTAATAAAAACAGTAAGCCAGAGACAATTGCTAAAACCTTTTGTCTCTTCGATTGAAGAAAAAAGTTGTAATAAAATTTTCACAAATGGAAGAAAAGTAAAAAAATTATTACTTTTTCAATCATTTAAAAAAGATTATTTTGACAAAATGAAAAATTCACAAATTTAAATTTTACACGTTAATTTCTCGACTATATAATATATTTATGTTACTAATATAGGATTTTAAGTATTTTAAAAATAAATTTTTATGAGTATTCATCGTAGAGATTAAATTCTGAACTTAACATATAAATCAAAACTTGTTTATCAAATAATTATCAATTTTTATGATTAAAAAATGTTAATTTAGAATTTTAAATTTATACCAAAATGCTCACACTATAACGAGTAATGCTAATCATACATAATATTGATGTGAAAAATAAATTATTTTTAAAAATTTACAACCAAAAGACCAAGAAAAGGAAAAAAAAAAAAGAGAAAATAGAAAGGGCAAGTGTTACGGTGTACACGTGCAATCAGCACTTAATAAGATTTAATGCCCCATTTCTCCCACTCTCTCTTCTCTGTTTCTGTCTCTCTGCACGACTTCCAAAGGCAAAGTGAACAAAAACAGTAATGGAAGAAAGAAACTGATTTGACACACTATTAACAAACCAAACTTTACTTACTTCCTTCTTACAATAATATTATTATTTTCTGCTACAGAACATACTTGTAGCAGTGTCTCTTCTCTGTATCTGTCTCTCTTCTCAACATTTTCTTACACAGAAGCAGAACTTACTTGCAGAGAGAGAGAAAGAGGCATTCATTCTTTCTTTTTATAGCAGTTTAAGATACTGACTGTTGTGTCTGCGACTGTGTGTGCAAGCCAGTCAGTCTTGTAGGGATATTCTTCATCCATTTGTAGTAGCTATTCTCTCATTCTGCTTCTCTTGTCTCTTTCTTGATTATTCTTTCTTTCTCTCTGTGTTGTTTGTGTGGTTTAGTAGTGAATGAAATTCTCTGCCTAAAAATGGGTGAAGAATCCTTAACTACAGTCCCATTTGACAGAACCGTTGAACAGGTCTCTCTCTTCTGTCTCTTTCCCTTTCTGTCGAAAAACAATAATGTCTTCTTTCTGGGTTTTTTTTTTCCTTTACATTTTCTTGATTTTGTGTTTCATGTCTTTCCTGTTGAATTCTATGGTGATTTTCCAAATGGGGTATCAATAAGGAAGTTATTTATGTGGAATTCTTCTGTTATAGATGGAATACTGTTTGACATTCTTGTCACTTGTTCTTCTTCTCTTTCTCTGTGTTAATCTCTGTAAAATTGTAAGCAGACACATTGTATAGATGTTTTGCCTTAATGTTTCTTCTTGTACCAATGGGAAAAGCAAAAAAGTTTAGTTTTTTATTCAGTTTCTGTAATTTTTGGCTTTAAGTCTCTCTTGGGATTTTGATTATCCACCCGCATTTTCATTTTTTGTTACTCAATTCATGGTTTCATATTTCTTTTGTTTTCAATTTGGAGTGGTTTTTAACACCTTGCTATAAAGTTTCAGTGTTTGTTTTCTTTTTGTTTTGTTTTGTTTTTTTTTTGATCAGCACAAGAATTAGAGTTTTGAATCATATATTCCTTTGAATTTACCAAATTATGCGAAAATGGGTTGTACCAAAATAAATTTTAAAGATTTCTGATATATTGCTGAATTGTGTAATTTTGAATTTGATAGATACTGACTCACGCTGTAGTGGTTGCTGTAATCTTTTTACTTTCTTAAATTGTTTGTAGCTTTTTTCCATTTTTGATTAAGATTCAAGATTGTTAAGAAATCTATGCAATGATGTGCAGGCAATTCTGGCTATGAAGAAGGGTGCACATCTTCTGAAGTGTGGAAGAAGAGGGAAGCCCAAGTTCTGTCCGTTCAGGCTTTCCACGGTATGTAAATTGTATATGGAATAAAGTAGGTAATTTGAGGGAGAATTTATGATCAGCTGTGTGGATGCATAACTCCGGCATATTTCGATTTCTTTACTGAATAATTTTGCTTCACTGGAATTCTATACTTGATCAAGACTAGACAAATCATTGTCCTTCCTAGTGTTAGAATCGCCAATATTTGCTTAGCATTTCTTTACATGTTGATGCGTATGCGGTTTCTTGTTTCTGCTCTGGTTTTATGATAGATAAAGTGAAAAGGTTGTTTTGATTTGATGTTTCAGGATGAGAAGTACTTGATTTGGTATTCCGGAAAGGAGGAGAAACAATTGAGATTGAGCTCAGTTATGAAGATTGTCACCGGGCAGAGGACTGTATGTTATTAAGGATGCTCTTTGATATTAAGCTGCATCCCTTAATCTGTATCTAGTTGAAGGCGATGCCTTTTTACCGTTTCTATGAATTGTGAATTCACTTCTCAAATTTCTATTTTCAGAGGCAACTTCAACCAGATAAAGAGAATCAAACGTTTTCACTTATCTATACAAATGGTGATCACTCTCGTTCGCTTGATCTGGTAACTTCTGAATTTGACTCTTTTCTGAACAGATTAATTTTTCTGGTTAAGATTTATGGCTTCATTATTTGTTTTTATTCATTATCTTTCACATAGATATGCAAGGACAAAGCGCAGGCTGATTCTTGGTTTATAGGCTTAAGGGCCGTGATATCCAGGTGTCATCGTTCTAGGCCTATTTGTGTCCTGAAGAACAACAAAGGAGCACAAAGTTGTGTAAATAGTCCGGCTGGCTTTATCAGAAGAAAGCATAATCTAGGAATTCTGGATGATGACACTGAATTGTCACAGGTTTTAACAACATCCCTATTTCTTGTGGTTTCTTGCACAAATTTAACAGCTTTTTTATTTTCCAAAACCTTGGTTTTATGCAAAAGTCACTCATGCACAAACGATATTGATGACATTCTCGAAAAGAATGAAGAATTATCTAACCAATTGAGCTTCCATTCTGAAATGTTAAAAAGTTGTAGTGGCATATGCATGTTGTTTTGGGTGATTATGGGAATAAAACTTCTCAACGAGACAAACATTTGAGTTTCGAAAACAGACTTGTAATTCTTTGTGAATTATTTGATTGCTTTGTCAATAGGTGGTACGTAATTTGCTTATTGTGTGTTAACCTGTTCTTGTGCACTGCATTTTTCATTCATGATGCCTGCAGTTTCCAAACTCCAAATTTATTACTATAATTTTTTTTTTTACTCTGGAGCTAGGTATACAGTTCTGAAGCTTTGTTTGGTTTATCTTATTATGAGTGCTAGATACTGTTCTTTTCTTTGGAGAAGTTTCATGCACTTGTTTTTCTCTTTTTCTCTACCTTCCCTGTTCTTTACTGTCATTTCTATACAATGCAGTGCAATGCAACTGAAAATATTATAGTTTTCACTGATATCTTGCGTTTTTATTTGTATGTTTTATGCATTTCTATGTTGAAGGTGCGTAGCTTATGTGGAAGTCCTAAGCAGTCACTTTCAGACAGGGTTTTTTCCGATGGATTGTCTCTTTCTTCTGATAGCCTTTGTTTCTCAGAATCAAGTCTTCCACAGTCACAAAATGTGGAGAATATCTTAATTCCATACATACCAAATGTTGAACCACCAATTCTCAAGAAGAATGGATCTGATAATGCATTCTCAGAGTTCCAAAAGAATATTTGTCATAGAATTATTGGTTCGAATCGTGGGTCTCAACGAACAGAGAAAAATGACATCCTAAAGGATGTTTTGATCTGGGGGAAGGAGTAGAAGGAGGAAGTATAGGGTGTGGAGGCAACTGGTTTGGTTATCACAATACATTGCAAGTGGATGCTTTATTGCCAAAATTGCTTGAATCCACCGTGATGTTAGATGTAAGAAATATATCTTTAGGAAGGAATCATGCTGCCTTAATCACCAAACGAGGGGAAGTTTTCTGCTGGGGTGAGGGAAGTCAGGGAAAGCTTGGGCATAAAGTTCACATGGATGTGAGCTCTCCAAAAATTGTTGAATCCTTAGATGGTGTCCTTGTGAACTCTGTTGCATGTGGTGAATATCAAACTTGTGCTTTGGCAGATTCTGGTGAACTGTATATCTGGGGTGAGAATAAATGTGGTGCTAATTTGGTGCGCGAGGAGAGAACTAGAAGCCAGTGGTTACCACGTCGAATTTCAGGTCCTTGGGCTGGTGTCAGTATACTGAATGTTGCTTGTGGGGACTGGCATACTGCGATTGTGTCCTCATTGGGGCAGTTATTTACATACGGGGATGGAACTTTTGGCGTTCTTGGTCATGGGAATCTTCAAAGTGTTTCTCAACCCAAAGAAGTTGAATCTCTTAAAGGTTTGTGGGTAAAATCTGTTGCATGTGGATCATGGCACACTGCTGCTATTGTGGACATCATTGTTGACCGGTTCAAATTTAATGGTGTTGGTGGGAAATTATTTACATGGGGAGATGGTGATAGAGGGAGGCTTGGGCATGCTGATCTGGAGAAAAAGCTTCAACCAACATGTGTCGCACAGCTTGTGGAACTTGATTTCGTTCAAGTTTCTTGTGGAAGAATGCTGACGGTTGCTCTTACCAAGACAGGAAAGGTCTATACAATGGGAAGCTCAGTGCATGGACAGTTGGGGAATCCACAGGCCAAGGATAAATCAATTGCAATTGTTGAAGGAAAGCTTAAAGAGGAGTTTGTTAAGGAGATATCATCAGGGTCATACCATGTTGCTGCCTTGACATCAGGGGGAGTGTATATACATGGGGGAAGGGGACAAATGGACAGTTAGGATTAGGGAATGTAGAAGATAGAAACTTACCAACTTTGGTTGAGGCTTTGAGAGATAGGCAGGTTCAAAGTATAGCTTGTGGGTCAAATTTAACTGCTGTGATCTGCTTGCACAAATCCATCTCTGTTAGCGATCAATCAGCTTGTAAGGGCTGTAGAATGCCCTTTGGATTTACAAGGAAGAAGCATAACTGTTATAATTGTGGCCTTCTGTTCTGCCGAGCATGTAGTAGCAAGAAGCTCATGAATGCATCTTTGGCACCTAATAAAAGCAAGGCATCTAGAGTCTGTGATTCATGTTTTAACATTCTGCAAAATATTACTCGTCCGGGTGGAGTGTCAAACCCAGAAAATTTTGGTTCCAGGAAGCTGCTGTCCCAACAGAAGGCATTATCTGATGAAAAAGAAGAAAGGGGCGGAGCAACCCCACCAGGGCATCGTCTACAGTTAATGAGTCAGCCATCTCTGGAAAGCCAACCTGGTGAAAGGAAGACCCTGAGAAACCAAGGGGAAAATCAGCAGCATTTAGAAACCGTCTCTTCTATTTCAGCTGGATTGCCACGATGGGGACAAGTTTCATGTCCTGCTCTATTTGAATCATGCTACAGAAAGAATTCTGTACATCCTCTGGAATCAATATCTTCCGTTTCCAGTTCTTTGAACCTGGAAGAAGATATGCATGAGGCAAACCATATGCTTGCTGAAGAAGTCAAGAGACTAAGAGCACAGGTAACGACTCTATGTTTCAGCTTGAAAATTTAATTGATCATCTTGAAAATTAATTGTTTTGTTTTCTCTCACAAGCAAACCAGAAGCCATATTGTTTTAGAAGAATTCCATAGATATTTTATGTTGATTCTGTAAACTTCCGTTGGCTTGAATATATTCTGCCCATCTCTTCAGAGTTCTTTTGTTTTTAACAGGCAAGGAGCCTCGAAATGCAATGTCAAACTGGAAGCCAGAAGATTCAAGAATGTCAACAAACAATAGAAAAAACTTGGTTACTGGCTAGGGAGGAAGCAGCTAAGCGTAAAGCAGCAAATGAGATTATAAAAGCTTTGGTATTAAGGGTAATTCTCATTCCTTCTTCTGCTATTGTGTGGGTCGGTTTAATATTTTGTTTCTTTACATATTTGTAAGTCTTGAACATTCTTCGTAAAAAGCAGTTAAATGAAACTCACGTAACTCTGTTAACTCGTGTCAGTTCATAAGAGGTTGGAGTTCAGTAATTAAAATGTTCAAGAGTCGAGTAATTCAAAATGCTCAAACTACTCTGCTTTTTTTCCTTACTAGGCGTTAAACTAAAAAATCATGGATAATTATTCTTGCAGCTTCATGCAATGTCCGATAAAGTTTCTGTTCGTAAAGAAGCAAAAGATGGAGTGGATCCGTATCAGCCTCAGACTAGACCTGACTATACAGATACCCCCACTGTGTTTTCTTCAACTCATTCACCTCTTGAAGTTAGATTGCCAAAAGACTGCAAAATAGATAGTTTATCTGGCTCTCCTATTGTGTTTTCCAATTCATTAAAGTCCTTGGATGGTAGAGAGTTGTGCCATGAAAATAGCAGAACAGGGGAAGATTTATATGACTCGACAACAGATCCTCGACGAAAGGGAACCAAAGCATCAAAGCTTGAATGGGTAGAACAATACGAACCAGGTGTATACATTACATTTACGATTTTGCCAGGTGGACAAAAGGGTCTAAAGCGAGTCAGGTTTAGGTAAATTTCTGTCTACTTAATCTTTAACAACACTGGCCTTTATTTGATACAGCATTTCCAACATCTATTAACTAATTATACATGGTTGATCGTATTTTGCAGCCGTAAACGTTTTGCTGAGAAAGAAGCAGAACGATGGTGGGAGGAGAATCAAATTATAGTATACCAGCATTACGACATTGAAGGTTACGACAAATCGAACCAAAATCAGAAAAAGAGCTAATGTTTACTTGCCTTCTACAATATTTTACTATATATTGGTTCTCACACAGAAAGGGGCAGGAAATTGTATAATTTCGCCAAGGACCCTTCTCTGTGAGCTCGGTACAGATCCCACATTAGGTATCTGTCGAGTTATGCTGCAAATGACTCATCTATCTCAGCTACTTAAGGTAGATGATCCAAGTTATTATGATGAAGTTTCTGCACAAGAGGTGGAAAATTTCTTGTAGTTAAAGCTTCATATAGTCCTTAAGTCTCTTGCCTAGGCCATCCTCTGTACAGTCATCAATAAAAAGCTTCTCTCTCACATTTCTCTGTGGATGTTCTTACAAGCTTGCCCCTTAGTGTTCCTAAACTACATAGAATGGCTAAAGTTAGGCACCATTTGAACACTGGCCATGTATGGTCTGTACAAACAAGAATTCAGTGCTGTTATTGGATATGGACCATTCCAATTTTCTACACAGATTAGTATATATTGTGGCTTCGTCTTCAATGGTTACATTTCTCTTGGATTTCCGTTCATCAATAATAACTATAAAAGAACTGAACCTTCATTTTACACGATGGCTTAAGTTTTTAGGTGTAACGATTCATTCCTAAATTTACCATTTTATAAAGATTATGCGACGACATTGGCACAATGATTAAAGTTAAAGACTTGTTTGAAACATGTGGATTCAAGATATTCGTAGGATTGTAAATAGTTTCACATTAGGGCAAAACTTTTCGAACTTCATCCGAGATTTACCTGATATGGATTATTCGAAAAATTAGTTGAATCAAATGATCTAAATGTCTGAAGAAACAAGAATATTAGTTTAATCAAACCGTTCATAATTGCTTTTCAACTTTAGAAGATTGGTTGAAGAAACATGAGATTGCTTTCCCACTTAAGAAATAAACACATCTAATACATATATAATAATCTCCTTTTCCTTTCTCACTTTCCGGCTTTTGATTCATGTGACGTGAGATAGACTGAAGAACTAAAAAGATATCATAATTAGGTTTTCTTTCGGCAATAGTAATAATTTATTACTGAATTCATTTTTAAAATTGAATAAATTATTAAAAAAAAAACCATAATTTTTTTTTTAATAAAAACCATTTCTTCTTTAGCAATAGAATAACATGAATGACACGCTTCTCATCATTCTATATTGGGTTGAATGTGTTCAAACGTGCTTTTTTCCCACAGAAGAATCCAACATTTCTTGCCACTCAATGATTGTTCAACTTAAAAAACTATTAAAAATATTTCCAAATCCAATTAATTAATTATAACGACTAGCCAGCGTAGCTATGCTATTTTGAAAGAAAACATTGCTGATTAAGTTCATCAAGTCTTAAGAGATTGGATTTGGATACATGTTTTCTTTTCTTTTCTTTTCTTTTCTTTATCCAACTTCGATGGAAGAGCTTGCTAATCCTATAATTTACTCATTGAAAGAGCTTTAACAAGCAAATGTCCAATTCTTTTATTAATATAATTCCTTTTCATTTACTTACCAAGAAAAGAAGGAAAGGAAACAAAAACTTATTGTGATCATTTCAAATTCTTAATTAATTAATACCAAAATTTCTCCAAAAATTTTTCCTGTTCATAAAATGTTATAATAGCAAATCTATACAGGATTATGGATGTATATATGAGAAAACAAGTTAAAGAAGATGGAAGTAAATGAAAAAGATGAACATGATGAGTAAAGCATAAATAAACCCAAAAAGGAGGAAAAGCACCAAAAGATTGATTGATGTAAAGGAAAAGCATGCATGGGAGGGAATAATTTGTCATCACTTGCAAAACAGGATCAAGAAGACTCACAAGTAATCCTATTGTGCCACGTGGCACTTTTTCTTCACGTGGCAAAAGCTGGCCCCACATGACCCCTTGTGAACCCTAGCCTATCAATTCCTATGATTCCAATCTTAATTTCCCGTAGCTTGGCAACTAGGTTATGGCCTGGTACATGCAGTCTTATAGTTTTCTATCTGGGCACAATGCATGTGAATATGGATTTTTCACTGATTTTTAGCATGTAATTAGGGTTGCATCATTACCCTCAAATTTTTTTGATATATGTATATTGTATTGTAAGTCGACCATGATCTTCTTTACAAGTATTGAAGTATTTTTAAGTTAATTTTTAATTATATTAATAAAAAACTAAATTAATTATTTTGAGCGTAAAACTAACGTCACAATACGTTTAATTTTTAATCGACTACTTAATTATTTTTCACACCAAATCAATTTAATTTTGGTATTATTAAAAAATAATTATGTTGAACTATTTTTAAATAATGATAATTGCCAAATAAAAAAACTCTTTCACTACTAAACAAAATCCTTTGGTGGCGATGCATATATATGTCTCTTTTGATCAACAATTACTTGAAAATCGGTATATGTAGTGTAAATCAAACTAGAGTTAGTCCTACGATGTTTTGATCATTGAAAGAAGTCTCAAATGTCTACTAGTTTATAAGAATCCATCTCGAAATCAGTGTTTCGACTCTCTAACTAAAGAGTATCATCACCTCCTTTGTTTGTGTTTGTCCGTAGTTTTCTTGTCCAATAGCCTGAATGGTGAAAGACAGAAAGAGGAGAAACCCCACCATCTTTTTGCAAGGGAGTTTACATCACAAACTTTAACAGAACTTTTTGGAGACAAAGAATTGATTCTACCAAATATTTACGAAGCACATTGGATCATGAAGTGGGTTTAAAGAGGTAAGATTTGCTTGCCATATTTTACAAGGAACTAATAAGGAAATAAGCATGTGGAACCAGACAACATTTTCAGTCAAGAAACGCAGCCGAAATTCGGTTAGGACAGTTTTTCGTTTAGGTATAACTGTAGATACTTAATCCAACATGAAAAGGGTGGCAATGCATCAAATTATAGGTCTACCGTCATGTGGAGTTGAGATTCCAAGAAAGGACAAGAACGAAGCATGGGATAATTGGAGAGAGATTGTGAGAGTAAATTAGCTTGAATTGAAAGATAACACGAATCATTTGATAGGAAAAAACAATTGAAAAGCGAAAAGTGCAAGTCTTGGGGTGGCAAACCAAGACCTACTTTTGCTTTTTCTTCTCCTCTCCTTTTGTTCTTATATCAAAACCCCAACCAACTCCCTCATTTTTCCTCTCCCTCCAACTTGCCATCTTAGCTCTCTAGCTAGCTAGCTCTCTTCTCTCTTGCTTGCTTTTAGGTTCTTCTTCTGCCTAGTTAAGGTCACATCTCTCTCTCTCTCTCTCTTAGGTGTCTTGATCACGCATAATAGTACATGCATGATCATGACATCTAAATGATCCTCAATTTTTCTTTGCTCAATATATTGTTTGCTAAAAATTAGATTTCAAGACTAACTTTGCGTCTTACATTTGATTGTGTGCAGAGACTTGTTGTACAGTAGTTGATTATATTGTCAACAAGGGCTGGTCTCATTTTTTGAGGAGGAGACTAGCTATCTTTTTTCACTTGCACATAGATATTCTTGATCAAGAGCAGAAGAATTTTCAAAGGAAATTAAAGAGATGGCTCCTGTTTCATTGCCTCCCGGTTTCCGTTTCCATCCTACCGACGAAGAACTCGTTGCTTACTACCTCAGGAGAAAGATCAACGGACATAAGATTGAATTAGAGATCATCCCTGAAGTTGATCTCTACAAGTGTGAGCCATGGGATTTACCAGGTATTATACTTTTCCTCCCTCCATTTCACCTCTCCTTTTCTTCCATACTTTGCATACATTGGCTAGGTTGCTTCTTCAAGAATTTTAGAGTTTCAAAGAATGATCCATTAATTTCATGAACCAAATAAAGATTGAGTGAGCAAAAGGATAAAGAATATTGAAAGAAAAGCAAAATATATAAACAGTAGTTTTTATCCCTTTCTTGTATGATAGCTTTGGCATATATGATTAACTAGTGTATCAATTACAATTAAAATCAAATTCAGATTAATTTGCATGAATCAACAATCATCTTTTACTATTAGACATGCAACTTTTTATTGGTTTTTGATCGCTTTAAGCCCTAATATCTGCTATTAGGGTAGAAACATTCTAGTTTAATTTGCAGGCTTTCTTGAACTTAATCTTCATGATGAAAAACAAACCCTAATAATCTGGAGAATATGAGAACCAAAATTTCTTGATGTTTCATCCATCAAAATATGTTGAAATTTTTATACCAAAAAATAAAAATAAAAAAATATAATAATAATAATAAAGTGATGACAAGAAGCTAGCCGCAGTCCTCAACACCTTTTCCAAAGGAGAGACAGAGAATGACTTCAAATGCTCTTTAGGGATTCTTGTTCTTCTTTTTGTCTAATAATGATGTTTATAAATCTATTGATCATGCTTTTGGTCAAAAATCTTACACTTTAGTAACATCAAATATAAAGAACACAAATATTTCTTGTAGAAAATGGAAGTGTGCTATGGACTATAAGACATATGGTCCCTCCATCTTTAGGGTTCCTATTGTGAACAGGATTGAAGTTATTTTACCAAATGATTTCCAAGCCAAAAAGCAAAAGATATTTACAATGTCATATTATGCTTTATTTGCATTCCTTTCGTGAAATATTTTCTACTCTTTGTTTCATTGGTGGATTGAAGTCATTGGTTTTCTACCTTTTTCTTTCTAAATCTTCCATCAAACATTTGATGAAAATTATCGTAATAATTATAGCTCAAAATATGATATAATTTCAATCCAAACGTGATGAAGGTAACCTGAAAATGGAAACATATTGCAGGAAAATCATTGTTACCTAGCAAAGATCTTGAGTGGTACTTCTTTAGTCCTCGAGACCGCAAGTATCCGAATGGATCAAGGACTAATCGTGCAACCAAAGCTGGATATTGGAAGGCCACAGGCAAGGATAGAAAAGTGAACTCTCAAATGCGTGCTGTAGGCATGAAGAAAACCCTAGTTTACTACAGAGGAAGAGCCCCCCATGGTGCTCGAACAGGTTGGGTTATGCATGAATATAGGCTTGACGAACGAGAATGCGAAACGAATACTGGCTTGCAGGTGCACCTCATCTTCTCATTACCCTTCTCTTCATTTTTTTTAAATTTTTATCTTCCTCCAATCTTTTTTTTTTATCTTTTTGCTTTTCCTGGGTGAAAATATGCAGGACGCATATGCACTTTGTCGTGTGTCGAAAAAGACTACAAATATACCAAAGATTGGAGAGCATTATGTGTCTACGCCAAATCGAATGCCCTGTGAACATTCTTCTAGCATTGAACAATTTTCTGATAATCATGGAAGAGGTGAAGAATTTGAGAGCACAAATTATCCTATGCATAGAAATGTAGACTCCTGCTCAACCAGCTATCGCGCCATCAGATCCCCTCTCGAAATCGGTGAATCAAGAGGGCAGTGGACACCATCCATGGATGGATTTGGCATGTCAGCTCCACAATTTCCAAGTTATTCAGCAGTTCCTTACCCACCATCAAAGGTAAAAAATTATCTATATATTGTGATTATGATAGACATAAACTAGCAAATCCTTTAATTAGTGGTAGCTAGATAGATCGTTGGAAAAAAAAGTTAAATCTTTTTTTTTTTTCTTTAATTGGTTTTGGCAGGTTGATATAGCACTGGAGTGTGCAAGGTTTCAACATAGATTCGCATTGCCTCCATTGGAAGTGGAGGATTTCCCTCAAGTTGGATTTACTCAAGACCTAAAAGTGATGCAACAACCTTCCATGCCAGAAAGCACAAGCACTCATCAGACTGATATTTTGCAAGAAATTCTTTCAGTAGCTCATGTGTCTCAAGAATTGATAAATCAGTCTAGTTTTCAAGATACGTGGGGTGGAAACTATGCCGCGACAGATCATGATTTCACTTTCATGGCTGGGAAGGATGTTCAACATAATATGTATAGTGACATGATGATGAACTCTACAAGATGGGCTGACAAGCAATGGATTGAGCCTAGTACAAGCAGCAGGTCTGTAGAGATCAGTGACCTAGATGAAGCATTCAAGGCAGAGAGGATGGTAGAAAATTTGAGATGGGTTGGAATGTCAAATGACGAGCTAGAGAAGGTATGTAGTTCTTGATCTTTGCATAAAACCTTCACTCCTAGTTGAAGAAATATGACTGATCAATCCTTCTCCTTTCCATGTTGGACAGAGTTTTATGGAGGAAACCAAGATTGTTCCAATAGAAAATATTTCAAGTTTCAGCAGGGAAGAGCATGAAGTTCAAGGTATTTTGCTTTTCCATGTCTTTATTCGATCACTTCCTTTTTAATCTTAGTTTTTGTTTTTGTCCTCTTGCCTTCTTTTTTAATGGCAAAGTTCATTAGCAGGAGAAAATGGGCATCCTGATGACTGCCTGGGATTCAATGACAGTGAGGATTTTTCACTTGGATTCATCAATGATGAGCCTAATGATGATAACTTCATAGATGATAGCAATGTGGATGATTTGGCTAGTTCACCAAGCTTTGAAGTTGTGGAGGAGATCAAAGTTAGCCATGGACTTTTCGTTTCGACTCGGCAAGCAACCGAGACATTCTTCCACCAATTAGTGCCTTCACAGACTGTTAAGATCTACCTGAACCCAGCAGTGATGGCAAACAACTTCTCCATAGAGAAAGCAGAAAATACACAAAGGCATGACACAAAAACATCCAAGACTAGTACTGCAAAGGAAAACTTCATCGGCAACGAATCATCGGTACGATATTCTTGGAGGAACTTAGCAAGAAATGTTGTCTGTATGATTGTCATTCTCTTGATGCATTGTTTTTTACCTTGGAGAAAATGTAGAAAATGTGGAACTAATGGATAGCTTCATGGGAAGTAGAAGTAGTCTAGGAGAAGCAGCTTTTTGCCCTAGCAAAAATATCAAGCCAGTGAAGAAGCCTGCAGGAAAACTAATCAAGTGGGACGACAATAAGAAGGAGAAAGATTTGCTGGTTACCATTAGAGGTGGTGGAGGGAGTAAAGCTGGTGTGTTTCTGAAGAAGCTAGGGTTATTTCTAGCCATTTCTTTTGCTCTTTGTACCATATTGATGAACCATGCCATGACCTCTTCACTTGATTCCTGATTTTACTTTGCCATCTAACTATAGTTGTTGAATAGAGAAAGGCATAAAATTTTGCCTTCTCTAATCTAATGTATCCTAATAGATATATACACATATACTATTGTATTCTATACTTAAAGTACTTATAGTAATTGAATAATTGTAACAGGATTAGATTAATGAAAGTTTTCAATTTTTTTTTTTTAATGTAAAGTTTGATTTTTTATGTATGTTAATTGATTCGATAATATTCTGTACTATTAGTCAAATGTTCGGTGATATCTCAACTTTATTTTTTTTCAATTTGAATATCATAATTATTTTTTGATTTGTAATTAAGTCGGTTGATCCGTTGATTAAATTTCGAGCACGGATGATGCCGACATGACATCCATCGACTAAACTCAATATATATACTATCGAATCAATTAACTTTTTATATATATATCATATTTACAATAAATTCAATTTCTTTTTTTGTATTTTAATGTTTCTTTTTATATAGTATTAAATATAAATTATTCATAGATTTAAAAAGATTTGATTGGATAATAAAGTAGTTTAAAAAATGATAAACTTAATCTACGAAGATTATATAAAAAATACTCACTATTTGTATGCTCGTAGATTGAAAATAACCACTACCTGTAAACATAATATTACAAAACAATCATTTTTATGTGAAATTTGGCCTCTAATCTGAAATTACATTTAGTAAAAGAAAAACAAAGACTCCTCTAATTGTTTGATTTGTTCAAACAAATCACACCTTGTTTCTACAATTGTCTTCTTTCCCTAATGGTCACATCAGGCACTGAAAACCAATGGAAATTCACCTGTCCCAAAAAAATATGAAGCATGTGACGAAGGCATCTGGACAGGAACAAAATAATTAAACAAAACAGGTTTAAGCTTGTGAACCAACAGAAGTTGCACAACAAGAAAAGAAATGCAACTTGTGAACATACAGCTGGATCGAACCATATCCCTAACCCTCTCTGCAATTTTAATTTATTGAAAAATCAGTTTATGAATTTTTAATTTATATTATATTATATATATTTTTTTAAAATTTAGTCTATGTTTTTAGTCTATTTTGATTTAAAATTTTGCACACATATTAAAAAAAAAATCCAATCTATTTTTTTAAAAAAAAAATCTAGAAACTTTCAAAGTTGGGAATTATATATAAATTTTTTTGAACATTAAAAATGTAAAAAATCTCAAAATTTTTGGAGAACTCCAAATGAATCTCACAAATGATTTCGATCATGAAACTATTTATATAATTATTATTTTTTGAAAAAATAAGTGACAAAAAACTAAAATATAGACTAAATCTAAGAAAAATAAAATTCAAAAAGATCAAAAAACAAATTAAAAATTCAGAAATTGATTTTTAAATAAATTAAAATTTAGAAAGGTTTGGCCTTTTAGCCTTTTCTTTCTTTATTCTTGACATTAACTGCACATATTACTGTATGGTGGCTGGAGGCCTTCAACTATGTACTGTTTGATCCTTCACATTAATTAAGCTATTATTGCCTTAATTAATTTCAGCATCAATTATTCAATCTTGCATACCAAAAGAGTGGCCAACAAATCTTAAATTTGAGTGTTAATTAGATTGGTGAACCATAAATGACATTTCGTTTTTCTTTTGGGATCAAAGTGAGGAAGAAATTTTAACCCAAGAGGGTTGTATTGTATGGAAGAAGCTCTAGTCAATTAAATAAGTAATTTCGAATTTGAGTATTTATATATGCAAAAAACTCTTTAGGTAAGTAACTGTTCATGTCGTGTGTGATCCGACGGAATAACGAATGATTAGTCCGGATCTTTAGACTTAAGATACCCTAAATAATTCCAAAAAAAAAAAAAAACGAGGAGAAATTTTACGATATCGAAAGAATAACTAACAATATTACTTCGAAATAGAGAAATAAATGGAGGAGAAAAAATTATATTTAAATTCATAAAAAATTATAAGAATATTTTCATTTAAACATGAAAGAAAATTAAAAAAATAGATTAAGTGGAAGTGATTTTTTTCTATTTTCTTTATTTTTTTTTTCAAAATCGATTAATAAAGTAAATATTATTAACTAGTTACTCTTTGAATATTTTAAAATTTTTCGTGAATGAATTGTTTATGACTGACATTAATTTCCTCACACTCGATTAAAAATCTCAATTTAAACAATTCTTTTGTAATTAAAAAAGAAAGAAAGTGAGTTCTTGCTAGTGGTGGTGCAGAGCACATGGGAGAAGAAAGGATAATGGGAAGATAGGAAAGGGCAAACAAGTTACAAAATGACAAATAACTAAATAAGGTAAAATGGGTTCACGGGTGACCAACTGTTTGTAACCCATTAAAAAATGAGTAAATTATTCTTTAGTCCTTGTTCTTTCAACATGATTACAGCTTAATTCTTCATGTTTGAGAACCTATAATTTGATCCCTTTGCTCTTGTTTACCATTGTCTTATTAAACCATATGTTAGTTTTTGCTTAATCCCAGACATTAGGGATGAGCATAGTTTTGGTTGACAGAAAAACCGAACCAAATTATATATTTTAATTCGGTTTTTAACTTAAATTTGTAAAATTAAAAATCAAACCAAAATTATTTCAGTTTTTTTTTTTTTAAAAAAAAAATTAGATTTTCATCAAAAATTGAATATATTATGGAAAGAATAGGGATTTATAAAAATTTTATTTCCTAAATCTAGTTTGAAATTTAAATTATAGCATTCAAAGAGGAAGCATATCCTTTATTAGCCCAGCTCATATACTAAAAAATAAAAAATCTTTAAATATTAACTCAGCCCATATTTAAAATTTATCAATTAAAAAAAATTATTTCAGTTAAAACCAAATTTTTACAAAACCGAACCGAAATAATTTGGTTTCAAAACAAACTTACCGAACTTATTTCGATCCGATTTCGGTTTTGGTTTTTTTTTTAATTCGGTTAATCGAAAATCGAACCTAATTTACACAAAACCGAACCGTTTGTTCAGCTTTACCAGACATACTATTTACCAAGTAAATTTCTAGGAGAAAAACCAATTGATTTTCTTAAAATCACACAGATCAACAAGATTCAAGAAACAAATCCATGAAAGACTAAATTATAACTGTATTAAAAAATCAGGGACTAAAGAACAATTAATTCCTTAACAGATCCATACCGCCACACATGCCAATAAGCTTGTAATCAAATAATTCACTTCCTATTTTCAACCATATATTGTCCCCCACAACCCTAGGCCCATACCATTCCTAAAGCTGCAGAACTTTTCTCTCTCTCAGACAGACACAGACACAGACACATAGGTTTGGTACGCATAGCCAACAAGACATTATTTTTTGTCTAAATGCTAATATATTACAAGCTAGAGAGCTGAGGCATTGTAGATAGAAAGAGGGTTTTGTTTTGTTTGGTTTTGTTTCTTCTTCATCCACCAACCAATCACACCATGTCTTCTTCTTCTTCCTCTTCTTCTTCCTCTAGGGCGCAAAATATCTTGTTTTTGGCTGCGCTGTTCATTTTTGGATACCTTCTTCAAGGAGCAAATGCTGCAAGCTCCACACCGAACGTAGGGAATATATCAAAAATAGAGGATGCAGTGAACTTCCATATATATTATGGACAGACCTTCAAAGTCATTAAGAATGTTGTTGATGGCAAGAGCTACCTTCTCATTCAGGTAATTATATAATTAACCCTCTGATTAATTAATTAATTAATTAATCGTTTTGTTTACCATTAACAACATGAAATTCCTAAACATTTTTAAATTGCTCAACCCTAGCTACTCTTGCCTCAACTTCTTTTGTCTTCATGTGGCCATGAAAGTTTGTATAATTTCTCAGTTTGTGCATGTTATCCTTGTATCCTTGTGCAGAAACCATATTAATATTAATTTTTTCTGTATCGTTCTAATTTTATCGGATGTCCTCAAAAGGATTTTTCTTCACACCATTAACATTTATGGTTAGTGCACAAAAAATAAGATGAGACATCCAAGGGAAAGAAAGATTAGAATTTATAAATGTACAAGAAGGCATATACTATTGTGCATATTTTAGATAAATTAAGGGGTAAATTCTCAATATTCCATACCAATGTAATATGTCTATTTGGTCGGTAACAATAATTCTAATTTGTAAATCACGCCCTTAAGAGTTATTTATTTCATTTCCGATGAGTAATTCATGGGTACGCATGTTCTGACGCAATTTGATTACAAAATAATAGATTTCGTATGGGTTGATCCGGAAATATTTTATTATCTATAAATATTAAAAAAAAAAAAAAGGTAATGGTATAATTTTTTTTTAAAAAATAATGTTTTGTTATTAGGATACGTTTTAGAAAATTGTACTCAAACATTACTTAGTTTAGTGGTCTTCAGCTTGATTAATTAGTTCCTGATCTTGTTGTCTGAAAAATAAAAAATTAGTTGGAAGTTAATTTAATTAGCTAGTAGAAATACCAAATAAAAAAGCAAATTGGACTGTAGTGTGGGCCAAATTAAATAGATATAAAACCCTAGATTAGTCCACCTAGTTGGGCTCAAAGTAAGCCTTTTATCATCAGGTCCACTATCTAGACTGCTGAAATTAACTCCTCCAAAAAGACAGGACCACCAGCCCAAAACATGAAAGGCAAGCAAAAAAAAAAAAAAAAAAAAAAAAAAAACTACTACTACTAGGTTTGTGACAAATTATAGGAGTAAATTATAAAATAGTCCATCTAATTTCGAAAAATAATTAATTAGTTTCTTTTGTTATAAAAATTAATTATTTAATTCCTTAACTAGTGTTGACTACACTTAAAACAATATTTTTTTATTTCAAAAAATATATTTTTTTCTTTTTTCATTACATTTTTTGCTTTTACTATTTTTTTTTAAATAATTTTTTTTAGAAAAGACATAAAATAGACGAAAATGATTAAATAATTAGTTTTTAAACAAAGAAGACTAATTAATTTATTTCTCAAAAATAGAAAAACTAATTTATAATTTACTTCAAATTATATTATAGCGCTTAAAAATTAATTATCGTAGAGTAATATTTATTCTCTTTTTATTTTTGGAGTTAAATGGGGATGAAGTACACTTTATCATTTTGAATGATATATTGAATTATTAATAATTATTTGAGCATGGAGAAAATGGCATGTCATTTGAATTACTTAAGCTTTTGGCCTATAAAAATTATTATGGTAGATGATGGCATGATTTCATGCAAAAACCCTAATGCCTTACTGTTAATGACAATAAACAGGATAATTCGAGGATGGCAACAAGAACAAAATATTGCACCCAAAGGATCACATCTTTTGTCATCCCTTTGTCAAATTATTCAGCTGATACCTACTCCTTTCCAGGTACAAGAACAGCAACAAAATGGAAGAATTTTTTTTTCTTTTTATTATAATGCATTTATGTAATGTAGCTAATCATTTTTCCTGGGTTTACAGTTTCCTTTTTGGAGGTGAGGATCATTGGCTTCTGTAAGTTGTAATTCTCTATATGTTCTTGGGAGTTGGACTATAAGGTTGAATATACATATACATATGCGTGTGTATGTGTGTGTGTTGTATCGGCTAATTGGTTGTAAAGCATTAACTTTTGATCAATAGGAAAAAATTCCTTACTTTCTTTTAGTTTGATTTGAGTTCTAAATCGTTGTTTTTTAGTAGGCAATTAAGTTTTTTCGTTTCGTTAATCATTAAAATAACAACAAATGTTCTTAGAGAGTAGCTTTCGGATGCGTAAGTTATTAAAATAATGAGACGTATTTTCTTACACGTGTCTAATGTCATATGAAATTGATCAATAAAACGAAAAGACTTAATTACAAATAAAAAAAATTTTGAAGATCTAAATTAGAATAAAAAGGGATTAAAAAATTTTTCATGTTAACCAAAAATTCAGAGTATTTTATAACTAATTAGCATAGTATATATAGTTTTTGGAGTGATAAAAAATCTAGTGGCAAATTGGCATTAAATCGTTAAATTTTGTTATTTATTATTTTTTTTATTTTGTTATCTTTTATGTTTGTACAGCTGTTAGGCATACTAGGGAGCATGAAGGGCATTACATCAGATTCTATGGCTTCTCAATGTGCATTAAAGTTGTATGAAACAGGAGGGGTAGAGATGATTAACAGGAATGAGACACAACAATTTTCAGAATTTGGTGCTCATTTTATCAGTGAAACAAATCAACCACAAGCATGCAATTTTGCCAACTTTGTTCCATTAGCAGAGGATAACCCTCTACAGGTAAGTGTAGATGCAAATTTTGGGGATTACATTTCAAAATTTGAACCTAAGACTCATCCCAAATTCAATCACTCTAATATGGTATCTAGGATCTAAAAAAGGTTAACTTTCACATATCAAATCTTAAATTGGACTCCTTTCGTATACCGACATCACACATCGAGTCCTAAATTGGACTCTTTTCATCAACTTGTGTTATGTCGGTATACGAAAAATTATTTAACCTAGAGTCCGATGTTGGATCCTCTTTTAACTTTAAAAGTTAACTCAAAACATGATAATTTTCTTCACATTTATCATCAAACATCCAGCTCATTTTACAATTAATATAGATTAATCCAACATAAAGTACATATTTGAAGGATTAAATTGGCAAATTGGGCCATTACTTTCTTTCAACTTTTTAATCTAATACTAATGTTTTACATGGCAGAGAGCACAATGGATAAAGTTCTTGGGAGTTTTTGTAAACCTTGAGACAAGAGCCAACAAAGTCTATGATGCAGTGAGCATCCCATCTCAGAAATTGTCACCATTGATTTATTGATTGAAGAAAACTATTTGCTTCTGTTGGATTTGAAATTGATGACTAATTTTTTTTTCTTTGGCAGATCAAAGAGAATTACTTGTGCCTAACTAAGATTGGAGCACAAAAAAATAGTTCCTTCAAATCAATAGTTGCTTGGATGCAGTATGATAATGTTAGTATAACACAAGACATGAACATGCATATATTTTTCACTAAATGGTCTAAACCTCATTTGAATTTTAAGTCATTTAAAAATTAATTTTTTAATTTTTAATTTTAATTTGCACCTTTCTTCAATTATTTTTCATTTGAAATTGAGTCATTCTATTATGTTTCATCAATTTTAAAAGTGAAAGTACACGTGACTAATCACGTGATTGACCTTTTAACTTCCCAATAATTAAAAATATGTCGAAACTTATAGATGTTTTGCTTTTTTTTTTCAAAATTGCTTTTTTTTTTTTTCATCTAAAATGTTTATTAATTGCTTACTTTTTAGCATTTAGAAAAAAAAAATTTTTTGAAAGAAAAAACAAATTATCTATAAGTTTTTGTATGTTTTTAGATCTTAAAGAGCGTATTTACACATCAGAATTGATAAAAATATATATAAAAAATTCAATTTTAAATGAAAAATAGTTAAAGAGAGGTCCAACTCGAAATTAAAAATTAATAAAAAAAAATTCTTAAATAATTTAAAATTTAAAACAAGTTTAGACCGTTTGGCCTGTATTTTTTATACTAGTCAAGTCAATTTCTAGTTTTTTTTCCCTCTTCTTCCTTACGGTGTGCTCAACACTAATAACATTATTTTCTCTTGCTTTCAGGGTGTATGGTCTTTTACAAAAGAAACATGCAAGTTGCAGGTATCGTGAAAAAATAAAAACCTTTATTTTTTCTCTGTAATTCATGTGGATCAAATGTATTAAACTTGAAAACAGTATGTGGAAGATGCAGGTGGAGAAAATATTGACAATTCTATCAATAAGAACACCTACAACACCTCAAATCCTGATGACTTGGAAGAATTACATGCAATTCTATGTGTAAGTTCTGTTTATTACTAAAAATTTTATTTTCTGTTGGCCTTTGGCAATCACTAGTCTTTCTAATTTGTCTTCAACAATTTTTCCAAATCTGCATTTTCATGTAGACTGTGGATGTAGTAATTGATGAAACGTACACCCTTGATCCTGCTGGCTACAACCAGTCGAGCTTCCTCCAAAACATAAATGTTGATGATCAGTCTTGCTTTGCTTTTCTAGCAAATCAAAGCTTATGGAGATATGATAAAAGGGTCCAAAACTTAACTACCCTTGGTAAGTTTCCTTGCGACATTTTCTCTCCTGTACTGTGTATCTATACAAGAGTTGTAAGATTCACATGGAAATTGACACCTTTCCTTCTGGCCTCTCCTGATCATGATTTATAATTTGAAGACTGGAATGATGGAGCAGTCTCCCAACCTCAGTTGGTTTTAGCAGATCTCATTGAGGTCTTGTTCCCTACTGGAAATTATTCAACAACATACTTTAGGAACATTGCAAAGGTAAATGTACTTCTTTCACAATGAAACATACAAAAACTGTATAAGAGTTTCATGGATTTGGTGCAATTATTTGTTCTCAATATGCAGGGCGAAGGGATTGTGAGCATTAGAGCTGATATGTGCGAAAGAGATATCTCCACTCCCATGGAGCCAACAGTAGTTGCTTGCTAATCACCATAACAGCACACAAGACATTGATTCAGTCCTTTATAGCATTTGTATCAACCATTAAATGCTTCTGATAGTTTTTTTGCATGTCAGCAAATAATGTGATTTAAGTTGATGATTATTATGAAAGCTGAAGAAAGGTTTAGAGCTACTATCGGAAATGGATTTATCTAACCAGTGTCAAATCTCATGGGAAAAACACACAAGCGATAGGGCAAAATGCAACAACAAAAATCAGCCTAACATGTAATAAGTTAACCCGATATGACATTGCATTTATCAGAATGCAAAACTCTAGATTCCTGCATGGAACTGTTGGTTTGGTGTGAGAGAAACGAAACGTTTGCAGGAGAATGGCTAGAAGGTGGATCGACAAACTTGTAAACGGACAGGACATAGTTTAGAGTTCTAATTCACATGTTCTCCTGGATTCCTGTTCCACGATAAGTAGGATGGATCACCAAGGGGCCTGCACAAAGCACATAAACCATCTCAAACGTTCACGATGAGTATTTCCATCAAAGCATAGAAAGATTTACTGTCGCTGGCTGAGAAAAACGAGCAATTAATTAGATTTTTGAACCATTCTCACCTTGGCTTTAAGACATATACAAATATGAAGCATACTGCCAAGAACAAGCACAAGCCACCAATAGTGAGATATGCTTTACCCAGGAAATTATTTTTTCCACCTATCCAACTTGTGGTTGAAAGAACCAGCTTCTTTTTGCCTCCAAAACCATAAGTATTATAATTATTCTGAATGATAACTGTGATTGTAGAGTTAGCTTCAAGGTCCCTCTCTATCTTTCCATAAAGTTTTCTGAAATTTGGCAGTGCAGCAGTACGCATCCATACAATAAGATCTACTTGTTCACTCAACTATTTCATGAAAAACCAGCAATTAGATAGATTTAAAAAGGCAATAAGGCAAAGATTACTTATGGAGTGAAAAAAGAAAGGGGGAAAACAAAGTATATTTTGTTCGATAAACAAACTTGAACAAGCGGGGAATAAGAGGTAGATACTTACAGGTATGCTTGAATTGAGTTTCCCACCTCCAATAAAGCTTCCACTCTGGAAGTTTTTTGGATAAACATCAGAACCAAATTTATGCTCCTGGTCACTCTTCCAAGCAATGTCCTTTTTGCTGACATTTAAAGCCTCGTTTTTTATTGAAAAACTGTATGTGTCATTGAACAAACTCCAAGCAACAAGGCCACAAGGAACAATTGGCTGCCCATTCGACGTGACTGCTTCTGGTTTGCAGGTACCTGTGGTAGCTTCACTGGCCTTGCTTCGCAACTGTTTATCACTTCGACTTTTTACATATCTGTAAGCAAATTTTTCATATTTCAAATAGCAGAAGCATGCCAAAAGATATCAGAACTCGAGCACAAGATGATAACACCCTAAGCAGTGCATGCAGTGCATAATCACATATGTGAAGAAAACATAAAACTATGATGAGGTTTCTACAATTGTTGAAAAAGTATCACTAACTTGAGAATTTTCTTCAGGGAAAAGTTCATATGATGGAAAAGTCAGAAAGCCCAAAATGTTTCGAAATCTATAAGTGAAACTTTAACTCAAACTCGCACAAAGTGCATATTACCAAAAATGGAAAGTATATTATGGGTGCAGATCAACAGAAAAATCCAGACATTCAAATGAAAATAAACAAATAGCTAAAATGCTACAACTAATTATTAACAAGTACAACATCACTTGCAATGCAACCTGTGTAACCAACGTTGAATTGTCAACTCCAAATTTGACCTTAGTACTTTTCCACTTCCCTTTCCATGCTGACAATTTTGGATCTGTGTTGTAGGATTTGTCTAAGAGAATTTTCCATTGTCATTTGCGTAATTACAAATTTCTAGGACCAATTTGGAGGAGTGAAAACCATCTAATTTTATAGAAAAAAGGGGAACGAAGAATCAAGCAGCTAAAAATACCATCAAAGAGTAGTCTGTATTACTAACAGACCACATCAACAACTGAGGTAAATTCACATTTCGCAACCCATAAAAAGCATAAGTGTAACTTGCAAGGAAATTCTTTTGTGTGTTTCAGACAAGAAAATATGGAAAAAGCGTAAGGCTGGAAACATTAGTTACACTTCTGTATTTTTATTATCTTTTCCGAGTTGAGCAATGAATGAAACATATTTTGCTCTTACAGACTCTCCATTGCATCATCTGATGGGCCCATCCACACATTTAACATTTTCATCTTCTTCTTTTTTCCCCCTTCTTTGATAACTCAAGCCTCCATTGTAGCACAAAAGGTTAATAGAAGCCCACAGCAGGTAGTTGCTTTTTGATGAAATGCCGTCAGGATTAGATGCATAAGTATGATCATGATGAAGTCGCTTTTTTACAGGTGTTATGAGCATATACCACAATTGCAGGTCTTACAGATCAAAGCCACCTTAGATTAGAAGCTTTCAGACTAAAAATTAACTCAACAAATATGCATTTAGCAGGCATAGCATCAGATTTTCTGAGAGCGATAATTTGCTAAGAATAAAGAGGAAAATAACATCAATAAATCTAATCACTTACACGAATAAGAAAAGTTATTGCCAAACTTATGCCTCACATCCTACAAGGATACATAAAAAGAACACAACAGTAAATATATCTTCTACTCACCGACGGTGGTTCTGGTAAAAGTTATCAAGCTCGTAATAGATGAAAACAGGGCCTTTCATGTGCTTAGGAACCTGAAAAGAACCTTCAGTTATGGTATCTTTGAAAAACATTGCACCTTGGATTGAAAGAAGAAAGACGCAATAAAAGAAAGAACCCAAATTTCTTTAAGCACGTCAACTAAGGAAATTGGACTAACGTGAAAGGTCCTAGTACACGTCTTGTTAGTTTCGCTGGTTTGGATATAATGTAGGCTGTTATTTCTGTAATCGGGAGGAATGCAATCTTTGTCATATCGTTCCACAATTTCCACCACCTACATGTTGTAAGATGGGGAAAGGAAAAAAAAAAAAACACAGAGCTTCATGTTATTGCCATCTACTAAACAAGGCAATTAGGAACATATTCAAACAAGATTAAAATAGTCTTACATGCTCTGACGCAAACAAGGAAGCAAGGCCTATAGGGATAAAGACAATTCCAACAAAAATGAATGATGAAATGACCTGAAAACAATTTAAAATAAAGGCATGAGTAATTAAAAAACAAAGAACACTAAGAAACTAAAGCAGAAGTCAAACAGAAATCAGTACTAAAATATTCTAAACCATACCCATCCCGGCGTTAAAATAGGCTTACAGGCAGGAAGCTCTTGCTGTGTGAATCTAGAATCTGCATCCACCAAAACCAAACAAACATTGGTCGGAAAATTATCCAGTCATAAAACTCATTGAATCTACAATAACACACACCAAAAAAATAAAAAATAAAATAATAATAATAAAAAAAATTAAAAAAAAAACACAATTCAGCCCATAATTAGATTTTGCAAAATCCAGTGCCACACCTTGAAATTGAAACACCAGCATTTCAAAAAGCGCAAACATCATATTCACCAGATAAAAAAGGCAATGCAGGTAAGCACGTAAAGAAACAAATTTTTGCCAAAAAACCTTTAATATTTACCCAAAAATAAACTAATTCCCATATTTTCCACCAGAAACACGATCACAACCTCTATAATTCAATCAGAACCCAACAAAAAGCAATCACCTTTACATAAACAAACAGAAACCCATTTCAAGAAAATTAAAAAGATTCAAACTTTCCCAATTACCAGCGAGATGGTAGTGATAATTCAAATGAAATCAATAAGAAAACCACAAAAAAAACATAAATCGGAATAAATTTAATTACAAAAATAGAAAAAAAAAAAGATGGGTATTTTTATACATTTGGGTTTCTTGTTCTTTCTGGAAGAAACAGCAGTAGAAGAATCATCCTGGCCTCCTCCACCAGAGCTTGTTTCTCCTCCTTTCATGTTTTTTTTTTCCCCTCACACCAAACTAAGCCTCGATATGAACATAAAATATCAGTTAATTTTGATAATTGAAAAGGTGACAACAAAAGGACACATCTAATTTTTTTTTCTTTTTTTTTCCGTGATTAATGATTTTAAATTTTTGTTTTTTGCTTTATATATATATATATATATATATATATATATATATATGCTTTTCTTGGATGGTTATTTTATTTGTCTCTTTACTTTTGGTCGTTAAGGAAATAAATAAAAAATGAAAAAAAAATTCCATCCTCAATGAAGAAAAATATCAAAGGAAAAAGAGAGATATTTTTCTTTCTTTGGCTCAAATGAAATGAGTCACGTTAGGTGGCACGGGTAGCACGACGGTTGGAAGGATGGAGTAAATTATATATTAGTCCCTGTAGGTTTGATAAATGATTAATTAATCTTTTTTAAAAATTATTTATTTAATATTTTTGTCTATTTTATATTTTATATTTTTATTTTAAAATATAAAAAAGATATTATGGAAATATTGAGGAGAAAATAAATTATTTTTAAAATTAAATAATATTAAATCAAATATAATCAATACTTATTAAGAGATTAAATAATTAATTTCTGAAAAAATGGGATTAATTAGATTATTTTGGAAAACTAGATGGACTACTTTATAATTTACTCGGATGGATGACTTTTGGATTTTGGTTGATGTAGGCCGGATTGACAGAATCTTAATCCCTGAGAAATGAGAAAGCCCAAATCGACATGGACCCCCAAAGCCATAGAGACTAAGCCCATCAATAGATGGCAAATGTTCACTCAACCAATCGGATATCCGATCAATTTTTTGCGGTTTGATCGGTTTTTGTTTTCCTACTTATTTTAGCTAACCGGACAATTATTTCACAACTTATGAAGAATTCATGGGTTTAATTTTTAATTTCTATTTTTATGATAGCTCGTGAATTTTCAATTTTTGTTAGCTACAATATGCCTTAAAAACTGAATAGATTTTTATCAACATAAATATTTGTACGATTCAATGCTGTTAATTTCGCATCATGAATTAGTTATGATGATTTAAAATTACTTTATTTGTAAATATTTTAAAAAATATATTAAATTTAAGTAAAATTAAATATGAAACTATATCATAGTAAAATAGTTTTATTTATCTATTTTTCTATTATAGTTTTTTTAACTTATTTTTTGAATCTTTACATGGTCATCTAATCTATTCACAAAAAGAAGTTATTTATTTTTTAAACTATGATATTAGTTTTATTTTTCTATTATAGTTTTATTTTTTTTACTTAGTTTTTGAATCTTTACATGGTCATCTAATCTATTCACAAAAAAAGTTATTTATTTTTTAAACTATGATTGAATATCATGTTAATCTAAAAGATTCTTATAAATTTTTTAATTTCGATTTGAATGGTTTATTTTTAGAAAAATTTGAAAAAATAACTTAATTTCAGTAAAAATAATAATAATAATAATAATAATTCAAGAATATTTTTATCCATAAAATCAATAAAAAAACCCAAACTTGATTTTAATGAGCCAAACTTTTTTTTTAATTACTTGTCTTAATGGCATCATAACTTTCTTTGTCACCTAATCTTATTATATTTGTTTAAAAAACAATTTTGACTTTAAGTTTTAAAACTAATAAGAATTTATTTTTTAAACAAAATGTGCTAAATCAATATGTAGATTATATATTCTTAAAAATATCATAAAAACAAAAATAATTAGCATTAGCATAGAAACTGATTCGGATATAACTTAAGATGGGATTAACTAAATCAATATGTAGATTATATAGCCTTTTTTTAATTACTAGTCTTAATGTTATCATAATTTTCTTTGTCCATGAATTTTATTATATTTTAAGAGAATTTTTTGAGTTTAATTTTAAAATTAATAGGAATTTTTTTTAAAAAAATGCACTAAATCAATGCGTAGAATACATTTTTAAAAATATCGTAAAAAAATAATTACGATTAACGTACAAACTATAGTTTAAGATAGAATTAACAAAATTCGTAATCAAACCATTTTTAATTTTTTAAATTATTTATTTGCCGGTACTTTTCAAAACCCTCCCACCAGTAGTATATCAGTCATTTAACGAAATCTCTCACACTGACACAGAAAACCCAGAATGGCATCGCCACCGCAACTACCGGCTCCACCGCCGATGACAAACGCATTTGCATTAACACCACACAAAGTCTCCGTTTGTTTACTTCTTCAAACCTATGCATTACCAGCTCAAACAACACCACCGTTCCCTTTCTCTTCTGTCTCTCAGCACAACCGTCTTGGGCTCTACTTATTAGCCCTCATAAAGGTTAGTACTGTTGCGAAATTCATGGTTTTTTGAGAGGAAGTTTTAAGGCCGTGGTTGGTTCGGTCAATATTCGAAGTCAAATTTTTAATAGCAATTGCTTTTTAATTGCATTGGAGTTGAATTTGATGATGTATTGAGTAACGGGTTTCATCTAGAATTTTTAGTTTCTCATTTTTGAAGGAAAAATGATCGTGCTTGTATTTTCAATTCTGGAGCGAACCGAACTTGGATAACTGTGAATTTTTTGATAAACTATGAACCTTTTGATGATTTTGAGTAATGGGCTCCATTTAGAATCTTTAATTTCTTGTTTTTAAAGGGGAAAAAAAAGATTATTGTAGTATTTTTAATTTTTTAGCGAGTCAAACATGGCCTTAAGTGAATAAGGTTAAAAGTTTGAATTTTTTGATGAATTGGGGATTCGATGTTTCAGTCTTATGATGATATATTGGAGCCAAAACTAGAGGAGTTATTGAATCAATTGAAGGAGATTAGTGGGTCGTTGGGACATTGGTTGATAGATCATTTGACAAGCAGGTTATCATCTTTATCAGCGCCTGATGATTTATTTAGCTTCTTTACTGAAATGAGAGGTTAGTTTTTGGTCTTTTTGGATACCCTTATGCTTAATTCTTTTTGTTGGGTTTTCTTTGTTCGTGTTAAATTAATTGGAGGTTTTACAATTTGTTGTGTTGGGGTTCCAGGGGTACTTGGAGGATTGGATTCAGTTGTGATGGAAGATAATCAAGTTATTTTGGACCCAAATAGCAATCTGGGATTGTTTCTCCGTCGTTGCATTCTCACATTTAATCTCTTATCTTTTGAGGTATTGTTGTATGCCTGCTCGTAGTCATAACTGCTTATTTTTTAGTGTGTCGGCGTGCTTGATATGATATTGTTTTCCTCTAATTGAAATGGAGAAGGCAGAAAGGAAGAAACTTGATTTTGAATAGGAAGTGAAGTGAATGCTTCGATACTTTCTTTTTAAGTTAGCATGACTAGGTGCTTATGATTTATAAATGTAATGCAGGGTTTGTGCCATCTTTTGACGAATATTGGGAGTTATTGTAAAGAAGCCATGTCAAGTTGCATGCCATATGAGACACGTCTTTTAGATGAGTCTAGTAATGATTTGGAGACATCATCAGAATATGAGAACATGGACTTGGAGAATTTTGTGTTTGGAAAAGTTAATGAAGAAATTGAAGCAAGGAAACAGGCCAGTGAAAGAGTTCCTTTTCACCTTCATGGGCCTAAAGCACTTTCTGGATTGGTTGAAGGTTTGATAATTATCTGTTATATGATCATGCTGGCATTCATGCTTGAAGATTGAGTGCTTTTCATGAAAATTTAAGATGGTTTTTTCTCCTCCTAAATTTAATATCTGTCTATGGTAAAGTCATGAGTAGTTAAAGCCAACAGATCTTTTTGTTACTTCACTTTTGTGATGTTCCTCAAATATCCACTTAGTGATCTGTGAATCTACAATGCATTCATACACCGTGAGTCTAAAAGTATGTACAAATTTCTTAGCATCCCTTTGTTTCATTAATATGGTAAAGATATTACCATCAGATTTTGAGAACAATAAATCAAAACTTGCAGATATTGAGGTTGTTGCAGATCTAAGTTTCAAACATGGCGACAAACATGGAGAAACTAGTGCATATGTACATCCGCCAGGAAATGAATTGAGAGATGTTGACCCCTGTGGGGAGATATTCCTAAGAACAAACTGGCAGGTACAAGGTTACTTAATGGAGCAAGCAGATGCAATTGAAAAGTAAGTGTCCTGATGACTTGCCTACTGTTATTAATATACTGTTTCTTCACTTTTTAAATTGCAGGTTTGTTTGAAACTAATAAACTAATATCCTGTTTTTTCCATGTTGCAGGCATGGCAGTGCTTTCTCTTTAAATTCTTTTGAGCTTGTTTTGAGGCAGATTAAAAAATTGGCACCTGAGCTGCATCGTGTAAGTTAGTATGTGTATTTTTTATTGGTGGGTCTATTTTTTATTAAAAATAATTTGTATAAATTTTTTATTTTTTTTGTAATCAATTTTTATGATGGTGTGCAATCCAGGTTCACTTCTTACGATATTTGAACAGCCTGTATCATGATGATTATTTTGCTGCTTTGGAGAATATTCATCGCTACTTTGATTATAGGTAACAAAAAGATTCAGCTGTCTATATAATTCCCAAGTGCCATAATTAAAATCATCATTGCAACCTATGTAATCTATCTGTTTTAATTGAGGTCTCCACTCGGGAATTCCAGTGGCATCATGGTGTGTGTAACAAGTTCCATTTGTTAATCCATAGCCCTCTTTTTTTCTCCTTACATTTTTCCACTGGTAAAATATAGAGTCAAAATGCTGGTATGATGGTATCCTCTTCTGGGGGACTTATGGGTTGAAGAATTTCTTTTTTCTAATTTTACCATTTAATCTGTTGCAGTACCTTGCTCTACATTAATGCTTGCATATTTAATTTTCATAATTTAGAATCTCGATTCCAGAAAAACTCAGTATCTTCTTTTGGTTTTTCAAATCCATAGTTACATTTTGTTTTCTTTGAGAGTTAATACATGGTTGTGGGCTCTAGTGGGATCTCCTCGTACTTGGATCCCAAACAGAACTCAATTGCCCTAGTCAATTGTACTTGGACAGCCAAGGTGCCATCCCAGGTTAACACTTTTGTTTGGATGATGATACTTAGAAAGTTAATATTATGGATTTTTGGCAGGTTTGGGGGCCTTACAAGGACCATCTCCTGATACATGTTATGCCTTGCAATAGTTGGGAGAAGCAAAGTTATTTACGAACTAGGGATATGAGAACATGCTATTACTTAGTGTACAGTGGGTTGGGTTTCTCCAATCTGGGTGAAGGTTTTCTTCTTACTGCACTTGGTGGGTTTTGGCTGGAGGAAGGATTGTTATATTTTCTGTTGATGTTTAATGTTTGTATTTGTTTGGTGATAGTCATTGGAGTAATTCTCGAAAATTATCAAGGACCTCTATTTTAGCAGGGCGTTTTGTGGGCCTTTTCAATCATTTTTTTCTTAAACATGTTCCCATGAGCAGAGAATCTATTTGCCTTAATTTGAATGAAAATGACTGACTAATGTTAAACAAAATGCTGGAGTCACCTTCCATGCCTGAGTCTTGATCTTTTTTAGTAACACCATAAAACCCATTATTTCATCTGATTTCTTTCTCTTTCTTTTCTTTTGAAAGGTTATTCTTTGGTCAGATTGATTGGTCATTGCTGTGGCTTATGAATGGAAAAAAATAAGTTGAAGAAAATTCAATTTTGTGTAGTGCAAGTGCCAAAGTTATCAAACTTCACTGCACCTTGACAATCACCACTTGGAATAGATGGTTTTAGATGTCAAAATGTAGCTTCTGGATCTTTTTGTGACTGCGTATCTTTGAATTAGTTATATAATTGATACTATATGTTATCTTTTTCCTTATCTCAAATGAACTTATTTTATACATTGGGTAAGAAAGTGGCCTTATTTTACCAATGATGTCACCAAAGTGCAGGAGCCGAGGGATTTGATTCAGTTCCGTCTTCTTCTGGGTTCAATGGCTCTGGAAGATATGAGATTGGTCTGATATGTTTGGGGATGATGCATTTGCACTTTGGGCATCCTAAGCAAGCTTTACAAGTAAGCATGAGAAATTCTCTCTTAAGAAAAACTAGTCATTATTGTACTAGATATTTGGCCTTTCAATTGGCATAAGACCTACTAGTTCTGCCTAATTCTTGCTGACTGAAATCAAAATAAGTTTGATCTCTGCAAGCTGACCAAAAGATTCTGGGCTAAGTTTCAATTATGCTAGCGAGCGAAAGCTTGGGGAATTATTGGGCAGTTAGGGATACTTGAGCTTGGTTCATTTGAGTCCAATTAGGAGCATGTGAAATGTTCTAGTTTTCTTGTTTCTCATTGTTTCCATTCAGTAATGGTTTTGCTTGTACTCCCAGGTTTTAACTGAAGCAGTTCGTTTTTCTCAACAGGTAACCTCCTTATTTAGTGCTTTTTCACACTTCTCAAATTATGATTTCTTTTATTCTTGCACCTGTATGTCCTTTTGAAAGCCGCTTCTGCATTTTCAGAAGTATTTTGTTATCTGGTTCAGTGGTCAGGCTTCTAGTTGGGGCGATGCTTGAGATTGAATTGAATGATTTATTTAACCAGCCAGGGATTAAAATGTTTACCTGAATTTTAAAAATGCCTTGAAATTAGAATTTCCTTTTTCATTCTCTGTACCAATTTGCTCGTGGGTCTGGGTATTTTCAAAGCCTACTACCTTAGTCTTTTTAATATTTCTGTATCCTCTAAGATAGGGCATAGCGAGTGATTTGGGTATTTTACCAAACTGCTTTAAAAAAGAAAAAAAGAAAAAAGAAATGACTCCCTACTATTTAAAAACAAAGCCACAAAATCAGCCTTGCATATCATATATTTAAACAAGCACAGTGGACATTTTAATTGAAACATATGACCAAGTCATATCAAAAAGCTTTTCCATCTCGATAGGCTCAACCTCGGTGCTGTCCCTAAGTTTCTTGGTTAAACATAACACAGAAATTTAAGGAGATGTGGAATGATTTTTTCTTGTTAGATTTCTTTTTTGCTGCAACACAGTTTTAGAGACATTGCCTTGGACTGTAATGCTGTATCTATTCTTTATTCTAATTATTGTTTTATGGTGGCTGATTATTATTGCAGCAAAGTAATGAGAGTTGTCTTGCATACACTTTAGCAGCTATTTGCAATGTATTGTCTGAATTTGGTAGCTCAAGCTCAGCAGGAATACTTGGAACATCTTTCTCACCTATTACCAGCATGGACACTTCATTGTCTGTTGGGCAACAATTGTTTGTTCTCTTGAGGGAGTCCCTGAAGAGAGCAGAAAGTTTAAAGCTGAAACGATTGGTTGCTTCTAATCATCTTGCCCTGGCCAAGTTTGATTTACTGGTGAGAATGGGAATCACTAGACTTTTGTCTTAGCAATCTACTGCTATTATTTCTTTTCTTGAAGAGCACTGTAGTATATTACAAGTGTGTTTAGGCCAGTGTTCTTGTCGTAGTTTATTGTTCATCAAATATTTAGTTTATTGTTTAATATGAATCACATGTTCGTCAAATATGTAGTTTATTGTTCCATATGAAAGTAAAACAGAGGGTCAGTTCTAAAATGTTCTGTTTGTTTGCATGTGTCTTCCTACCTTTATTAGCGAGTAAAACCTAATCAGAGGAGAAAGTGGGCTTGCAAACTCTGCACAAAACGTTTATTGCAAATCTATGTTGTTTCCAGTAGTTTCTTACTACTGTTTTTGCACTACACTTGCTTGGGACTTATATTGGGGAGTGGGGCAGTCCAGTGCTGATGCATTTTGCCTGCTTTAGAGATTTAAAGGTTGTTTCAGTGTTTTGTTTAAACATATTATTTGCTAGTCTTATTGTGAAAAGAATGTTTTGCACTTCTTTGGGATAATATTGTGCTCCCAAAACCAAGCAATATAATGTCTTTGAGAATTTAATTTGGTCTGGTTCTGTGGAAACAATGTTGAAGTCACAAATAGCATGCAGAAAGTGTCTTGGATTTCTTCTTGGGCTATGAAGTATTAAATTACATCTTGATAGAGTCAGCAGGCACAGAATTCTGCCAAAGATAAATGTCTCTGAGAATCCAATTTGTTCTTATTCTGTTGAAATATTGATGTACAATGCTGCCAAATGCTGGTTTTATTCTAATTTTGAACTTTGTTTATTTGAAACTATAGAAATATTTTAGTTAAATGTTGACACAGCAGTCAGAGACTTTTGTTAAAGGTATTTGACCTTTATACTGTCACAAGCTACTTATTTTAGTTACATTTTGATTTGCAGCATGTACAAAGACCTCTGCTATCATTTGGTCCCAAAGCTTCCATGAAGCTGAGAACATTTCCAATCAATGTTTGCAAGGTATTTGGTGCCTTTGGTTATTGTACTTAGGTTTTCCTGAATCTGATAACACGCAGAATTGGTCTTTTTTTGATGCGAACCCTTTCCATTTCCCATTTCCTTGTTGCAGGAATTAAGATTATGTTCTAATTTGATTAGCGAATTTGGCTCTGACAGCTCCACAATGACAACTGATGGTGCTTTTAGTACAACGTGGCTCAACAATCTGCCAAAATCAATGGATTCACCATTGTTGCCCCAAGAGAATGGATCCCGAAACAATTGTGATGCTCACCGATTCTTTACACAACTCAGTTCAATTCCCAAATCTGTTTTGCAATTATTAGGTTCTTCATACATAATGCGTTCCACCGCTTGGGAGATATATGGCAGGTGAATTAATGAGGATCCTTTAATATCACTTGTCACCTGTTTTGTACATGACTTTTACCTTTTGGTAAATGTGGACTGCTCATTCCCGTAAAGGACAATCCTTTGAACGTACATTGCATGAACTTGTCTGCCTTTTCTTTCTAATTTATGGATTTGGACGTGATATAGATATTAGGGTTACTTGCTTTGTCTGTGCATGAGTAAGTGTTATCTGTATATGCATGTCTTCATATAGGTGCACATATTGGATGGTTTGGACTTCTTTGTTTCATTATCATAGCATTCGCATTTTATTCAATCCATTTGTTACCTGACTTGTATAGCTCTTCTGATGTTTTGAGCAGTCCACTTTTTGATTGGGTGGAGATGAAGCCTCCAATGAGCAATCTTCAGTCTATATTTCTATTATTACCCTTTTGGTTGTTGTTGACCTTTTTAAATCTTCTTCTCTCCTTTTCTGTCTTTCCAGGGATTTATTTTTTTAATTTCTTTAGACTTTGAAGCTAGGACTCAGGAGGCAGAATTATATTCATCTTGTTTATAACTTATCTTTTTTTTTTTTTTTTTTTCCTGCTTTTTAAGTTTTTCCTTTGATGCCTTGTTGCCCTTGTAATTAGACATTCAAAGAATGTGAGGAGTGGAAACTGAGTGATGAAATTTACTAGTCTAGATTTCCATTCCTAGCCACGCTAGCAGTATGCTCTGCCGGGGACTCCTTTCAAAGATTTAACAAAGGCTCTGTCTTAATAAGGGCAGCTTCACTGTGTTCTAGAGTTCAGTGCAATCTTACATACTTGTATTACTTCTCTGTTGGTTTGTTTGAGAATTCCAGGACTCTTAATTGGATTTATCTTATATGTTGTGAAAAACATTTTTTTCTTATTGCTTCTGAGGGCCATCTTGTTTGATTGCTCTTGTTTCTTTTTCCTCTGTCAAAGTGCCCCTCTTGCTCGAATAAATTCGCTGGTTTATGCAACTTGCTTTGCCGAAGCTTCAAGGTAAACTTTAGCTGAAGTATCAGAAGATTTGTTCATGTGATGCTATTAGTCGTTATTCCTTTCTTATTCTTGTCTTCTGTTGGTTGTTTTAAGTTCCTCTGATGCAGCATCAGTACACGCAAAGCTCATCCAACATCTAGCAATATTTCGAGGATATAAAGGTTGGACTGAATGTTTGAACATCTTTCTATTCTCTTTGCAGTATGTTCTGAGTGCATTTGTGAAACACCATGGGGTTCTTTTATAAGTTTTAGATATCATTACATGAATCTGCCATTATTCAGAAACATGTGTGCATGTGCTGAAAATTATATGTTTGCCATTCTTTGTTGACACATCGTCTTCTGTGTTTCCTTCTCTCTACAACCAGAGGCCTTTGCTGCTCTTAAAGTAGCCGAAGAGAAGTTTTTAACTCTCTCAAAATCAGTAATTTTGCTACTAAAATTGCAGTTACTCCATGAGCGTGCTTTGCATCGGTGAGGCTACTGACTATAATATTATACATCTCTTTGATGTATATTAAAAATGTTTTGCATTAGACCTTCCTCTTCAACTAAGGTAAAATTACTTTGGTATTCAGCGGAAATCTGAAGCTAGCACAACAAGTATGTGATGAGCTTGGAGTTTTGGCATCATCTGTCAGTGGAGTGGACAAAGATCTGAAGACAGAAGCAAGCCTTCGTCATGCTCGGACATTGCTTGCAGCAAACCAATTCAGCCAGGTATACTTATTTTGATATTTAAACGTCTTTACTTCAATTTTAATGAAATAACATAGAGGGTTAGTGTGTTCATGTTCTTTACCTGGATGAATTCTGTAGAAGCTAATTTACTGCATATTTAAAATGCTGAATATATATATATATATATATATATATATATATATATGATTGGTAGAGCTAAATAAGAATAACCTATGAACTCTATGGGGCTCAGCTTCCCAGATAACTAGATTTGCTTGCTTTATTGTAAAAGCCAACTGGAGAGGGAGAGAGAGCATTTGTAAGGTAGGTCTAGGTAAAGTAACTACATAAGTCCCGATTTTTATTGAAAATGTCTGAATCCGCAAAGAAAGAGTCTTGAATCCACAAGTACAGAGAAACAAGAGGCAGATCTGCCTCTCACATTCATATACTGCTTTCAAATACAATGCATAAGTGTGCTTTATAGGCACACAAAAAGCCTGGAAGAGTACTAACTAAAACAGGAAATAAAATCTTTAGAATAATAAAGTCCTAATTATTGCAAATATTACTGTAAGAAAGCTTCGTTAATTACAAACATACTACAGAACTAATTACATTACAAATATCTTGAAAGTTGATCTTCTTGTACCGCATCAATGGTGTTGGTAAGTGACAGCAGTGGTGGCAGTGATAGCAAAGGTGACAATGATGAAGGTTATTTTGGTGATGCATATGTGATTATGTTGATGGCAATGAAGGGTGGTGGTGTTATTGATGCCAGAGTTGGTGATGATGGTCAAGGGCGACGGTGATGGTTGTGGGATGGTAATGGTAATAGTGTTGGTGATGATGGGAATGGGTGATGGTGGCATTAATATTGATAGCTAACCAAATTTTAGGAACTTTGCAGAGTGGAGACTCCTGGTTCTATACATAAACCAAAAGGTAAATGAGAACACTATCTGATTAAACTCGTAACTGAACATGTTTAGAAGTCTCCTGGATATCTTTTTCATTACCTTGTGGAGTGCTAGAGCCAAGAAACCTAAATCAATCCCAATAATCAGTCCACCATGTGTGTATGTTGGAGTCCATATTTGGTTTCTGGCTAACTGCTGTTTTAATGGATGATCCTGTAAAAACTGAATCAACTAAGCTTTATGGTAGTAGAGCTGGTACAGAAAGTAGCAAATGAGGCTGTAAACTAAACAAGCATGAGGCAATGACCAACAGATTATTCCCTTTTTGCAAGTTGGTAGTGCATGTTCACTTCCTGGATGCTCACTATTCATTCCCCAAATTCCTTAATTGATTTCATCATGGCTTTAGGTTCAGTAATACTCCTTTCCTGTCTAATATGACTGTCTTTTGCAGGCTGCAGCAGTTGCACATTCTCTCTTTCGAATGTGTTACAAATTCAATATGCAGGTTCAGAATGCCACTGTTCTTCTTTTACTGGCGGAAATTCATAAGGTACAATGACAGATTTGATACAGTAAGTGTTGACAGATTTAGCTAGCTTCGAAGCAAGTTTATCTTGTTATTTCAAGATGTTGGAGAACTTTGTAAGATGTTTCTCTACACCTCTCCTAAATGAAGGGGGAAGGGGGGCAAAATACAGCCTGTTAGCTTGTTGCACAAGCATGCCCAAGATGAATTGGAAAAATTAGACAGAGGACTTGCACATGGTGACCTCTGATTATCCTTTATGAAGAGCCATTAAATTTCTTGACACTGGCTTGGTCAATCTTGCAGCGATTTTTTTATTTCCCTTGACATTAATGCATTTGGATATATGTTATCATTTGAATGTACATCCTTAGGTATTGCTTTTGATGAATATGTAAACTTATTGTGTCTGTTAAAGCACTATTATATGGTTAGTTTGCATAAGAAATTTCGATGGATGAATTTAGCCTTATAGAGGCTATCTGTCATGTTGTAGTGATGGATGAATTTAGCCTTATAGAGGGTATCTGTCATGTTGTAGTTTAATGGAATATCTTTGGAATTTTTCTATGCCGGAAGTGCTGTAATGATATGTAACGTTTTTTTACCTGTCATCAGAAATCAGGCAATGCTGTTTTAGGCCTTCCTTATGCATTGGCAAGTCTCTCATTTTGCCAGTCATTTAATTTGGATCTGCTCAAGGCATCAGCCACTCTTACCTTGGCTGAGTTGTGGCTGTCATTAGGATCAAATCATGCAAAGAGGGCTTTGACCCTTATACATGGGGCTCTTCCCATGATTCTTGGTCATGGAGGGTTGGAGCTCCGAGCGAGGGCTCAGATCGCAGAAGCAAAATGCTATCTATCCGATCCAAGCTATTCAGGTGCCACTCTTCTTATTTCAATTTCTTTTTTCCTGAGGGTAGGGAGGGCAGAGAGGATTATATGCTTAGACTGCTGAGTAAATTTATTCCATATGCTTTGGATCTTTTATCCTATCCTTAAATCTGGAAGCACATTTCTTATTAAAGCTAGTGGGTTAAGCATATTCTTTTTGAATGTGCCAAAATAACTGTCTTCTTTTTCATTGAATTTTCTCAGTGTTTGACGATTCTGAGGTTGTGCTGGATCTTTTGAGGCAAGCTTCTGATGAGCTTCAAGTGTTGGAGGTTTGTAGATATAAGTATTCAAATATCATGCAATCGGTTTCCAAATATAGGAGTTTCTCATCCAAATTCTGGAAAAAAGATTACATTTTTTTTCTTACAATCACTGAATCAAGAATAGATTTTTGGTCCCATATTATTTCCATATTTGCAATATTACATGTGAATCCCTAATCTGCAACTTCTGCTCAGACTTCTTTTTCCTTTTCTATTTAACTTATTAAATATTAAATTTTCACGTTTGTTACATGATGTTGCTCCTGTTGGACAGTATCAGGAGTTGGCTGCTGAAGCTTACTATTTGATGGCTCATGTATTTGACAAACTTGGGCAACTAGAGAGGAGGGAAGAAGCTGCAGCTTCATTCAAGAAACACATAATGACACTTGAGAATCCTCAGGATGAGAATGATCCTTTACTGAACACGTTATGCAGAAAACCATAGTTGTATTACATGTAAGTTAGAATACTGATTATCCACGAACGGTAGCTTTTACCCACTGTATTTTCCACCATGTAACATTTCTCTGTTGAGAACTTGAGATGAACATATGAGAATTTAGCTACTCTGTTTCTTGGGCTTACATCAGAACCGTGCAAAGAGAATTTCCTGAGTGTTATTATGTACTGTAATACATCAGATACAAATTTCACACTTCAAGTCCCCACTTCAGACACAATTTATTAACTGAGTGTAGAAAATCAAACATTATGGAAAAACATAATAAGCAACAACAATGTCGGGTGGCACAGGATGCTTGCTATCAGCTATCCTGATCCATGCTTCCTGATAATAGCTTAAGCTCCAAAAAACCTGAAGGTAGGGTAAATATGGTTTGAGTTCCTTTATTGCAGATCCGAACAAATTAGTTATTCGGATTGGTAGTCATACCTATTCAATCGCGACTGAGATCGTCTTGTGCTGCATGAGCCAAAATATGATGAGTTAGCTTGCATGAAATGTTAGAAGGCTGCCAAAATCTTCTGTATAAAAAAGATTATCCAGAAAAGAAGTGTACTTGCAGGGAATCAACTTGCTTGCCTTGCAATGGGCTGTGTTTTGGCTGCTGGCTTCGCGACTGGCGTTTGAGCTTCTTCTGTTGGGATGGGCACATCCTTTGCCTGGAAGTATTACATGAGGAACAAGAGAAAATTTTCAGAAGTCTTATAATTATTGATTGTAAAGCTGTACGTAGAGCATGTAGCCCATGGTGGGATCAGAGATGTATAGAAACATACCAATCTCCTGAATTGAAGATTATAGAACATCTGGATGTATCTCTGCTTTGCTAGTTTCTGGTCCTTGTTGAGCTGCCTCCAGAAACTATACATGTTGCCCATGTTCAACACTTTGTTTGCATAGATCTTCCATGTATAGCTACAAAACAAAGCAAAAAACGATTCGGTTAGTGAACAGAAGTCACAGAACACAATTGAGGATGTTATCTGTCACAAGGGTAATTACCATTCATTTATCCGTTTCAACCCCTCGACAGAAAACTTATTCCAGTGTCCCGGATCCACCTTGCACTTCTCAAAGAAATCAGCGATGATGTTGCTTGACTCGTCTCCATTTTCGGGATCGATATGGAATCCTGAAACCCCATCGATGATTATTTCAGCTGGTCCTCCTTTATTGGTTGCGAAGGTGGGCAATCCACAGTTCATGGCCTCAATGACGGTGAGACCGAATGCTTCATAGAGAGCCGGCTGCACGAAAGCTCCCTTTGAATCAGCAATAAAACGGTACAGTTCTCCATTGCGATTCCTATCACTCTGAGCTGCTATCCATCTGATCTGACCCTTGAGTTGGTATTTCTCTATCAATTCATGCATCTTCTTTATTTCAGCCATTTCTTCTCTGTCTTTGGATTTGCTTGGATCAAAGAATCCACCAACTATAACAAGATTGACTAAGCCTCTCAGTCTCTTGTTCTTCCCATACCACTCGGTTAGTCCACTAAGGTTCTTCACTGTATCAAGCCTTGCCATTGAGAAGATAATAGGTTTCTTCTTGTCTTCTAGATATCCGCTGTTTTTCAAGTAAGTTAAGGTAAGATGTTGGATGGTTTTAATGGTTCTCAATGACAATCTAAGCTAAATGATTCAGCAGTACTTACATGTGTTCATCATTGACCACTTTGCTATACAACAGTTCTTCAATGGCAGGATGAAACTGCATGAATCGACTCTGTTTCTCTGTGTACGGGAAATAGATAGATTGATCAGCCCCAGGTGCGGCAATGTTAAACTTCGGATCAAAGACGTTGATGCCAGAAACAACTCTGCAGAGTCCTGGCAGTGTGAATGAAGCATGGCTTTCATACTGTCCAGGTCTATCTTTGCTGCAAACAACATAACATAGTTTCTTAATACATTTTGATGGTTTAATAGAGAATTATTCAGAGATGTGTGGATAATTTTCTAACCTTCCTGCAATCTCCTGATATGTACTCGCTATGATGAAATCGGTTGCATTCATTGCAATTGTATCAGCCAAAAATTGGCATGAGAAGTGATACTTGGGGTCTAATTCCTTCCAGGTGACATCTGAATTTTCATACTTTGTCTTCTCCAAAGCATGTGCAATTGTTGCCTGAGTTATCCCTAGTTTATTAGCCATGAGAGTTGCTGCTAAATTCCCATCAGTGTAGTTTCCGATGATGAGATCCGGCTTTCCTTCCATGAGGTCTAGGATCTTGGTTATAACATCCTGATATAAAAAGATAGAAGTACATTCAGTAAGAGCTCCCAGAATATGAAAGGAAAAAGATTTAAAATGAATTATCTGATGGATCAAAACATACCTGAGTAAACTTCTCGAGATAGGGATAGACATCGAAACGCGAAACCCACTGGCGGAGGACCCTATTTTCTAAGCTGAATGGCACCCTAAGGATGTTTGAATGCTTGGTGCCATTAATTGCTTCCAATTCCTGGTTGCACTTTGTTCCCCGAGCATCAGGAATGAGTCGTGTAACCTGTTAACGCAAGAACATGATTAGACAGACTCCTGCAACCTTGATTGGTTGATCATTTCTTGTGGGGTTGATGAACATACCACAATAATTTGAGGTTTTACGCTAAGGCCTTGTTGCTTAATCCTAAGCAGCAATTCATCTTCCAAGGCTTTCACTTGGTCTAGAATGTAGACCACCTGTTTAGAGTAGAAGCACAGGTTTGTAATCAAGAATATCAAGTACCTGTAGACCAGTTTCAATGCATCAAGGAACTGAAAGTCATACCTGTCCGCCGGTATCTGGCAAACCGAGGACATCTGCCTGACCAAAGTAGCCATGAGGAGAGAAAATTACAACATTAAATACTGTTGGTAGCCTGCTAAAGAATTTCTCCATGTTCAATGGATCCGGTGCTTGGAGAACTTCTGAGAGACATCTCATTGTCTCCTTCACTCTTTCTGCAGTATCACCCCATCCCTTCTCGAAGCCCCACTCTTTGAAGCTGCGAAACGAAGAACATCAATTTTTAGAGTCTGAAATGTGAAATCTCACTGTCTGGTAGCAAAAATATTCACCTTATCTCAAAACTCTGATATGGGGTGTCCTTAGGAAGTCCTGAGAGGTAAACTTCAGCAACTATCAGTGCCATCTGAAGCTTTCCAACAGAGCTAAGGGTCTCGTTTATCATAAGTTTCTGTAGATTCAGAAGCATAAGAAAATCATATATACAATGATTTGTAACTTTCGGTATAGAAAATGAAGATGTTTCGCTCATACTTCTTCTTGATGATTCAGAGATAGCAAGTAATCCACCAGAGGCTGAGCACTCTCCAGGTGGCCACTTAGCTTTGAAGTTACAAACTTTGAAACAAAGCCAAGTCCATTTCCAACGGAAGAAGATAAGGTCAAGCGAGGCACAGAGAAATCAAATGCACCGAAATCGACTTCCAATGCATTAGCATCCTTTGCCCTGCAACCACAACAGGTTTTTTCAGTAGAACTTTACTAGGAAAACTTGGTCATATACGATAAACCATAGCATACCAGTTCTCATCATATATCATTTCCTTGAATTTCAAGTAGTCTGTAGCTGTGATGCCCTCAACCGAAAGATCAGCTGAGTTCACCTTCACAAATTCCCAGAATCCAGGGCTTGGTCTTATGGAAAAGGCAACATATGGTGGATTAACAGCTGCTTCCTGCAAATGACAATCCAAAGCTGTTTTTGTTACTTCGAGGATAAAAATGAACACGTAAATTAAAAGGACTAATAAATTGCTTCTGGTAAAAGAAAGGACCAGAATACAAACCTGAATAGAAAACCAAATGTCCCCTAGTAAACCTTGCAAGACCCCGGTTCTTTCAACCTGATCATCTATAACATTCTCCATTTCATCAAGTATTTGTTGAAGCTTCATCGTTCTTCTTCCCTTCTCTATGTACTTGGCAAAACATTTCTTCATGTGGTACCTGCTTTGTTTCAAGGCTTCTGGCATGTTGTCAGCTATAGATTCTGACCTCTTCAAGGTTGCCATTTTGTAGCAACAATACTTAGTTTTTTACGAAGTTTTGAAGGAAAAAAAATGATAAAATATAGTTGTTGATCAACTCTTGTTTAGGATCACCAATTTATAGAGGGATGGTACGTGTTCGTTCGGTGCATGAAAATGGTTTTGCTTTGGTTGTAATCAAGTGATTGGCTTTGAGAATTTCTTTTTTTTTCCCGTAAAGAAAGGTGCAAGAAGAGAAGAAAGAACATTCTTTGTAAAGGAAAAAAGGGAGGGAAAAGAAAGGAATTTAAGAGGTAGGAAGAGATTCTATTCTTGGTTATAAAAAGGCCATTAATCAAAGCAATGCTCAATATTCTTTCCTTATCGTGCTCGTAAGAAAGAACTAGGGAATGCTAGCTCAGGCCCCATGACAAAGTTGTCTTATTCACGTCAACACTATGGTTTTTTTCTCTTCCTAGTTTTTTTTTTTTTTTAATCCTTCGACGTATCCCGACTTAAAGACCCAAACTAATTCTTTGATAAAATTCAAACTCAAGATCACTTACTTAAGTGACTAGAGCTCATTCCACTCAAGCCAACCCTTTTGAGTTTTTTTTTTCCTTCTAGTTTTAGTACTTGCGATATTTTGGATCGATTTTGTATACCAACATTCGGACCGAGAAAACTTCTGCTTATGAGGATTCAAATTGAAAATTTATTTCGTCGCTAATTGGTTATAAAATATTTTAAGTTATTGGCTAAAAGAAAAAAGTCTCTTAACTTTTTTTCCCCCTTGATTTAGATTCTTAATCTTTTCGTTGATCAATTTTAAGCGATATAAGAGACACGTAAAACCATTAAAATAACAATATATATTTTAAAAACTCTAAATATAGGACATTAATTGTTATTTTATAGCTCCATGTGTTTCTCATATGCGCCCAATGTGACCTGATATTTGTCAATGAGACAAAAAAAACTTTAACTAGAGTTCAGAAGAAAGGTTGAGGACCCAAATACAAAAAATTAAAGATTTTTTTCATGTTAACCAATAATTCATGGTACTTTATAACCAATTGGTTTTTATTTTAATAACTTTTATCAATAAAATGATAGTTTGTTTATTTCAGCAATGAAATCTAACAGCATCGTTCATTCGTCCATTGATTTCTGATAACAAGTTTTTCTTAACCTCACCTCAGTACAGAGAAATACTTAAAAGAAACAAATTCCAAAAATTCCATTTAAAAGTCAATAAAATAAGGGGGAAAAAAATATTTGCTATCCGGAAGATTCTTTTTTCTTTTTTCACCCTTTATTCTTCTCCATATTCATATTCTTCTCTTAAATTGTAATTAATCAAGATGCATATTCCAATAAAAAAAAATTAAATCAATAAAGATCATCAAATCACAGGACTACTGGAGTTACTAGAACATGAATTTGAGTCATGCCAACTTTCGGGTTGGACTTTGGATCCATCTAGCTAGATACCTACTGAAAAGGTAACTTGTGCCAAAATTTGTACATTCTCCTTTTTAGAAAGATTGTTATTTTTTTTATTTATATTACTGTCACTCTTCAATGAATAAACAGTATTTTTCAGCTTTTTTATTTTATTTTATTTGATTTTCCTCTACCGACCTTTATTTCACTTTTTACGAGCAAATTTTTTTTTTAAAATTAAAAAAAAAATTAAAAAGATTGAGTGAATAAAAAATTATAATTAAAATAATTTTTTTATGGGACTCCCAGCATAGTGAGGATAAATGACTAGTTTGTTCTAAAATATTTTTCATGTCAAATTTTTTAATACTATATATTTTTTTATAAAATATTCTAATTAATAAAAAAATCAATTATATTTTATATTTTCTATTTAAATAAAAAATATTTTAGAAACATATTATTAAAAATATTGATACGTGATTATAATTAAAAAGTTTCGTGGAATTACGAGAAATACTCCATGATACATCGGACCACAAGTCTTATCATTTGTCAATTCCAATCGCAATTAACATGTAATAATTAATTACTTGGGACATCATGTTGTCGTGCACGTGCAATTATATATATAGCTTTGCTTACGTCGGAAGAAAAGGGTTACGTATTTGTGGATTTGTTGGTACAAGGCGAAAGCGATACGGTAGCAGAGGAAAAGAAAATTTTGGTTTAGTAATCATACTTGTTTTTTTTTTTTTTTCTTTTATTAACGTTAGGTTACAAATAAACTAAAATACATAAAATTATTTTGAAAAAATTATTTTATTTTGATTTCTCGTATTATATTATTCATATATCAAAATATATTAAATCAAAATTGAATAAAAATTCATTCAATTTATCGTTTTTAATCAAAATTTTATATTTGACTAATTATTTTTGATATTTTCATAAATTTTTTATTAAAAAATATTATTTATTTATTTCTATCCATATTTTTAGCTAAAACCTTATTTTTTAAATTATTTTTTTAAACATCTTTTTGCCTTAAATTTTTTTAATTAAAAAAAACAAAGACCAAAGTGAGAAAAATGAAACAAAAAGTTGGGACCAAAATCAAATAAAAATATTTATGGACTAAAAAATAATATTTTAAAAAAGGAATCAAAGTATAATATCAGGAAACTTTTCATAATAAATGACATAAAAATATTTAAAAACTATAAAAATACCATTAAATAGTGAAATAAATTATACATCTAAGTCTAGATGAATAATACGAATGAGTCTGTTGAATAGTGCTTCAAATAATATAGTAAATAGTAATCAATGATTTTAGTTTAGTTTTTTATAAGTGGTTTTTCCATTTTCTTTTTTCTTTTTGTCATTTGATGTAAACAAAGAAAGTAGATTTTTTTTTTAAAAAAAAAGGGTGAATTACAAGTATATATACATACAATTTTCGATAATGATGTAATTTAGTCAAGTGCAGAGCTAGAGCAAAATGATCGCAGCTATGTGAGAAATATAAAAAGATAAAAATGTAGTAAACAGCTTTTTATAAGAGTCTAATTGAATGAACCTTAAATATAAGGATGAGATTCTATTTTGGGAGAGTAATGGCTCCCTACGAGAATAACGTAACATCACAGTTGGAGGAGGTGGCGGTGGTGGCAGCGGCAATATTAATGGCCATGCATCGAAGGTGGTGGTGCAATTGTTGCTGATCAAATAGTAATCAATTAGAACATTTCATAGCAAATATTTATGATTGAGTTTTCAACTTTTTTTTAATCTCAAACAGATCCTTAGAGTTTTGTTTTTTTAAAAAAAAATCAACTAAGTACATCCATATACGTTGATAGATTCCAACAAAATTATACTCTTTTTCCATAAAAAACGATATGATTTTTTTAGAGATCTCATGTTTTCCATTGAAATTTTATTGAAAGTTTTGATGAAAATTGAATTGTTTATTTTTTGTGGTTTCCAATAGGAAAAAAAGTTTGGGAACTCAATTGAGATATGAGTTGTTTGAGGACTAATTTGAAATCTGTCCAATTTTTTATTGGTAAGTTTTGCATGACGACGTGTGTTGGCTCAAAAAAAAAAAAAAAAAAACACCTTCTCTTAACAAAAAGATACACATTCTGTTTCCTTTGTTGTCCGCATCAAACACACACACGAGCAAATTAAAGGTAACTTGTGCCAAAATTAGTACTTTCTCGTTTTTAAGAAGATTGTTATTTTTTATTTATATTTGTTCTAAAATATTTGTGGTGTCAATTTTTTTTAATACTATATTTTTTCTAAAATATTCTAATTAATAAAAAGATCAATTATATTTTCTATTTTCTATTTAAATAAAAAATATTATTAAAAATTATTGATACGTGATTATAATTAATAAGATTCGAGGAATTACGAGAAATACTCCATGATACATCGGACCACAAGTCTAACCATTTGTCAATTCCAATTGCAATTAATATGTGATAATTAATTAATTGAGACATCATGTTGTCGTGTACGTGCAATTATATATATAGCTTTGCTTATGTCGGAAGAAAAGGGGTAGGTGTTTTTGGATTTGTTGGTAGAAGGCAAAAGCGGTACGGTAGTAGAGGGAAAGAAAATTTTGGTTTAGTGATAATACTAGTTTTTTATTAGCGTTTCGTTACGAATAAGATTAAATACATAAAATTATTTTTAAAAAATTATTATATTTTAATATTTCGTGTTATATTATTTGTCTATCCAAATATATTAAATCAAAATCGAATAAAAATTCATTTAATTTATCATTTTTAATCAAAATTTTGTATTTGACTAATTGTACTTTATATTTTTATAATTTTTTTATTAAAAAGCATTATTTATTTATCTCTATCCACATTTTTAGCTAAAATCTTATTTTGTAAATTATTTTTTTATACATCATTTTGCCTTAAATTTTTTAATTAAAAAAATAGAAACAAAAGGATCAAAGTGATCAAAATAAAACAAAAAAGTGAGACCAAAATCAAATAAAAAATATTTATAAACTAAAAAATAATAATTTTAAAAAAGAGATCAAAATATAATGTCACGAAAACTTTCATAATAAATGTCTTAAAAATATTTAAAAATTACAAAAATGTCATTAAATAGTGAAAGAAATATTACATCTAAGTTTAGGTGAATAGTGCAAACGAGTCTAACGAACGAGTATTTCAAATAATACAATGAATAATAATCAGTGATTTTAGTTTAGGTTTTTTATAATTGGTTTTTCCCTTTTGTCATTTGATGAAAACAAAGAAAGTTTTTTTTTTTTTTTTTTTGAAAAAAAGAAGAAGATGAATTACAAGTATATATACATACAATTTTCGATAATGATGTAATTCAGCTAAGTGCAGAGCTAGAGCAAAATGATCGAAGTTATGTGAGAAATATAAAAGGATAAAAAAGTAGTAAACAGCTTTTTATAAGAGTCTAATTGAATGAACCTTGAACATAAGGATGAGATTCTATTTTGGGAGAGCAATGGCTCCCTACAAGAATAACACAACATCCCAGGTGGAGGCGGAGGCGACGGTGGCAGTGGCAATATTAATGGCCATGCATTGAAGGTGGTGGTGCAAATGTTAGTAATCAATTAGAACATTTCATAGCAAATATTTATGATTGAGTTTTCAATTTTTTTAATCGCAAACAGATCCTCAGAGTTTAAAAAAAAAAAATCAATTATGTACCTCCATATACGTTGATAGATTCAAATAAAATTATACACTTTTTCGATAGAAAAACGATGTCATTTTTTTTAGAGACCTTATTTTTTAATCACAAATACATCTTCCGCCTTCCACCCCTTTCCTCTACATCACTTTGCTTACCACATTATATAGTCTACAAAGCAGATGGTACCAATTAAAAACTAACACAAGTCTGCACGAAATTACTCTCTGTCCTTCAATTCCACCACTTTTATCCACATCATTTCAGCAAATTTCATTCCAAAGTGAAGAAATTGAGAACAAATGTAGCATTTTTAAGGGGAAGAGCGTACTCAGAAAGTGCAGTCATGAATACCACAGGCCCAGAAACTGTCTTTTTGACTCTGAACTTGATGCAATCGACAATGGTGTCTCCATCCACCGGTGGGTTGCACTCGAGCAAGCACAAGATGCCATTGCCCAGATGAAGCAGAATGTTCCAGCTTTCAGTATGCAAGTATAATGGAAAGGGCTTGCACGAGGCAGTATCCAACCATATCTTATTAACCAAATCATATGCAACTATAGCTTCAGATAGTATAGATCGATAATCGTAAAAATAAAGAACGTCATCCACAACAACAGATGCGTGCCACTGGAAATCAAAATGAGAGAATTTTTCATCAGTGCTGAGGCAATCCCACTTTTGACTCTCTAAAGAGTAAGAGTATACCTCGGTACCCATAAAGTACGCTAGAAATCGGCCATTAGAAGAATCGGAGATGAGTGCGGTAGCACCAGGACCGTTATAAGGTACTTCAGCCTCGATGGGAAACCAGCACCCATTGTTACCACTCATTGGATCAAAAACCTCAGGAATGTTTGAAAGATGGTAGAGCTTGCCACCAAGAGCGACAACAGGAGGAGAATAATCGCCACACAACATAGAAGCGGCCTTCTTCCAACCATCTTGAGGATGCCGAGTATCCAAAATGTAGACATCATCACAAATTTTATCACGAAATATACCTTGCTTGACAACGCCTCCAAGCACATAGATCGACGAACCTAAGGATAGAATGCCGGGAATCAGTGCATCATAATGAAGCGGAGGCCAGTCCATCTACAACACGCTTCCTTCACTCTTCTTCAGATCCAACTTGTACCAATCACACCCTACGCCATCTTTCTTCGAAGCCCGAATAAATACAGGCTTCTCCTCCTCTGCCGCGTGATCATACTCCGGAGCTGCAGCTGCCATTAATTATCTCTGAGTAGGGTTTTCTTTGTTTCAACTTTCGATTCTAATTGACGACGCCTTCCTTTGATACCACTATTTTATGCCCTCGCTTATATAAATTTTAGAATACATCGGGAGTAATTAGTGATATGTACGATAGTTGCTCTATAGAGCTTGCTTTCGGAGAGAAATATACAAAAAAAAAAAAAGAGAGAAAATAAAAAAATTTGAGCGGACGTTAAAATCTTCTTATCACTTTTGATATGTATAAATATAATTTCTCTTTTTTTTTAATTATTTATCTTTCTCCTCAAAGTGGATCCATAGAATAAGTACTTTACATGTCACTAATTACTCCCGATGTATTATATGTATTATAAAGAGAAACCCACATGCCCTTAATTTGTTGATTTTTTTTGGTTAATTTTAACCTAGTCCCTAAGGTTTCGAATAAATACAGTATCTTCCTAGAGGTCTTGATTTTATTGATGTACCTGAAGTTTCAATCACGAATCAATCGAAAAAAGTTATTTAGTCCCTCAAATTTTAAACATTGATCAAAATAAAAATAAATACATTAGATCAAATCTTATACTTAAGATTAAAAATCCGAGATGGATGATTTTATTCTTTTTTTAACCATACAAAAGTTTAAAAGTTTTTTTTTTCGACATTAGGTTTTTTAGTTTTAAAGTTCTAGAGGTATTTTTAATTTATAAATAAGTTCGATATTTAAAAATATAGATAGAAGATATAAAAAAGAAAAAATAAATAAAACCGGTCTTGTTTGCATGAAATATAAAAAATAAATTAATAAATTAACTATAATATAAATGATTTTATCCAATCAATTGTAGAAAGACAAAGTCCTGGTCAAGGGCTATTAAAAAAAACTATGGACTTAAATGAAATGCTCTTTTAGTCAAATTGTTACTTAGTTGCGCAAAATGACAAAAAAAAAAGTAATAATAATAATAAATTCATCTATTGATCTAAAAAATTATATTTTGTGCTTTATTTGTAGGTTTGTTTGTTTTCTATAAAGAGATTATGGCATTTTATTTTTCTATTATTTATAAAATGGATTTTTTTATAAGTTCCTTATTTTTTATTTCTATCGATTATTCTTCAATTGCAAATATTTATTTCATTTATGTCCAACTTATTAATTATCTATTAAAATATTTTAATGAGTAATGTACCATATATATAAGTTAGTGTTATGTATTTATGCTAATGAGCATTTAAGTCTATGGATATGGGTATCCTCTTTTTACAACTCTCTGTGTGTTAGAAGTTATATGACTTGATGTATTTTTTTTATCTTTATAAACCCTATATTAGGCTTAATGAACTTTTACCCGAAGTTTTCAAAAATGTCATTCTACTTAAAATACTCCTTGCAAGCTTTCACTTAAGCTCGTTGGGCCAAATACTTTTGGCCCAATGACTCAACAATTAAGTGAATCATACAAATTGTAACACTCCGATCTAGTACCTAGATAAGTCAAAAGTATTATTAGTGTTGACTTATATTCGAAGTGCAATAAATACAAGCTAACAAGCTTTTTTCCTTAATTTTCTAATTTAATAGTAATGTGGGCAATTTTCGTATGAGGCCCCTAATATATAAGAAATAATATGTCTACATTAAATAAAACTTAGGTATAAACTTTTTCAAAAATTCAATTAACATCAATTAATATTCCTACAACATGTATAAAAATATTAAATGCCTTATTTTGGTTAAAAATCCATATTCTTGAAATCCAAATTAATCATTTAAATAAAATACCTTACATTAAACAAAATTGAATCATGTCTCTTATTTTTCTCAAATTCATTTTAGAAATTCATATAAAATTTAATTTAGGATTATTTTATTTTTAAATATTCCATACAATAAAGTAGGATTATTTGACATTATTTTCATATAAAAAATTTAATTATTATATATTGCATTTAATGAGAAAATAATCAATGAATAGTAACTCATTAAATTAAGATTTAATGCCTTTATTTTTATAAAAATTCCATAAACTAGGAATTCATTCCAAAAATTCAATAAAGCATTTAATAAATTCATTTAGGCTCTTAGCTAAAGTTTTGGCCATTTAAAAAAAAAAATTGGACTTAGGGAACTTTGGTTCCAAGTTTATTTAAAACTAACCCATTGAATGCATTTATTCATTAACCATTAATTTCATTTTATGCCTTAACCTTGCTAATCCTTTTTTTTCATGTCATTTTAATTCCATACTTTTTATCATTTATTCATTAGTTACCAAATTAAGTGACCACTTAGTCATTACCTTCCTATACTTTTAATTAGTTCCTTTCCCTAACAAATTTTACATTATATTAATTAGTCAAGTGACCAATTAATTTACCAAGTTATGTAACTAAATAATTCATAACATAATATCGAACTTTACATTCAAACCATACCATCCGTTAATACAAATCAAAATTTGCTTAACTTGATACCAATATACATGACCAAAAACTAAGTTAAGTTTCCTCACTCATTTTATACAGGTAAACACACATATGACAAGTCTTCAATATTTCTCAAGCAACGGTCCTTATTCATCTTTTTTTTCTCTTACACCATAACAAACAAAGGTGAGTGATACCCGATAAGTATAATTCTCACTACACCATAAGAAAATAGTGATTTTGATTTATAATTGATGTTAATTTGAAGTTGTATTGCTTGAGGTTTAATGGTTTAATTATTAGAGATACTATGTTATTATTTGAGATTGATGGTTGTATTGATAGATATGTGTTTTTGATGTTGTAATTAGGATTATTAAATAATTAATTGAACTAAATGAATATGTTTTGAGGTTGTCCTTATTCTTAGAACGAGGTGGTTGAATACCCTTAAACATGAATAAACTAGTGATTTTAACACCTAATGTTTGCAAGGTGTTTGATGATATGCTTTAAAGGTGTTAATGGTGTTGAATTGAAAAACTTGAAATTTGGTCACTTTGTTAAAGATTTTTGACCAAGTAGGGAGTTTTGATTGCTTGATTAACTTAATATACTTGATGTTAAAATGATGAAAAACATATTAGGTTAAAAGGTTAGATATGAAAATTTGACAAAAAATGATGAGATAGAAGTTTACTTCCATTGGCCTAGTTTCGATCAAGAATGGAAAATAAAAGAATAAGAGGTTAATGTGAGGTTAATGCTAATTTTGAGATTTAGAGGTATAAAATGTCTTGAAAAATTATTATATTCATGTGAGGAATGATTGGTTATGTTGCTTAACACATTCAACCATAATGTATTTTAAATGTATTATTCATGTTCATTATTTGTTTATGGTATTGCATGCATATTTGATTAATGTGTAATATGTATTTGATTTATTATTTAAGTTACATGTTTTTGAGGTTTGAAAGTATATATTTTGAGGTTTATGTTAATGCATTTCATTTTTATTTAAATGTATTTGCACATCATAATCATGAAAGAGTGTTTACATTTATAATTTTGATAAAAGGAAAAGGAAAAGAAAGGGTTTTCAAAGAGCAATGGCTAGGTACTTTGTTGAGATTATGGAGAGAAATGATCAACCTCTCTTGAGGAAAAGGAAAAGCAAATGAAAAATATTATGGGAAAGTACCTAGTGCTTTTTGTGATTTTTCACAAGTTGCATGTTTTAAAAGAGGGTCGATTATATACATAATCGACATGATGCATTTGAAGAGGAAAATAAATTTCAAAAGCATGAAAAGATTTGGAGTTCAAGGTTGATGATCGAGTGTTCCTATGGATAACATTGATTATAGGAATAATGAGGTTTGGGAAGAAACGAAGCTTAAGTCTAGGATACATTGGACCATTTGAGGTATTGGAGAAGATCGAGGACTCGTGCTTATAGACTAGCTCTACCTTCATCTCTCTCCTTGGTACATGATGTATTTCACGTATCTATGTTATGAAAACATGTGGAGGACTCGAGCCATATCCTAAAGGATGAATCACTTGACCTCTAACCCGATCTAAGTTATCGGGAAGGACCCGCCTAAATCCTAGATCGAGAGATAAAGCAAATACTTCTCATGAAAGTATTATGGAGAAACCATAAAGTGTAGGAAGCAACATGAGATCAAGAGGAAGAAATGAAGGTTAAATACCTAGAATAGTTTAGCTAAGGAATTTTGAGGATGAAGTTTTTATAAGGATGGGAAGATGTGATATCTTTGATCTAGAATTCTCTTAGAATGTAAATATGTTGTAAATATATTTTATTTAATTAATAAAAGTATGTTTATTAAATGTGAGGAATAAAAGTTTAAACTTTAATTAAAAATGAAATAAACACAAGCATGGTTAAAGGGGTAGGTTAATGGAATGAGTAAGGTTTTGAATTAAAGATTAGTATCATTAATTGTTATAGTTATGCTTTGACATAAGGGCATAATCATAAATATTAAAAGCTTAGATACTTGATTGAAATAATTAAAAAACTTTAAGAACTTAAATTATTCTTGGAGAATGCCTAGGATAAGGGCCAAATTAAGAAAAATTATAAAATTACGGATAGAAATTTGAGGGGTCGATTACAAAGATTAAAAGTTTAGGAACCAAAGTGTAAAGTGATAGAATTTTAAGGGACTTATTAATTGATCTTAAGGGACCAATTTTTTCTAGATAATTCTGAAAAATTTTAGAGAAAAGGAGAAGAAGAGAGGTGGCAAAAGAGGGAAGAAACAAAGAAAAATATCTAAGGTAAAAGAGGAAGAAAAGATGAGGAGGAAGAAGAAAAATGTAGAAGCCATTAACAACCAACCTTAAGATTAAACCAGGTGTGACACGGTTGGCTTAATCATGAGGGGAAACCATGGCTATAAAAGGGGAGGAAGAAGATGGAAGAGGGGTTACAAGACATAAGTGTCCAAGTAACCCTAAAGGAGGAACTACACGGACTAAGGAGAAAACCATCCAACCACCACTCCAAACCATGTTAGTTAGCATAAAAAACAACATAAAACTACTCTAGAATTAGTTTAGAAGATCAAGAAAAGGAGAAAGAAAATTCTTCATTTGAGTCAAAAGTTTGGAGGAAGAAGGAGGAGGATGATTCGAGCCATCTAGGTAGGGAATTAATCAAACTTCAAGTTAGGTAAGTGTAATCCTCACTACGAGTATAAGAAATTAGTGATTTTAATGTGTAATTAAGGTTAATTTGAAGTTTATTTGCTTGTGGTTTAATGGTTGAATTATTAGGGATGCTATTTTGTTGTTTGAATTAGATCGTTGTAATGATGTATATATGATTTTGATGTTAGAATTGTGATGTTTAGATGATTAATAGGACTAAATTTATGTGTTTTGATGTTGTCCTTGTTCTTAGAACAAGGTGTTCGGATGCCCTAAAACATGAATAAATTGGTGGTTTTAGAACTTAATGTTTATAAAGTGTTTGATGGAATACTTTAAGAGTGTTTATGGTGTTAAATTGGAAATATTGACACTTAGTCACTTTATGGAGAATTTTGGCCAAGTAAGATCAACGATGAAAAACATATTAGGTTAAGAGGTTAGAGGTAAAAATTCAAGATAAAATGATGAAATGAAAGTTGTCCTTCCATTGGCCTAGTTTAGGTTAAGAATGGAAACAAAGGAATAAGAGGTTAATGATAATTTTGAGATTTAGAGGTATAAAATGACATGAAAAATGATTATATTCATGTGAAAAATGGATAGGTTATGTTGCTTAAATAATTCAACCATGATGTGTTTAAGGCATGATTTATGATCATTGTTTAGTCATGTTTTCGCATGCATACTTGATTGATGTGGAAAATGTATTTGATTTATTATTTATGTTACATGTTTTTAAGATTTGAAAGTATGCATGTTGAGGTTTATGTTAATAAATTGCATTTATATTTAAATGTATTTGCATATCATAATCATGAAAGAGATTTTACATTCATGATTTTGATTAATGGAAAAAGAAAAAGAAAGGTTTTTAAAAAGGAACGGCTAGATACTTTCTTAAGGATATGGGAGAGGAATGATCACCCTCTTTTGAGGAAAGCAAAGACATGCTAAGGGAATGATTTGGTGTATACTTTTAGCATGTAAAGAATGCTAAAAGAATGATCTGGTGTAAACTCTTAACATGTAACGAAAAAAATGAAGACACGCTAAGGGAAAGATCTAATGTGTAGTGTGTAAAGAAAAATTTAATGAGAAGGTACTTAGAGCTTTTGTGAAGTTTTCACAATTGTATGTTTTTAAAAGATGACCGATTATATACACAATCGACAAGGTGTGTCCGAAGAGGAAAATGAATTTCAAAAGGCATGAAAATAATTTTTTAATGTATCACGTGCATTATATGCGTAAAAAGCATTACATGCGTTGCATGGATTATACTTATTGGGTATTGCTCACCTTTGTTTCTTATGGTGTAGGAGAAAAGAAAGATGAATAAGGACCATCGTCGAGAAATATTGAAGACTTGCCATATGTGTGCTTACTATGTAAAATGAGTGAGAAAACTTAAGTTTGGTTAATTTAATTTTTAGTTATGTATACTAGTGATAACTTAAGCAAATATGGTTTGTAATAATAAACGATATGATTTGAATGTTTAGTAAAGGTATTATGTTAGGTATTGTTCCATTACTTAACTTGATGGATTAATTGGTTATTTAATTAGTTAGAATGGCCTAAATGAGTTAATTGGTTAATAAAGGAATTAACTAAGAGTAAAATGGAGGTTTAAATAAATGATTACTTAATTTAGTAACTAAATAATTAATGGTAAAAAAAAATTTATGGAATTGAAATGGTTTGGCAAAAAGGATTAGTAAGAGCAAACCACTAAATGGAACTTAATGATTAATAAATAAATGAATTTAATGGATCGGTTTAATAGATCGATTTAAATAAATTTGCAACCAAAGCTCGATATGGACAAACATGTTTTAAATGGCCAAAACTCTAATTAAGAGTCCAAATGAATTACTTAAATGCATAATTGAATTAATGGAATGAATTCCTAGTCAATGGAATTTTTATAAAAATAATGGCATTAAATCTTGATTTAATGGGTTAGTACTATTCATTGATTATTTTCTAGTTAAATGCAATACATGATAATTAAATTATTTTTTTATATGAAAATAATGTCAAATAATCCTACTTTATGGTATGAAATATTTGGAAATTAAATAATCTTAAATTAAATTTTATATGAATTTCTAAAGGAAATTTGTGAAAAATAAGAGACATGATTCAAATTAGTTTAATATAAGGTATTTTATTTTAATGATTAATTTGGATTTTAAGAATATGGATTTTTGACCAAAATATGGAATTTAATATTTCTATACATGATGTAGGAATATTAATTGTTGTTAGTTGAATTTTTGATAAATTTTATACCTAAGTTTTATTTAATGTGAACCTATTTTATCTTATTGATTAGGGACCTCTTACGAAAAAGACCAATATGGTAATAAACTAAAAACATTAAGAAAAGAAACTTGTTGACTTGCATTCATAGCACTTTGAATATAAGTCAATGCTAGTAATACTCTCGGCCTATCTAGATTTTATGTTAGGGGTGTTACACAAATAAGCTAGTTCAAGTAATTTAATGAGGCTCACATGAGGAAACTATTTCTTAAGTTATCCTATCAGTTTAATATATCTAAATCAGGAAACTATTTTCTAATATTTTAGAAAACCCAAATTAGGAAACTATTCCCTAATTTTTTTTAGAAAACTCAATTTAGAAAACTATTTCCTAAATTATAAGAATTCCAATTTAGGAAACAAATTTTTATTTTAGGAAACTATTTCTAAATTAGAAAAATATTTCTAAAATTCGTTTAGTGCTTAAGGAATTGAAATAAATCATTTCAATTCCCTTTTTTTAATCTCAAACTAATCCTCGAGTTTAGAAAAAAATTAATTAAGTACCTCCATATACGATGCTAGATTCCAATAAAATTATATGCTTTTCCATAAAAAAAAAAAAAAAAAAAACGATGTCATTTTCTTAGATACCTTATGTTTTCCGTTGAAATTTTGTTGAAAGTTTTGATGAAAACTGAATTGTTTATTTTTTGTGGAATTCAATAGGGAAAAAAAAATTTGGGAACTCAATCAAGATATGAGTTGTTTAGGGACTAATTTGAAGTCTGCCCAATTTTATATTGGCAAGTTTTGCATGACGTGAGTTAGAGCAAAAAAAAAAAAAAAAATCTTAACAAGCTTAATTGTGTTTCTCTAGTCCTATGCAGTACATTTTTGTTCAGAAATTGTTTGGGGACTAATTTGTTTCTTTTTTTTTTTTTTTTTTGTTTAATAATTTTCTTATCTGTTCTGAATCTGATTAGTCCAGGCTGAGTTCAGGCAGCCTCCATATTCGTGAGTGACAGTTATTTCGTATACTCATGATTTTTCAGCACTTCCAACGGAGATTTCTTGTTTGGAAAGTATGTCAAATTGACAATATGACTTAAGGTTGCAATTAACAATTTTGTGCTGCAGAGACAAAAAATTCTGAAAAGATGTGTATAAAGACACAGTGTCTCATGAATCCAACAGAGGACAGGACCAGTGTTCTGCTATGGAATGATCCATCTCTTTACTCGGGGATGAACTTTTCAATGACATATATCCATGAAAGTTTCAGCAACATTGTTAAAACATAATAGGGCACACTATTATGCTTCCTGGTTTTGACTTTATTCTCTGAACAACCTAAAAGTAGATTAAAAATGGTTACAGTTGCTTTATCAAGAAGCTAGTTTGATTCCAATCGAGCCTCTTAAATTGAGATTTAAGGGGTTTCGAGCAGCAATGAGTCAGATATGTTTTTGGAATATGCTGCCGAAAAATCTGCTAGCTTCTTTGTAAAATCAGAGTAAGGTAAATCATCTAAAGGTCTTTCAGGCACAAAGGAAAGAAGCCTAAAGGTCCATTGCCATGCTCCTCGTAATTGGCATTGCTAATGCCATTGATAGGACGCAACCTTCAAGTCCATTTGGACCAGGTTCACGTAAAATTTTTTCATTTGGTCATATGTCTCGTTTGGCAATTCTTCAAATCTGATCAAATGCATTTCAGATTCTGGGAGAGAGACCACTTGCTGTTTTACAAACGTTCTTTACGCTATGGTGCTTAGAAAGTTTCAAGTAAAGGATAGATCCTTAGGAAGGTTATTTTTCCCAAGTAAGAGATAAATTACTGCCAAAGGAAAGAATATTAGTAGGAGTTTGCGTTGCCTTCACATGAATGTTAAATATTTAAGCAATCTTTTGGCTAGAAACATTGCCAAATCAAAATCCCTTTTACGGAAAAAATAACTTCACTCTCATCTCAACCATTTTCCCTATCAACCACATATACTCTCCACTTTGAAAAAATAACTTCACTCTCATCTCAACCATTTTCCCTATCTACCACTTATCCTCTCCAATCAAAAAGAAAATGGCAGAAACTTTTGCAACAGACATTGCCAAATCCCTTTTACGGAAGCTAGGCTCTTTTGCAGCTCGAGAATTTTGTTTGGCATGGGGACTGGAAGGTGGCCTTGCACGTCTTGAAGAGACATTGTCAGCCATCAATGCGGTTCTGTCGGATGCCGAGAGCAAACAATCACAAAATGACAGCATTAGGTTTTGGCTCCAGAAGCTGAAAGAAGTCTTGTATGATGCGGAGGACGTGCTGGATGAATTGGAGTGTGAAACTTAAAGAGAGCAGGTGGTGAAAACTAAAGAGAGCATCAGCAGAAAGGTACGAAGCTTCTTTTCAAGTTCTAATGTGATTGTATTCTGGTTAAGAATGAGTCATAAAATAAATGATCTCATCGACAGGCTGGTTGAGATTGCATCTCTTCAGCCTGACTGTAACCTCAACGAGCAGACTATTGATTATAGTCATGTCTTGCATGAGGAAACAGAGATGAGACCATCCTTTGAGAGCTTTTCCTGTCTTATCGGAAGAGACAAAGACGAAGAACGTATCATCAACCTTTTAGTAGAAACTTCTAAGCCTGATGATGCACATCCCTTTGTCATTCCAATAGTTGGAATGGGCGGCTTGGGGAAGACTGCTCTTGCCAAATCAGTGTATGATGATGGAAATGTAGACACTCATTTTGAACTGAAAATGATGGTGTGTGTTTCAGATGGTTTTAGTCTAAAACAAGTGATACCAAAAATGATTAAATCTGCAACTGGAGAAAAGTATAGTGATTTGGATGAGGGTGAACTGAGAGCAAAACTAGAAGCAATTTTGAATGGTAGGAAATATTTGCTTCTTTTGGATGATGTCTGGAATGAGGATTCCCAGAAATGGCTCTTATTATTGAAGTCTGTGTTATCAAAAGGTGCAATTGGAAGTAAAATTGTAGTAACTACCCGTAACAAACGTGTTGCTGAGATTATGGGTACTGTTCCTGCACACGACTTGAGTCTTCTTGATCAAAAAGACTGTCTGACTTTGTTTGATAAGTGTGCATTTAAGGACAAGCAGAAGGAACAATATCCAAATTTGGTGGAAATTAGGAAAGAAATAGTGAAAACGTGCAAGCAAGTTCCTTTGGCAGTGATTAACTTGGGAACTCAACTGTATGGTAAAACTGATGAAATAGAGTGGAAGTCAGCAAGAGATAGTGAGACATGGAAGGAAAAAGAAAATGGTATTTTACCTGTTTTAAAAATAAGTTATCAAAGACTGCCAATTCACTTGAAAAGGTGCTTTCTTTATTGTTCAATATTCCCAAAAGATTACCCATTTGCAGATGTCGAGTTGGTGCAATATTGGATGGCACATGGGCTCATTCAATCATCAAATCCAAATGAAGCCTTGGAAGATGTTGGCTTGCGGTATGTGCGTGAGTTGATCTCGAAATGTTTCTTCCAAGGTTTTGAGGAGACAATTCTTGCTGTTGTTTTCAAAATGCATGATTTAATGCATGATCTTGCATCATCATTAGCTCAAAATGAGTGTTCAATCATACTCTCTCAAAACAACCGAATTTCTAAAACCACCCTTCATTTGTCAGTTCTTGACTCTCATTCATTTTTACATCAAGCTCTTCCCATGTCACCAAATAAATTACATCGTGTGCGATCAGTTCTCTTTGATGGTAGTGATATAGAGGAGCCTAGATGCAAAACAGACTGTGGGAAATGTTTGATTGAATTTAAGCGTGTGCGGTCGTTGGAATTATTGGATGGTTGTGAATTGCTTCCAGAAAGGATTGGTGCCCTGAAGCATTTGAGATATTTTAATTTGGTTCGGAATTCAAAATTGAAAAGATTACCAAAATCTGTTTTCAAATTACAAAATCTGCAAGCTTTGCTTCTAGGTTATGGATTTGAAGAGCTGCCCGAAGATGTGAGGTACATGATCAGTCTTAGATTTTTATTTCTAATTACTAAGCAGAAGCGGTTGCCAGAAGGTGGGATTGGGTGCTTGAAATGTCTTCAAGTTTTATTCATCAGTATGTGTGATGATCTTGAATATTTGTGCGAAGATATGCAAGGTCTTAAAAGCCTTCGAAAATTAGGTATTGTTGGATGCAAAAGCTTGATCTCTTTGCCACGAAGCATGAAATACCTAACTGCACTAGAGTTTTTGGGCATTGTCGATTGTGAAAAGCTTGATTTGGCGACAATGGAGGAAGAGCACGAGAAAGAAATCAAACCACTTCGCCTTCAGACTGTAATATTTGCAGAGTTACCAGCAACACTAGCATTACCGAAACAGATTCTTCAAGGATCTGCAGACACCTTACAAACATTTATGATTGGAGACTGTCCAAACATTAGAGAATTGCCAGAGTGCATCAGCAATCTAAAGAAGCTTCAAAACCTTGAGATCAAAAGTTGCCCAACTTTGAGCCAAAGGTGCCAAAGGGAAACAGGAGAAGATTGGCCCAAGATCGCTCATATCCCTAAAATTGATGTTGACGATTATGACAACGATGAAGAAACATCTAATTAGGTACGAAATATCAGAATATAATTTTTTTATATTTGGTTTTACATTTTATCGATTCTTGAATTCCTTATGTCTTTTCTTTTTTTCAATGGAACCATTTTCTCCTCTTTTTTTCTTTCTATGAGTTTGCAATGCTGATTCTAGTCGATTTGACAAATCCTACGTGTGTTTTGGAGGGGTAGGTTTTGTAGAATTTCATCTGCTTTAACAGAGCAAAAGAGCAAGCTGGTATGGTGTTGTAAATTCTCATTAAAAGGTAACTAATTCATTCAGCAACATATTTAAATTTCTCTGAACTTGCTAACAATATTAAATTCTTTGTTTGTGTGATTTTTGCAGCTCTCATGTGGGTTTCTGCTGATGGTTGTTCGTTCAAATAAAGATGAAGAATGTGCACTGGAGTTTAGTTTCCTCTCGCGTGCTCTTCTCGTTGTCCCTTTTGGTGATTTATTAGGCTTTTCAATTGTTCGTTGCTGCTTTGGTTTCTTGTTCCAGTGCACTCTCATTGTTGATCTTTGTTTGATTTCTTGCTGTGAGGGTCCTGTTAGGTCTGATCTTCTACAACAATTGGTTACTTGAAGAGATTGACTTGAGGCTGGATGTGTCTGCTTTGTTTAATTCATCATACCTTAATTTTCTTAGTTAGCTGTCTGTGGCTTTCTGGGTTGCTTTCTAGCAGGCATCGTATTAGTTGTGGATAAACTGTAATTAATAAATTGATGAACTTTCAGTTGCTGTCACTTCATGCTTATATCTGATTCTTAATGATCTAATGATAAACATTTTCTAACAGATGGTACCATAATAGTTAGAACTAGATATGCTTCCAGTTCGCCATTATGATATGCAAGTTCTGTCTCTGCAATCTAAACTTGTGAGAAGGAGAAAGCTTTATGTAAAAATGTGTGCCAATTAGTCATCAAAGCAAACATTTCAAGCAACTAAGTCCTTACAAACAAGAGGGGGAAAAACAATCCAATCATGTTTCATTCTAACGTGAAGCAAATAAATCTAATTGGACTTTTCTCTGGAAAAGGGCGAAAAGAAAGTTGGCAAGAACTTTTGGTTGCAGGATATTATGGTGTTTTCCCCCAAAGATGTAATTGGTCTTTCCTGGTGCTACCTTGTTTCCTTGGTGGAATTTTGTGAGGTTCAAGAGGGGAAAGACTACTGGTAAATTTTCAGAAAATGAATGTGAGAAGATAGACCCAACTCTGGAAAAGGAATGAATGTGAGAAGTTAGATCGCCAGAAGACTAAGTAGGTTAAAAATGGTAACAGTTGCTTTATTGCTGAATTTGAACAAGATATCAGCAATTTTGTTGCAAGAAGACTAAGTAGGTTAAAAATGGTTAAATCACCATTGATTAAGCAAACCATAGCAAACGTATCTTTAGACAGATCATTAAAATCGGAAGTAGAACGAAGGCAATCAGACAACATTATCTGGAAATTGGTACACTCACATCATGGACTTTCCATCTAATTATTTCACTGACAAAAGCATATGAGAAAGCAACTTACTGTGGAAGGGCCATCCCTAATCGTATTCCAAAAAGCCAATCACTCTAATGGCAGATTTGGATGTAAGGGATGTGAGCTATCTTAGGCCAGTCCTCTCCTCTCACTCTCACACACCTCTTTTCCAGACCTGGACAATTTTCAACGATCAACTCTTTCAGCCTATTGAGACTCTGTATCCCGTCCGGCAAACACGTCAAATTAGGGCAACCCACAATCTCCAAGCGTGAAAGGGAGGTGAGATATCCAATATGATTTGACAGACAAGATAATCCATTGCAATGAGAGATTGTTAGAGATCGGAGAGAAGTGAGGTGTTGGATACTCTCTGGCAATGCATTCAACTCTGGACATGCATTAATGCTCAATGTCTCCAGTGCCGTCAGATGTCCAACTCCCTCAGATAGAATTTGAGAGGCAAATTTAGCAGAATTTATAACACGTAAGTTACGAAGAGAAGATAAGGCACACAATCCATTGGTTGGCAGAGAATTTAATCGATTGCAAAACCATACACCCAATGACTCCAAAGAACTGAGATTCTGGACACCTTCTGCCGGCAAGCTTTCAAGTTCATCACAATACCAAATATCCAAGGTTTTAAGAGAAGATAGGTTATCAAATATCTGATCTGACAATGACTGAAGATTTTGAAGAGAATGAATTCGCAAGTGCTGAAGGAATGTATGGTTTTGCAACAACCCATCGGGTAGAAGCTTTAAACTGGGAATGTATTCAATCTCAAGGGAGGTGAGCCTGTGGGAATATATGGCATTCGTCAACAACGCGACACTGACATCTCGAAAGACTAATTTTTTTGAGGGAGGGTATAATTGGCATTTCAACAAACATGGGGCAACCCTGCACCTTCAATTCGTTAAGGACGGGAAAACTCTCTCTTTCAGTGGCTGTTGCCCATACCTCTAAGCTCATCATCCAAACAAGAGTCAGGGTCTCGAGTGATGGGAATGGATTTTCCCCATCGCCATACACATCACTCCCAATACACTTCAGACCCTCCATTCTACGTAATTCAAGCTTCTTGAGGAACTGTAGTTTCCCAAATGGTGGAAGTTGTTCACAATTGTCACACCCTACTAGGCAGATTTCCACTAGATTTGGTACCAGCAAGTTGAAGTTCATCATCCAATTTGGAAATTCTGAACCTTCATATCCTCTTATCCTCAACTTCTTCAGATTTGGATGGGGTTGAAGGCCATCGAGGACTCCTTCAATGTTTTCCCGGATAACACTGGCTAAACTATAGTATCCTCCATTCCCATACCAAGACAAACTCAGTGATTGAAGATTTGCCTTCTGCATCAAATTGGCACTCTTGGCATCTGTTACATCTTTCACATTACCAATATTTGTTATGCTCAATTCGTTGCCGAGATAATTCAACCTCCCCAGCTCCCGTATATGATGACCATTTTCTTCACCCACGATGAACAAGCTAAGCTTTCGCAGGCGAGTCAATTGTCCCATTCCAGCAGGCATGCGACGGAGTGAATCACAATCTCTGAGGTCAAGATACATGAGATTTTTCATGTCCTTCATACCTTTCGGTAACTTGAGCAGCGTCCAGGCAGTCTCTCAAATTCAGAGTTTGCAAGTTTTGGAGGGAGGTGATTGATTCAGGTAGTGTCTTGATGGAGGAGCCGGAGACATCCAGATACCTTAGCTGTTTCAAACTACAAACGGACTGAGACACTTTCTTAACATCAGAGAAAATAACTTATATCCAAGACTCTTAGATGCTTCTGTTTAGACAAGCACAAGTCAAGAATTTTACTCATCCCCAATTCATACCTACCAAAATCTCGATGCAGAAACAAAGATCGCAATGATTGGACATGGAGACATTTATGATCAGAGCAAGTACCATATCCCTTCCAAAAACCCACATGACGAACTGTGTTTGAAATGCCCTCCTTGCTGTTGTGCTCGACCGAACAACATTCATGCATCATAATAGATTGTGCAAGATCATGCATAAAATCATGCATCTTACATGTTATGTTGCCTTCTTCATCCTCCTCAACCTCTTGAAAAAATGATCTGCCCACTAATTCACTAAAAATCTCCTGGCCCTTGTCATGCAAATCCATTTGCCCTTTGCAAGAAATGAAGCCATTTGCCATCCACACAGCTATCAGCCAGTCCTTCTCGATGACGTGATCTTTGGGGAATATAGAGCAAAATGCAAAGCATTGCCTCAAATGCGGTGGAAGGTTAGTATAACTTAACCTCAAGGCAGGCAAAATCTCTTTCTCCTCTTCCTGTAAATCCCAAATCTCACTCTCTTTGATAGATAACCACTCACTTTCTTTTTTCTTCAAGCACATCAGCTTTCCAAGTGCCTTTATAGCCAAAGGAACCCCATGGCACTTGTTCACTATTTCTCTCCCAATTGCCTCCAATTTTACATAGTCTTCTCTCCTTTTCATCCCAAATGCAAATCGCTCGAACAAAAGCCAAGAATCATCATCAGATAACCTCTCCATGTGCAGAGCTAAAATTGGATCCAGACGAAGAGCAACCATCTCAATACGGGTAGTTATCAAAACAGCACTACCTTTAGCTCCACACCTTAGCAAGTCCTTCAGACTATTCCAATTATCAACGAACTCATCCCACACATCATCCAATACAAGCAGAAACTTCTTTCCACTTAGCTTGTCGTGGAGACGTTGCTGCAAGATTTCCAACTCTTTAACATCACAAGTGCTCTTTTCAATGGACTCTATCATGACTCTTACCAACCTTCTTATAGCAGAATCATCAGAGACGCACACCCAGATTGTCAAATCAAAATGCTCTTTTACCCTTCCTTCGTTGTAGATCAATTGAGCAACCGTTGTTTTACCAAGGCCGCCCATCCCACATATAGCATAAACCGAGAGATCACCTGAATTGTTAACCAGTGAATTGATTAGCTCTTCTTTCTCCTGCTTTCTTCCATAAATTTCTGATTCATTCACCCGAGACCAGGTCTGACGCCAATCAAAACTATCTACTTCGTTGTCCCCAGCTCCCACTGTTAGGTGAAAGTTTTTCTCCTTAACAATGGCTTCTAACTTTTCTCTTACATTCTTCAATCTATGTGCCATTTTTAGTCGAAAGCAAATAGGATTCTGATTCTTGGAGAAGAAAGATCTTACTTGGCTTTTAAGATCGCCTTGCTGTCCACGCCTTTGAACTTCAATTTCGAACTCATCAATCACATCCTCTGCATCATAAGCTGCATCCTTGAGCTTCCTGAGCCAATTCTTCACAGCAGCACTCTTCCACTGTTTTTCCTCTGCATCCAGAAGAACAGCTTGAATCGTACTCAGTGTGCTTTCGAGATTCTCAAGATCAGATTTTAGGCCCGAAGCAAGTCCAACCTCTTCAAATGCTCGTGAAGTGAGCTTCTCCAAGATTGGACCCACAAGAGCAGAAACAAGTGCATCAGCCATAACTTGCTTGCCTAAGAACAAACAGAACCTTTGCACCAAGAAACTGAAAACCAGCAGCGAAAACTTTAATGGCAGCTGGGAAGTCTGCAAGAGGTGGTAACTAATGTTTCAGTATTGCTACAGTGAGTGCACACTTTTCTTGTATTAAATTCAACAAATGTCTTTGCTTTCCTTGCCTTTTTCCTAGATATTTTCTTCCTTGTTATTTAACGGTAATGAAAGTTCCTTCCCTTTACTTTAGTGACAAGAGGGCATCTTCTTCCATGGCTGGCTCCACACGGTATTGACTGGCTTCACCTTCTAAATTCTCTTTCTAATATAGCCTCTCTATTTATTTTTTTTCTATTTAGTTTCTTTATTCTTGATTTTTTTTTTTAATGTGATTTTCTGATTCCATTGACTTTTCCTTATGTGGACATGTGTTAAAAATATAGAATCGTGCTCTCGAAACTTTTGAAAAATAAAAGAAAAATTTAAAAAAAAATTTGAGAAATACTAGAAAAAATCAAAATAATAATTTTGAAATTCCTAAGGAATTTGAAAAAAAAAAAGAAAAAGGAAATTGAAAAGCCTTTAGAAAAAATAGAATATTTTAAGTATTTTTAAAAATAAAAATAAGTTAAATCACTATTCTTTTTTATTTTCATTTCAAAATTTTTACTGTAAAAAATTTAAAATTAAAGAATTTGAAAATATAAGAATGACCAATTATAAAAAAATAATAATAATAATAAAAAACTAGATTTGAAAAAACAAAGGTTAAAAGTTACCCTTCATTGAAAAATAATTAAATAAATAAGAGTGACTTAACAAATTTATATTTTTCTCTTTCATGACGAAAAAATATTTAAAATACTCCTTTATTTTCTAAAGGCTTTTCAATTTCCATTTTCGATGTTTTAATATAATAGTTTTTCACATTTCTTATGAATTTTCAACATTTTTTATTTTGATTTTTTCTAATATTTCTCAATTTTTATTTTTCTAATATTTCTCAATTTTCTATGTTTCATTTTCTTCTCATATTAATTGGACCCACACGGTTTTGACTTGGTTAATTCACCAAAATCTCTTTCAGGATTGGGTCAGTTAGATGGAAGATGTAAAGAAAATGCATTAATAGCATATTTAGTCCCTCTTTGACATTTCCTTAATGCACCCTCTCTACTCTTTGTTTTTATTTGGTCCTTTTATTCTACACATTATTTTAATATGGTCCATCCATATGATTCCATCAGTTTTTTTAGTCATTTGGACACATGAAACCTAAATATGATGACTAAGTGGTAATGATAAATGGTACATAACTGGAGTATTTGTTCGAATCTTTAAATTATATATTTATGAGTACGTTACATAAGTGAGTAATTATATAGTTGTATTTAATTTTTAGTTTAAATATCTATAAATAAAAAATTGAGTGAAAAAACAAAGATAAATAAACTCTACTTGATTGAAAAATTAAAAAACTATATAATTCTTAAGGATATTGGAGAGGAATGATCACCTTCTTTTGAGGAAAGCAAAGACATGCTAAGGGAATGATTTGGTGTGTACTCTTAGCATTTAAAGAATGCTAAAAGAATGATCCGGTGTAAACTCTTAACATGTAAAGAAAAAAATGAAGACACGCTAAGGGAAAGATCTAATGTGTAGTGTGTAAAGAAAAATTTAATGAGAAGGTACTTAGAGCTTTTGTGAAGTTTTCACAATTGTATGTTTTTAAAAGAGGACCGATTATATACACAATCGGCAAGGTGTGTCCGAAGAGGAAAATGAATTTCAAAATGCACGAAAATAATTTTTTAATGTATCACGTGCATTATATGCGTAAAAGGCATTACATGCGTTGCATGGATTATACTTACTGGGTATTGCTCACCTTTGTTTTTTATGGTGTAGGAGAAAAGAAAGATGGATAAAGACCATCGTCGAGAAATATTGAAGACTTGCCATATGTGTGCTTACTATGTAAAATGAGTGAGAAAACTTAACTTTGGTTAATTTAATTTTTAGTTATGTATACTAGTGATAACTTAAGCAAATATGGTTTGTAATAATAAACGATATGATTTGAATGTTTAGTAAAGGTATTATGTTAGGTATTGTTCCATTACTTAACTTGATGGATTAATTGGTTATTTAATTAGTTAGAATGGCCTAAATGAGTTAATTGGTTAATAAAGGAATTAACTAAGAGTAAAATGGAGGTTTAAATAAATGATTACTTAATTTAGTAACTAAAGAATTAATAGTAAAAAAAAAATTATGGAATTGAAATTGTTTGGCAAAAAGGATTAGTAAGAGCAAACCACTAAATGGAACTTAATGATTAATGAATAAATGAATTTAATGGATCGGTTTAATAGATCGATTTAAATAAATTTGCAACCAAAGCTCGATATGGACAAACATGTTTTAAATGACCAAAACTCTAATTAAGAGTCCAAATGAATTACTTAAATGCATAATTGAATTAATGGAATGAATTCCTAGTCAATGGAATTTTTATAAAAATAATGGCATTAAATCTTGATTTAATGGGTTAGTACTATTCCTTGATTATTTTCTAGTTAAATGCAATACATGATAATTAAATTATTTTTTTATATGAAAATAATGTCAAATAATCCTACTTTATGGTATGAAATATTTGGAAATTAAATAATCTTAAATTAAATTTTATATGAATTTCTAAAGGAAATTTGTGAAAAATAAGAGACATGATTCAAATTAGTTTAATATAAGGTATTTTATTTTAATGATTAATTTGGATTTTAAGAATATGGATTTTTGACCAAAATATGGAATTTAATATTTCTATACATGATGTAGAAATATTAATTATTGTTAGTTGAATTTTTGATAAATTTTATACCTAAGTTTTATTTAATGTGAACCTATTTTATCTTATTGATTAGGGACCTCTTACGAAAATGCCCAATATGGTAATAAACTGAAAACATTAAGAAAAGAAACTTGCTGGTTTGCATTCATTGCACTTTGAATGTAAGTCAATGCTAGTAATACTCTCGGCCTATCTAGATTTTATGTTAGGGGTGTTACACAAATAAGCTAGGTCAAGTAATTTAATGAGGCTCACATGAGGAAACTATTTCTTAAGTTACCCTATCGGTTTAGTATATCTAAATTAGGAAACTATTTCCTAATATTTTAGAAAACCCAAATTATGAAACTATTTCCTAATTTTTTTTAGAAAACTCAATTTAGAAAATTATTTCCTAAATTATAAGAATTCCAATTTAGGAAACAAATTTTTATTTTAGGAAACTATTTCTATAATTCTTTTAGTGTTTAAGGAATTGAAATAAATCATTTCAATTCCCTTTTTTTAATCTCAAACTAATCCTCGAGTTTAGGAAAAAAATCAATTAAGTACCTCCATATAGGTTGATGGATTCCAATAAAACTATATGCTTTTCCATTAAAAAAAAAAAGATGTCATTTTTTTAGAGAACTTATGTTTTCCGTTGAAATTTTGTTGAAAGTTTTGATGAAAACTGAATTGTTTACTTTTTTTGTGGAATCCAATAGGAAAAAAAGAAGTTTGGGAACTCAATTGAGATATGAGTTGTTTGAGGACTAATTTGAAGTCTGCCCAATTTTATATTGGCAAGTTTTGCATGACGTGAGTTAGAGAAGAAGAAAAAAAAAAAAAAAACCTTCTCTTAACAAGCTTAATTGTGTTTCTCTTAACAAGCTTAATCCCACTTGTACATTTTTGTTCAGAAATTGTTTGGGGACTAATTTGTTTGTTTCTTTTTTTTTTCTTTTTTAATAATTTTCTTATCTGTTCTGAATCTGATTAGTCGAGGCTGAGTTTAGGCAGCCTCCATATTCCTGAGTGACAGTTATTTCGTATACTCATGATTTTTCAGCACTTCCAACGGAGATTTCTTGTTTGGAAAGTATGTCAAATTGACATTATGACTTAAGGTTGCAATTAACAATTTTGTGCTGCAGAGACAAAAAATTCTGAAAAGATGTGTATAAAGACAGTGTCTCATGAATCCAACAGAGGACAGGACCAGTGTTCTGCTATGGAATGATCCATCTCTTTACTCGGGGATGAACTTTTCAATGACATATATCCATGAAAGTTTCAGCAACATTGTTAAAACATAATAGGGCACACTATTATGCTTCCTGGTTTTAACTTTATGCTCTGAACAACCTGAAAGTAGATTAAAAATGGTTACAGTTGCTTTATCAAGAAGCTAGTTTGATTCCAATCGAGCCTCTTAAATTGAGATTTAAGGCGTTTCGAGCAGCAATGAGTCAGATATGTTTTTGGAATATGCTGCCGAAAAATCTGCTAGCTTCTTTGTAAAATCAGAGTAAGGTAAATCATCTAAAGGTCTTTCAGGCACAAAGGAAAGGAGCCTAAAGGTCCATTGCCATGCTCCTCGTAATTGGCATTGCTAATGCCATTGATAGGACGCAACCTTCAAGTTCATTTGGACCAGGTTCACGTAAAATTTTTTCATTTGGTCATATGTCTCGTTTGGCAATTCTTCAAATCTGATCAAATGCATTTCAGATTCTGGGAGAGAGACCACTTGCTGTTTTACAAACGTTCTTTACGCTATGGTGCTTAGAAAGTTTCAAGTAAAGGATAGATCCTTAGGAAGGTTATTTTTCCCAAGTAAGAGATAAATTACTGCCAAAGGAAAGAATATTAATAGGAGTTTGCGTTGCCTTCACATGAATGCTAAATATTTAAGCAATCTTTTGGCTAGAGATCAAGACGTATGCCTCTTTGAAAAAATAACTTCACTCTCATCTCAACCATTTTCCCTATCAACCACATATACTCTCCACTTTGAAAAAATAACTTCACTCTCATCTCAACCATTTTCCCTATCTACCACTTATCCTCTCCAATCAAAAAGAAAATGGCAGAAACTTTTGCAACAGACATTGCCAAGTCCCTTTTACGGAAGCTAGGCTCTTTTGCAGCTCGACAATTTTGTTTGGCATGGGGACTGGAAGGTGGCCTTGCACGTCTTGAAGAGATATTGTCAGCCATCAATGCGGTTCTGTCGGATGCCGAGAGGAAACAATCACAAAATGACAGCATTAGGTTTTGGCTCCAGAAGCTGAAAGAAGTCTTGTATGATGCGGAGGACGTGCTGGATGAATTGGAGTGTGAAACTTTGCGAAGGCAGGTGGTGAAAACTAAAGAGAGCATCAGCAGAAAGGTACGAAGCTTCTTTTCAAGTTCTAATGTGATTGTATTCTGGTTAAGAATGAGTCATAAAATAAATGATCTCATCGACAGGCTGGTTGAGATTGCATCTCTTCAGCCTGACTGTAACCTCAACGAGCAGGCTATTGATTATAGTCATGTCTTGCATGAGGAAACAGAGATGAGACCATCCTTTGAGAGCTTTTCCGGTCTTATCGGAAGAGACAAAGACAAAGAACGTATCATCAACCTTTTAGTAGAAACTTCTAAGCCTGATGATGCACATCCCTTTGTCATTCCAATAGTTGGAATGGGCGGCTTGGGGAAGACTGCTCTTGCCAAATCAGTGTATGATGATGGAAATGTAGACACTCATTTTGAACTGAAAATGATGGTGTGTGTTTCAGATGGTTTTAGTCTAAAACAAGTGATACCAAAAATGATTAAATCTGCAACTGGAGAAAAGTATAGTGATTTGGATGAGGGTGAACTGAGAGCAAAACTAGAAGCAATTTTGAATGGTAGGAAATATTTGCTTCTTTTGGATGATGTCTGGAATGAGGATTCCCAGAAATGGCTCTTATTATTGAAGTCTGTGTTATCAAAAGGTGCAATTGGAAGTAAAATTGTAGTAACTACCCGTAGCAAACGTGTTGCTGAGATTATGGGTACTGTTCCTGCACACGACTTGAGTCTTCTTGATCAAAAAGACTGTCTGACTTTGTTTGATAAGTGTGCATTTAAGGAAAAGCAGAAGGAACAATATCCAAATTTGGTGGAAATTAGGAAAGAAATAGTGAAAACGTGCAAGCAAGTTCCTTTGGCAGTGATTAACTTGGGAACTCAACTGTATGGTAAAACTGATGAAATAGAGTGGAAGTCAGCAAGAGATAGTGAGACATGGAAGGAAAAAGAAAATGGTATTTTACCTGTTTTAAAAATAAGTTATCAAAGACTGCCAATTCACTTGAAAAGGTGCTTTCTTTATTGTTCAATATTCCCAAAAGATTACCCATTTGCAGATGTCGAGTTGGTGCAATATTGGATGGCACATGGGCTCATTCAATCATCAAATCCAAATGAAGCCTTGGAAGATGTTGGCTTGCGGTATGTGCGTGAGTTGATCTCGAAATGTTTCTTCCAAGGTTTTGAGGAGACAATTCTTGCTGTTGTTTTCAAAATGCATGATTTAATGCATGATCTTGCATCATCATTAGCTCAAAATGAGTGTTCAATCATACTCTCTCAAAACAACCGAATTTCTAAAACCACCCTTCATTTGTCAGTTCTTGACTCTCATTCATTTTTACATCAAGCTCTTCCCATGTCACCAAATAAATTACATCGTGTGCGATCAGTTCTCTTTGATGGTAGTGATATAGAGGAGCCTAGATGCAAAACAGACTGTGGGAAATGTTTGATTGAATTTAAGCGTGTGCGGTCGTTGGAATTATTGGATGGTTGTGAATTGCTTCCAGAAAGGATTGGTGCCCTGAAGCATTTGAGATATTTTAATTTGGTTCGGAATTCAAAATTGAAAAGATTACCAAAATCTGTTTTCAAATTACAAAATCTGCAAGCTTTGCTTCTAGGTTATGGATTTGAAGAGCTGCCCGAAGATGTGAGGTACATGATCAGTCTTAGATTTTTATTTCTAATTACTAAGCAGAAGCGGTTGCCAGAAGGTGGGATTGGGTGCTTGAAATGTCTTCAAGTTTTATTCATCAGTATGTGTGATGATCTTGAATATTTGTGCGAAGATATGCAAGGTCTTAAAAGCCTTCGAAAATTAGGTATTGTTGGATGCAAAAGCTTGATCTCTTTGCCACGAAGCATGAAATACCTAACTGCACTAGAGTTTTTGGGCATTGTCGATTGTGAAAAGCTTGATTTGGCGACAATGGAGGAAGAGCACGAGAAAGAAATCAAACCACTTCGCCTTCAGACTGTAATATTTGCAGAGTTACCAGCAACACTAGCATTACCGAAACAGATTCTTCAAGGATCTGCAGACACCTTACAAACATTTATGATTGGAGACTGTCCAAACATTAGAGAATTGCCAGAGTGCATCAGCAATCTAAAGCAGCTTCAAAACCTTGAGATCAAAAGTTGCCCAACTTTGAGCCAAAGGTGCCAAAGGGAAACAGGAGAAGATTGGCCCAAGATCGCTCATATCCCTAAAATTGATGTTGACGATTATGACAACGATGAAGAAACATCTAATTAGGTATGAAATATCAGAATATAATTTTTTTATATTTGGTTTTACATTTTATCGATTCTTGAATTCCTTATGTCTTTTCTTTTTTTAATGGAACCATTTTCTCCTCTTTTTTTCTTTCTATGAGTTTGCAATGCTGATTCTAGTCGATTTGACAAATCCTACGTGTGTTTTGGAGGGGTAGGTTTTGTAGAATTTCATCTGCTTTAACAGAGCAACAGAGCAAGCTGGTATGGTGTTGTAAATTCTCATTAAAAGGTAACTAATTCATTCAGCAACATATTTAAATTTCTCTGAACTTGCTAACAATATTAAATTCCTTGTTTGTGTGATTTTTGCAGCTCTCATGTGGGTTTCTGCTGATGGTTGTTCGTTCAAATAAAGATGAAGAATGTGCACTGGAGTTTAGTTTCCTCTCGCGTGCTCTTCTCGTTGTCCCTTTTGGTGATTTATTAGGCTTTTCAATTGTTCGTTGCTGCTTTGGTTTCTTGTTCCAGTGCACTCTCATTGTTGATCTTTGTTTGATTTCTTGCTGTGAGGGTCCTGTTAGGTCAGATCTTCTACAAGAATTGGTTCCTTGAAGAGACTGACTTGAGGCTGGATGTGTCTGCTTCGTTTAATTCATCATGCCTTAATTTTCTTAGTTAGCTGTTTGTGGCTTTCTGGGTTGCTTTCTAGCAGGCATCGTATTAGTTGTCATTAATAAATTGATGAACGTTCAGATGTTATCACTTCATGTTTGTATCTGATTCTTAATGATCAAATAATAAACATTTTCACACACACAGCACCATAATGTTTGGTCTTTCATTGGCACCGAAGTCACACGAAATAAAAGATATTCAGAACCAGATATGCTTCCAGTTCTATCTAAATCTGTTCCTCCTTCCCTCTTCTTTTCTGTGTACAGCTGAATGCTGAGAACTATAAGGAGACGTTCTTGTTGCTATCGTCCTGCTGCTGTAGAGGAGGCATGGGTGATTAGTGTAAATTCTGTTCTAAATTCTATATTCTTGCTCTTAACCCCTGATTAATGATACTCTTAATTTGATGATCTGGATTCTGGAGGTATTTCACATTTGCTTTTATGTCGTCATGTGCATATTTGAACAAGAAGATGTTCTTTCCTGATGTCATTTCTACATAAAATTTAAAAATTATCAAAGGCTATCAAAACAGATAGGATTTTGAACTTTTTTAGAGGATTAGATGTTCTGATAGGATTGAATCATTTATACGACTGCTAAAGTCTGCTACCAAATGGTAAAAACAGAGTAAACAACAACCAAAAGACAAATTCGTCACCAAATGGCAGTATATGAATAAAACACAATTAATCAACTTAAACTCAACCTTTTTTGCACAAAAATAGAGTTTGTATCTCCATTAGTATATTTATTTAACAGCAAGGAAAATAAAACTTGGAATTCATTTTCTGAAATATTGCAGGAGTTGTTATTCCTTTTACTTGAAAACTGGCTGCAGACTATTGTTGACAGAGTTGTGTTCATCAATTTGTGTTTAGATCAGCTAGGTGACCCCAAGTGGAAAAAGTTATTAAAAAGAATATATATATATATATATACCCAATGAAATCGATTATAAGAATCCAAAAATCTTAAAAGGTAATCTTCAACAATATATTAGAAATATTACAAAAAAAAAAAAAAAAAAAAGGATTTTCGGTCATTGAGGTAACAAACTAACAATTACATTATCAAAGGCTATTGAAGGTTCTGAGGCCTCATCAAAGGCTATCAAAGTGGATATCACATTTTCCATCAGGTAGCAAGCAGATGCCTGATCAGCTCTAGAATGAGGCTCATGAAAAGACAAGTCACACTGCTGCAAGTTAATGCCTGACAGAATTCCATAGCATTGCATTCTACTGCTCATCAACCAGTCGAGAGATATTTTTGGAACATTTTATCCACAGCTGTGACCTAATGCAATACACTAGAAAGAATCAGTTGATGATGCAAAAACACAATAATAATATCAAGATATGATGAAATACTAGAAAGCTACCTAACAGGAACATTCAGGGGACCAGATGGGTATGGATGACGAGTTATTGCTGCAAATCATACCAGAAGACCCTTGAAGAAATGAATTTGCACCAGAAGTAAGAAGCTAGTCATCTGCACCACAACAAAAAATTAACTGACCAAATCCGATTCAATTGCAGTATGTGTCATAGATTCTAAATCTGACTTACAACAACTTATCGTCATTGAATGTGCAAACCATAGAGGTACACTTACATAAACCATGAAAAGTAGAACGGGGCAACCAAACATCATTATCGTTATGTTTCAATGCATGTAAGGTTATGCCTTTGGAATTGCCGATGTGAATGAGTAAATAAAAAATAGATAATTTGCATGCATTTAACCTCAATTTCAACAGCACTTAAGTAGTATCGTTGTTAGAGGAAGAGTACTCCAGTAATCATGTGAAGTCAGGAATGATAAAATTTATAATCACTCATTCTTCCAATTTAAAGAGCATTTAATAATTTCACCTAAAGAAAATTTACAAGCAAGAAAATTACTACAGAAATGAGCATGTTATCAAAGATGGATACTCTCTGGCAATGAAATCAACTCTGAACATTCATAAGATGCAAATCCTTTTCAATATTCTGTTTGCTTTTGTAAGCTTTATAGAACGGTTAGCTACTTTGTTCGTTTTTTATTAACGAAACAACTTCATTCCTCCAAAAAAAAAAAAAAAACCCGGGATCCCGCACTGATCAGATAAACTTTTATGATTTGAGGGGAACCACACCAAAATAAGAATACACAGACAGAAAGTACTAGCTTACTGTGCACACATTCAGAATTGAAACCATAAACTCAACAAGCCTTAAAAAATGTGATTAGAATCATTAATCAATTGATGCAACCTCAGTCAAAAACAATATAGAAAAAGAACTCACCCTTATCATATGCAAAGCCTAACCAGGTATCTACATTGAGTTTCTTGACCAGAAGCAGATCCATACTGCATATTCAAAAAGCTTGTCAAGCCCACCATGCTAGAGTTCAGTAATTATGACCAAGCCCTCAAATCTTGGCCTTGGTAGTAACCATACTTCCATTATAATTCATTCATGACCATGCATTTCCATCAAGTAGCATGCAAACACCCAATCAGCTACAGAATGAGGCTCATGGGAAAAACAAGATCCTCGAAAGAATTTGATTGCTGCAATCTCCACTGCTCATCAACATGTACAGAAAGATATTTTTGGAATATTTTATCCACCATCTCTGAACCTATCCAACAGTAAATAGAATCAAAAGTTATTTCCAAAACACATTAACAAAGTCAAGATATGAAATACTAGAATGCTACCTAACAGGAACATTGAGAGACCAGATGGAGATGACGAGTTACTGCCACAAACCATGCCAGAAGATCCTCAAAGATGGGTAAGTAACAGACATGCTGTCATCTGTACTGTTGTTAGAGTAATGCAATCATGGTCAAGCCCTGAAATGTCAAGATAAATAGAATCAGAAGTCGATTGCAAAAATGTCAAGGTAAGAAAAATAGTGGCAAGAAAGCTACCTAACAGGACCACTGAGGGAACGAAAAGATCATAAAAGCAATATTTAAATGATCAATCCTCTTGAAAAGAAGTATGTATAAGAGAATATAAATTTGAGTTACAGCTTATCATCATTTACACAAACATAAAAGCTAGAACAGGGCAATCAGAGGCAGCATTATGTGGAATTGCAAGTACACTCAGAATCAAAATTGCTGATAATCACCCACCCTTACAATTAACACAGCAAGGAAAAGAAGGAAAATAATGAAAGTTAGATCGCCAGAAGACTAAGTAGGTTAAAAATGGTTACAGTTGCTTTATTGCAGAATTTGAACAAGAAATCAGCAATTTTGTTGCAAGAAGACTATGTAGGTTAAAAATGGTTAAATCACCATTGATTATGCAAACCATAGCAAATGTATCTTTAGACAGATCATTAAAATCGGAAGTAGAACGAAGGCAATCAGACAACATTATCTGGAAATTGGTACACTCACATCATGGACTTTCCATCTAATTATTTCACTGACAAAAGCATATGAGAAAGCAACTTACTGTGGAAGGGGCATCCCTAATCGTATTCCAAAAAGCCAATCACTCTAATGGCAGATTTGGATGTAAGGGATGTGAGCTATCTTAGGCCAGTCCTCTCCTCTCACTCTCACACACCTCTTTTCCAGACCTGGACAATTTTCAACGATCAACTCTTTCAGCCTATTGAGACTCTGTATCCCGTCCGGCAAACACATCAAATTAGGGCAACCCACAATCTCCAAGCGTGAAAGGGACGTGAGATATCCAATATGATTTGAAAGACAAGATAATCCATCGCAATGAGAGATTGTTAGAGATCGGAGAGAAGTGAGGTGTTGGATACTCTCTGGCAATGCATTCAACTCTGGACATGCATTAATGCTCAATGTCTCCAGTGCCGTCAGATGTCCAACTCCCTCAGATAGAATTTGAGAGGCAAATTTAGCAGAATTTATAACACGTAAGTTACGAAGAGAAGATAAGGCACACAATCCATTGGTTGGCAGAGAATTTAATCGATTGCAAAACCATACACCCAATGACTCCAAAGAACTGAGATTCTGGACACCTTCTGCCGGCAAGCTTTCAAGTTGATCACAATACCAAATATCCAAGGTTTTAAGAGAAGATAGGTTATCAAATATCTGATCTGACAATGACTGAAGATTTTGAAGAGAATGAATTCGCAAGTGCTGAAGGAGTGTATGGTTTTGCAACAACCCATCGGGTAGAAGCTTTAAACTGGGAATGTATTCAATCTCAAGGGAGGTGAGCCTGTGGGAATATATGGCATTCGTCAACAACGCGACACTGACATCTCGAAAGACTAATTTTTTTGAGGGAGGGTATAATTGGCATTTCAACAAACATGGGGCAACCCTGCACCTTCAATTCGTTAAGGACGGGAAAACTCTCTCTTTCAGCAGCTGTTACCCATACCTCTAAGCTCATCATCCAAACAAGAGTCAGCGTCTCGAGTGATGGGAATGGATTTTCCCCATCGCCATACACATCACTCCCAATACACTTCAGACCCTCCATTCTACGTAATTCAAGCTTCTTGAGGAACTGTAGTTTCCCAAATGGTGGAAGTTGTTCACAATTGTCACACCCTAGTAGGCAGATTTCCACTAGATTTGGTACCAGCAAGTTGAAGTTCATCATCCAATTTGGAAATTCTGAACCTTCATATCCTCTTATCCTCAACTTCTTCAGATTTGGATGGGGTTGAAGGCCATCGAGGACTCCTTCAATGTTTTCCCGGATAACACTGGCTAAACTATAGTATCCTCCATTCCCATACCAAGACAAACTCAGTGATTGAAGATTTGCCTTCTGCATCAAATTGGCACTCTTGGCATCTGTTACATCTTTCACATTACCAATATTTGTTATGCTCAATTCGTTGCCGAGATAATTCAACCTCCCCAGCTCCCGTATATGATGACCATTTTCTTCACCCACGATGAACAAGCTAAGCTTTCGCAGGCGAGTCAATTGTCCCATTCCAGCAGGCATGCGACGGAGTGAATCACAATTTCTGAGGTCAAGATACATGAGATTTTTCACGTCCTTCATACCTTTCGGTAACTTGAGCAGCGCCGGGCAGTATCTCAAATTCAGAGTTTGCAAGTTTTGGAGGGAGGTGATTGATTCAGGTAGTGTCTTGATGGAGGAGCAGGAGACATCAAGATACCTTAGCTGTTTCAAACTACAAACGGACTGAGACACTTTCTTAACATCAAGAAAATAACTTATATCCAAGACTCTTAGATGCTTCTGTTTAGACAAGCACAAGTCAAGAATTTTACTCATCCCCAATTTATACCTACCAAAATCTCGATGCAGAAACAAAGATCGCAATGATTGGACATGGAGACATTTATGATCAGAGCAAGTACCATATCCCTTCCAAAAACCCACATGACGAACTGTTTTTGAAATGCCCTCCTTGCTGTTGTGCTCGACCGAACAACATTCATGCATCATAATAGATTGTGCAAGATCATGCATAAAATCATGCATCTTACATGTTATGTTGCCTTCTTCATCCTCCTCAACCTCTTGAAAAAATGATCTGCCCACTAATTCACTAAAAATCTCCTGGCCCTTGTCATGCAAATCCATTTGCCCTTTGCAAGAAATGAAGCCATTTGCCATCCACACAGCTATCAGCCAGTCCTTCTCGATGACGTGATCTTTGGGGAATATAGAGCAAAATGCAAAGCATTGCCTCAAATGCGGTGGAAGGTTAGTATAACTTAACCTCAAGGCAGGCAAAATCTCTTTCTCCTCTTCCTGTAAATCCCAAATCTCACTCTCTTTGATAGATAACCACTCACTTTCTTTTTTCTTCAAGCACATCAGCTTTCCAAGTGCCTTTATAGCCAAAGGAACCCCATGGCACTTGTTCACTATTTCTCTCCCAATTGCCTCCAATTTTACATAGTCTTCTCTCCTTTTCATCCCAAATGCAAATCGCTCGAACAAAAGCCAAGAATCATCATCAGATAACCTCTCCATGTGCAGAGCTAAAATTGGATCCAGACGAAGAGCAACCATCTCAATACGGGTAGTTATCAAAACAGCACTACCTTTAGCTCCACACCTTAGCAAGTCCTTCAGACTATTCCAATTATCAAAGAACTCATCCCACACATCATCCAATACAAGCAGAAACTTCTTTCCACTTAGCTTGTCGTGGAGACGTTGCTGCAAGATTTCCAACTCTTTAACATCACAAGTGCTCTTTTCAATAGACTCTATCATGACTCTTACCAACCTTCTTATAGCAGAATCATCAGAGACGCACACCCAGATTGTCAAATCAAAATGCTCTTTTACCCTTCCTTCGTTGTAGATCAATTGAGCAACCGTTGTTTTACCAAGGCCGCCCATCCCACATATAGCATAAACCGAGAGATCACCTGAATTGTTAACCAGTGAATTGATTAGCTCTTCTTTCTCCTGCTTTCTTCCATAAATTTCTGATTCATTCACCCGAGACCAGGTCTGACGCCAATCAAAACTCTCTACTTCGTTGTCCCCAGCTCCCACTGTTAGGTGAAAGTTTTTCTCCTTAACAATGGCTTCTAACTTTTCTCTTACATTCTTCAATCTATGTGCCATTTTTAGTCGAAAGCAAATAGGATTCTGATTCTTGGAGAAGAAAGATCTTACTTGGCTTTTAAGATCGCCTTGCTGTCCACGCCTTTGAACTTCAATTTCGAACTCATCAATCACATCCTCTGCATCATAAGCTGCATCCTTGAGCTTCCTGAGCCAATTCTTCACAGCAGCACTCTTCCACTGTTTTTCCTCTGCATCCAGAAGAACAGCTTGAATCGTACTCAGTGTGCTTTCGAGATTCTCAAGATCAGATTTTAGGCCCGAAGCAAGTCCAACCTCTTCAAATGCTCGTGAAGTGAGCTTCTCCAAGATTGGACCCACAAGAGCAGAAACAAGTGCATCAGCCATAACTTGCTTGCCTAAGAACAAACAGAACCTTTGCACCAAGAAACTGAAAACCAGCAGCGAAAACTTTAATGGCAGCTGGGAAGTCTGCAAGAGATGGTAACTAATGTTTCAGTATTGCTACAGTTAGTGCACACTTTTCTTGTATTAAATTCAACGAACGTCTTTGCTTTCCTTGCCTTTTTCCTAGATATTTTCTTCCTCGTTATTTAATGCTAATGAAAGTTCCTTCCCTTTACTTTAGTGACAAGAGGGCATCTTCTTCCATGGCTGGCTCCTCACGGTATTGACTGGCTTCATCTGCTAAATTCTCTTTCTAATATAGCCTCTCTATTTATTTTTTTTCTATTTAGTTTCTTTATTCTTGATTTTTTTTTTTAATGTGATTTTCTGATTCCATTAACTTTTCCTTATGTGAACATGTGTTAAAAATATAGAATCGTGCTCTCGAAACTTTTGAAAAATAAAAGAAAAATAAAAATAAAATTTTGAGAAATACTAGAAAAAATCAAAATAATAATTTTGAAATTCCTAAGGAATTTGAAAAAAAAAAAGGAAAAGGAAATTGAAAAGCCTTTAGAAAAAATAGAATATTTTAAGTATTTTTAAAAATAAAAATAAGTTAAATCACTATTCTTTTTTATTTTCATTTCAAAAGTTTTACTGTAAAAAATTTAAAATTAAAGAATTTGAAAATATAAGAATGACCAATTATAAAAAAAAATTTTAAAAACTAGATTTGAAAAAAAAAAAGGTTAAAAGTTACCCTTCATTGAAAAATAATTAAATAAATAAGAGTGACTTAACAAATTTATATTTTTCTCTTTCATGACGAAAAAATATGCAAAATACTCCTTTATTTTCTAAAGGCTTTTCAATTTCCATTTTCGACGTTTTAATATAATAGTTTTTCACATTTCTTATGAATTTTCAAGATTTTGATTTTGATTTTTTCTAATATTTCTCGATTTTTATTTTTTTCTAATATTTCTCAATTTTCTATGTATCATTTTCTTCTCATATTAATTGGACCCACACGGTTTTGACTTGGTTAATTCACCAAAATCTCTTTCAGGATTGGGTCAGTTAGATGGAAGATGTAAAGAAAATGCATTAATAGCATATTTAGTCCCTCCTTGACATTTCATGATGCACCCCTCTACTCTTTGTTTTTATTTGGTCCTTTTATTCTACACATTATTTTAATATGGTCCATCCATATGATTCCATTAGTTTTTTTCGTCATTTGGACACATGAAACCTAAATATGATGACTAAGTGGTAATGATAATTATAATAACCGATACTCGTTAAAACTAAAATTAAATAAAAAATTAAATATTTAAAAACATATGAGATATATTTTAAAGATATAAAGTAGTTCACAAAGATTAGAGAAAATATTCAAAGTAGATAAAATAGTCATTTTATGCCCAATGAATATTTTATTGATTTTACGGTGCATGAATAGTAGTTTTTGCATAAAATAACTAATTAAAGCATATTGTTTAAGCATGAAAAATAGTTTGGGTGCTTAGAATAATTGTTAGAGTGGTGTTGAATTATTTTATGTACTTGGGTGAATTTTATTATGT